AGTCGACTAAAAACCTCTCTTGCACCGGTGTAAGGCGTTGGTTCGATTGTTGAGCTGTAGAGCGCGATTGCATGCCCTTGAGGCGGTTTTGAAGCGTAGCTCGATTGACCTTGAATAGGGCCGCAGCTTCATTTTGTGATTTGCATTGACCGGTCTCTACGGCATGGATAGCCTGTAGGAGTACCTCCTCTGAATTTGACATCGTAATACGATATGGTGGTTGAGATATTACGCGTTTGGTGATGGTGGTGAAGATGGTGATACTGGCCAAGTAGGTGGTTGGCCAACAGGCAGGGGTTCGAACTTACATTGGCTCTCGCTTAGAGGCACTCGCAAAGAAGACCTAGAGCTACATTGACCGAATCAATCAGTTTCACCAGCCTCGCTGCTACTCGACATCCTATTCTAAGCGCCATTCGCTTTCGATGAATCGTACGGCTTGCCAGGGAAGATCATGCTGGGATGACTGGTGCCTTCATTTACCACGAAGATACATCCACTTGCAGTCATCTCTGTCCAAAACATTTAGTGCAAGATCAATGTAGCCCTCCTTGTCGACATATCGAGGGACAATTCCCAGAGCACGGCCTATGATAGTGAGCCTGAAAGCTTCGAGACATTAGAAAGCCTATTTGGGCTAACTTGCCATTCACGCTATCATCGGCGGCAGGGCGGCTAGTCGAAGGCATGCTTTGACCGCATCCTCAACATGGGCAAATTCTGAACCCAGTCGCTTCAAATTTGCCTCCATAAGTGGCTTCACGGTGTCCGGAATAATGGGGGTTGGAATGAACCTATCATATGGTAAATCAATAGAAAGATGTGTCAGAGATCAGGCTTTCAGGATATCTCTATTTTTCGGGACCCGCCGGTCTCCAGACCGCGCCCCCATTACTTAGTCGTATTTAGGTGGTCTAGCCCCCATGGTTCCCCCGTGGTTCCCCCGTGGTTCCCACGTGGAGGAGCATCCCACATCCCACGATATCACCAATGCTTCTTTCTTTGCTTCTTCGCTCGTTTTGAGGAAACCAAGGTCCCCACGACCATCAATTGTATACAGAACATATAAGATGAGCGTATTCCTGTAGGTTGTACGCTCATTAAGGATCAAGATCAATCAACACTTTCAATTCTTGGTAATCAAGTGCTCTCCTGCTGAAGTCGCATCTCCAGATCACCTGATCAAAGGAACAGCTATTCTCTGTCAAGATGAGGCAAGAATTACTCTAACCCATACATACCAGGGTGCCAGCAAGTTCACTCGCGACAGGTCCGATTTGCGGAGATTGCACAAAAAACCACGGACGCCGAACTTGTAGGCATTATACTGCGTTGCCCCAGGAAGGTCAAGGTAGCCAGCAAGACTCGCTTTGAGAATTAGAACTTTATCACGGGACGCATCTTCCTTGTTGAAGTAGTGCCTAGCGAGCTTCACCGTGTAGGAAACACCAATTATATTCACATGAAGGACCTTGAGCTCGGGCTTGGCGGGCTCATCCGCGTCGTCAAGTTGGAATAGATCGTCATAGATCGCGATTCCGGCGTTTGCAACGACAATATCAATAGACTTGCTGGGAGAATTGTCTGCTGCCGCTTTGAATCCTTTCAACTGTTGACTCCAATTTGTGGCGTCGGCACGGTAGAATTGGTAGCTTGAGAGAGTCAGAACTTGAGAGTGCTGGATCAAGGCTATCAACATACTTTGACTTTCCTTCTTGGTCCTTGTTGGGATTTAGATCTAGATTTGTCACATATGCTCTGTTTGCCTGTTAGTCGAGAACTACCACGTATCCTCACGCCATACCCAGCATCCAGAAAGCCTTGAACGTAGCCAGCTCCAAGGCCACTGCTACCTGATGATATCAGATATATTAGTCGAATTACCCCCTAGGCTGATTTGGACAGTGATAGTGTCGGAAATCCGCGGCTATTACTTAGTCGCCGCACCTTGTAGATTACATAAGATTACATAAGCCTGGGTATATATACCCGTCAAGGTAAATTATGTACTTCTGACCGAATACAAGCATCTCACTACCTCTGACAGGTTACCGATTGTTTCCATGATCGATTGACACGCCAAAACGATCAACAGATACCTACCCCTGTGACGATCACACTCCTGCCTTTGAGCTTGCTCAGGTCGGCCGGGACCGAGTTATCGATCTTCTTAGCCGTCCAATACTCGTAAACCATGATGCTCTTGAGAAGATTCTAATCTGAGGTCAAATCCGATGTTCTGTATTGTTTGTGAGACTCGGATACGATTTGCACTAAAGGGAAAGTACTCTAACAAGACCTAGGGCTGAAAAATGCGGGGAAATTTCCAGATTGGGTAACCTTGATAATACGATGCAAATCCATTCGGCCCGAGGAACGATGAGAGAGGAGAACAGAAATGGATAAGCGACGACATAAGTCGAGGTGCCCTCCAGAACCCACTTCACTTTACCTGGTAGTCGGGAACGATTCATTAACATGACGAGGGTGCGATGCTTCAACCGTCCTTGGAGCTCGAACTCTTCCGTGATCCTGGGCCAATTTCAGGCATACTCTTCGAGGCATCGCAGTAGGGAATCCTCCACAGCAGAGAAGGGCAGAAGAACCTCCTCCATCTCCAGCCGCCCAGGCTTTGGTATGAAATCCGAGTCGCCATTGCGAAGAATCTCAGGAGAAATGCCGTCAACCCCCTTACCGAGTAATAAACCGCTCAGACAAGGATAGCAGGTTTTCCTGAGGGCATTTTCCTCTAGGAAAGATTCTGTAAGAAAGATGAAAGTCAAGTCGATATGATAGGTGGAGCTACTGGTTCTGTGTCACAGTTGCAGAATGACGCTGGACCCTCGCCTTAGCGATCATTATTCCCTCTCAGTCGATAGAATTATTGTCACAAGTGTGAAGGTTCACAATCGATAAGGATTATCAATGGTGGAGACGTTATCGAATTGCTAGAGAAAAGAAGAAGAAGAAATGAATAGGTCTCTCTCTCTTTCCAGAGTTCTAAATACGCGTTTGCTGTCAGAGATCAAGATGTCTGTTTTTCGGGGTCCTCTGGTTTCCTACCCGTGACCCCGTATTCACAACTATGACAGTACATCATGCATCCCATGATGTTATCAGTGTGAGATAAATAGCGGTTTCGCTCAATCAAGTGATTAATGCAGCGAGACCGTGGGAAAACCCCGTTAGATTCCAAAAGAGCGTAGATAGATTGAACTTGATCCTGAAGAGCCGGACCCTACGAAAACAGGCTGTTCCTGCAGCTATTTTATATGGTATTGTCATGGGCCCAAACCACGAAGAATTTGGTAAGCTGGTAACGCTGTTGAATTGCTAAAGAGAGAAGGAGAAGATCTCTCTCACTGCGATCTGCTATTTACATCCGTGGGCAACCGGTCTACCCATCCCTTATGCCTTAGGCCGCAAGGCCACAACACACAGACTGGGCGAAGCCCAAAGACTGTCACAGCCTCACAGGTTTACAATGATGATCTCTTCCCTAAAAAGGGAAAGAATAGGGGTATAGAATCGAATACGGAATGAAGCCGTGGGGAAACGCCAAGAAACACAGATATTCCGTGACACCTCCTCAGGTATCACCGTTGAAGGGTGGTGGCAGATCAGCGGTCAATTTATGACATGTGTCGCTGATCACCTCAGGGGTACCACTAACCCAGATCTGGCCTAGCTCACCGAGGCGGGTGATCCATATCCATGCGACGCCCCTTTCTCCCGACCTCCTGTGGTAACTGGTATTCTCGTCTGTCTCGACGCAAATGACTTGTTTCCATCTCAAAAAGTACCGGTAATTTCAAAGCCGGCGATGCTACTACGTGGAGCGTGACGACATTGAATATTTGTCGTCCCGATTCGGAAGGACATTGGGTGGGTGATATTGAACTATAGATTGCTGAAGAGGTGTCTAATATCAATTAGAAAGCCGAAATTCCGAAAGCTAAAACTTGCTTCTCTAAATGAGGGAAGAGCCAAGAATACCGGTAGCCAATCTACCGGGGCGGTCTCCGCCGGAACGTTCCTCTGCTTGCCTCGATGGACTTCGCGGTGTCGCCTGTCTTATGGTCTATCTATCTCATCAACACCCTTGGTGGTATCGCGAAGATAACCTCCATGAAGGATTTGGATATCACGGCCAAACGGCATTTGCAACCTTCCCCTTCATCCGCAGCCTTTTCAACGGTGGCAATGCAGCGGTTGCTATCTTCTTCGTCCTCTCGGGTTATGTGCTTAGCGCGGGTCCACTTCAACTTATCCGCGATGGAGACACTGCAGCAGCGCATCGCAGGTTGATCTCTGCGTTTATTCGGCGTCCTTTCCGGCTGTATATTCCTGCGTTAAGCATCGCGCTTGCGTTTGTCTTTGTTATGCATCTGCCGTTTGGACTCGCTCCAACCTTGGAATTTCCGGTGCCTAAAGAGAGTTTTCTTTTGGAATTACAGAACTGGATCTGGCAGACCGCTTTATGGATGAATCCTTTCGCCTCTCCGGAGACCTTTGCACGAGGGTACCTATACCTCCCCCCAGCTTGGACAATGCCAGTTGAATACGAAGGCTCCTTGCTAGTATATTTTATGCTGGCCGTGGCGACGTTTATCCCACGATATCGATTGAGTCTTTTCAGCGTTGCCGGTATTATCCTTTTCTCGGTTAAAAAATGGTCCATGGCTTGTTTTATGGGTGGTGTGGTTCTGGCCATAAATGATCTGGATGGCATCGACCGTGCTTTGCTCAAGCAGTTCTCGAAGCAGGGGGTAAAAGCGACCTTGAACGTATTGTTCATTTTGTCATGGTGGCTTCTATGTCAACCGGCGAATAAACGCGACGATCCCGAACTTTCTTATAATACGCCCGGTTGGTATTACTTGACGATGGTCTTTACTCCGCGGAATTACTTTGAGGACGAGTATTGGCGCTTTTACAACACCCTCGGCGCCATAATTCTCGTCTACACTGTCCTTAGGCTTAAATGGCTGCAGTCCTTTTTCCTGACGAAGCGGCTAAAATACCTTGGACGTATTAGCTTTTCGCTTTACCTCCTTCATATTCCTTTCCTTTTTACCGTTGGAGACCGTGTCGAACGCATGTTTGGCGGTATCCGAGGGCAATTTTCGACTTGGTACGATTATAAACTTGCAATACCAGATATTGGGCCTATCGGGTTTTCGACGGGTTTTCTGGCTTCGCAGGCGGTTATCCTGCCATTAAATATGCTCCTTGCGGAGTTGTGCACAAGATATTTGGACGAGCCGAGTATTAGGGTCGCGCGTGCTATTGCTGCCCGATGGGGGTACGCCGGCACTTAATGCTAGATGAGCATCTCTGCTGGTGATTTCTGCCATATGGGACCTTGAAGCGATGCGACGCGCCGGCTCTAAGGGGCCGCCAATGCTCGAAGTGCAGCGGCATCTTTAGGAATGGCGACAGTACGATGTGGACTCATGTATGTCAGAATTTTGGATATAAAAGAGCAAATGACTTTCGAATATGCGTTACTTACGTAGATTGAATAGAGTCGACCTAAGTCGCGTTCATCTCCTTCGATGCCACATTCACGAGTATCGAGTTGCGATGTACGAAGCTCTACCACTATGCTAAGTGATTTCGCGAGGTACTTGTACAATGACGATACATCTTGGACGTTAAAGGTCGTGGCGTTAGGAAAAATATGGATGCGGGAGAGATCGGAGGAATGCAAGAATCAAATGGACAGCAGCCCTCTACTGTCGAGTAGGTCCCAGCGCTTGCTCTGGCGATGGGCCCCGAAATCGATGCACTCGTGTGCTCATTTATGCAAAGGGAGTTCGAGAATCGCCCGCTACCTCCGCCGTCCTATATCTCCAAAGTTGGTCAGTCAGGTTGGAAGGCCGCCACAGCAGTAGAGATGCTCCGACGGAGGTGCTGAACTGAGCAAGGCTGACGTACTACCTGAGTCCATCGCAGCGGAGCATATCCATGCTTCATGCGGCAGATCTGGAAACGGGGCGGTTGCAGCATTGTCCAAGCTCGATTTAGCCTCCACGAGAGCGTGCTAAGAGACAGGGGGAATGACTTATATGGATACGGTTTGTCGGCTGCTAGAGTTTGCCGTTTGATGGCGCGATCGCAGATGCTCAACGCGAACGCATCATGGGTTATATTACTCAGAGAAGCGCGTGGTTGGCACTAATCGCGCGGTGTGGACTCAGTGCCGTAATCCATCCGCTCGATCGGAAGGATGCCTGCCTCAGCGCGACTTGAGATATATGCAGATCTAACCATAGATATCCGGACCTTCGTCGGAATCACGCTCATCGTATGAAACTATTCGCTATAAGAACGTGTAGATGCTGAGTTGCACAGGGTACATTGGGGAACTTACGGAGCTTTCAACACTCTCATACAGGGTTGGCAATTAGTAGATATCTAGAGATCTATTTATTTAAAGCTTTGAAGGTTTTTTGGCCTTCGCCTCAATTGCGTTCAAATCTTCCAATTTGAATTCAATGTATTGTTCACCATCCATACCTTTCTCCACAGGCATACCCAGTGATCCTGGCCACCACATCATCAAGTCCCTGCCTTCTGTGTGCTCTGGGGTGCCATCCGCCTTGGCACCATAGATTGAGGCAAGATCAATGCCCTCTGTCCGGTAGGGCACCTTGTTCAGCTTGTTGTTGTGCATGGGAGTCGCGGCTGGAAGAAGTCGAAGGAAGACTGGCACTGCGTATTTCGGAAGACTTGCTTGAAGGTGTGCAAGGAATTTTGCGAATGGGAACTTGTTGGTCTGGATTGAATATGTCGTTGGGGGGGCGATAGATGGGATATACACAGTGGCGCAGCCAGCACGACCATCATGACCTACGCGGGTAAGCTTAATTTAATGAATGGGAGCGGCGACTTACCTGAGACGAGAACACCATAGACATTCGCTTCAACAATTCCGGGGAATTTGCCAATGACTTCGGCGACCTCTGCTGTAGAGACATTTTCGCTCTTCCAGCGGAATGTATCTCCAAGTCGGTCCATGAAAAACCATCTGCCATCAGTTGTTCGTCGAAGAGCGTCTCCGGTTCGGTAGTACAGGTCGCCCTTCACAAAGAGATCTCTTTCGAATTTCTTCTGGGTTGCTTTGGAGTTTCCCCAATAACTGGCTGGCGTCAGCGGTGTTGCTCCAGAGAAGGAATGAAAACTCACCCAATAAAAGTCTCCTCATTTGGTATCTTGACAAGCATCTCTCCACCTTGGTCGTACGGCATGCGTGTGGCAAATCCAGTCTTTGGATTCCGCTCGATGTCGCCAGTTTCGTGATCAGCTTTCACTGGAACGTACGTTCGATGCATCAATGCCCGGAGGATCAGTCCATGATGACCAACAGCAGTTGCAAGATAGGGGCCTAGAAATCATGAGCGAGATTAGTCAATGGAGGGCGAAAATCGTACCTTGGCAGACGTTGATCAAACCAAAAACGCCTTCAGTGCTGTTGAAGAATTCCGTAACTTGTGGGATGCCAAATCTCTCTTGGAATCTCACCCAGACGTCCGGTCGCAGCCCATTTCCGAACATCAATCGTATCTTGTGTTCTTTGTCAAGGGGACTCTCCTCTTGCGCAAGCAAGTATCGTGCCGTCTCTCCCACATAGACGAAGGCTGTTGCGCCGGAGTCACGGACGTCGTTCCAGAACCCTCGTGAGGAGAATCGCTTTCCGATCGCCAAGCCTAGCCCACTGGTCATGCTCATCACAGCAATGGCATTGCCCGTACCATGGTACATCGGCATGCAGTTATACCAACTGTCTCCATTTGGGGCGGGGGTGAGTCCCTGGTTTCGAGCTCGGGGACCGCCGAGACCCAAACCGCGAGCAAGCGAGAATGCCGCGGCTTTTGGGAGACCGGTTGATCCACTATCATGGTCAGAACAAGAAAGACATATCCATTTGACTGCACATACCTGGTGTAAAGCAAACACATCGGGAATGTGGGCGGCAAGACGTCTCTCAGTTCGTCTGCAGGCCGGATTGGTGAGAGGGCGTCAATTTGATGCTTCAAGGGTTCATCGAGAATGTAGATCTTGATCCCTTCTGCCTCGATTTCACTCCGGGTCCCTTCGATCCTCGATCGGCATTCATCATCCCAATCGACCAGCAGCACTTTGGTTTTTGAGACTCGCAGACAATGCAACAGAGCCTCGCCCGCCAAGTTGTAATTGATGTATGCTGGGGCGGAACCAACCGCCCACGATCCCATGGTTGCAAACATGAACTCGGGGGAGTTGGTCAGGTAGAAGGCGACCAGCTGGGTGGGTTTGATACCCAGTGAAATGAAGAATTGGGCATAGCGACATGAATTTTGGTATGTCTCGTTCCAGGTGTAACAACCTTCACGGGACCAGAGGCAAAGATCTGGGGCATCCTTCAACCGCCGTGCCTCATCCTCGAATCGATACCATAGTGAGACGCGTCCTGATGCGACTACTGGTGGTCAGTGACGGAAGCGAAGCAGAGACAGGTTTCAGGCCTTACCTGTTTTTATAACATCCTTTTCGGTCTTTTTCAATCTGTATAGCGACGTGATATCCTTTTTGAAGTGGAATTTGGCGTCGAGGTAAGCCGCTGCCGCTGCAACACCGACACCTTGCAAAGCAGTGGTGGCTGGATCATGTTAGCTTGTTGATCGAGGGATCGTCCATCAATAAACCGTACCTAGATCCATGATCAAGTTGGCTCAGGGTACAATTCCTAAGAAACTTCTTCGTGCAATTGATGAGTGTTAAAGTGTCTGTTCCCTAGGCAGCGTCTATTCCGTGTTGGGGTCGCTTTCTAGAATCTTTCGCTATCGATCTTCCTGAACGCCGAACAATGGAAGTCTATGAGAGAAAAGTCAGCCAAATCGGTGAAATCCTAGACACCAAGGCGGGGTTTCAAAGCATCAAAAAACTTACCGCAGCTAGATGGATGCGACTGGTAGATCCGCGGAACAGCAGGCTCGATACTGTTTATTCAAGGTATCACAACGTATTAAAGGTTCTAGATCGAAGCATTCATTTCCAAGGAGAATAATCCATACTAACCGGTATTCTTAAATCAGAGCTCCAAATATGCCGCGGCGGAGGACAACTGGGGAGCCTGTCCAGGGATCTCTCTCAGCCTCGGTCTGATATGCTTGAGACCTTGTTTATTGGCCAATGCACGAATATCTTCCCCACAAGTTACCAATCGAACAACAAACGGAGTGGTTCCGAGACAAACTCCGATCACCGATGATTGCGACCATCCGACAAGGAGGTCTCAGTCGATGTACCCTTCGTTATCCAATAGGATGTCTAAGAAAGATGATGTTACCGAGCATGGAAGCGAGGCTCGCGATGATGGAATCAACGACTCGGAAAGCGCGGAATATGACAATGCTATTATAGCATGAACGACAGCTTATCATGGCTATATATAGCCTGACCGAACGAAGATTGCGCTTCTCACCTTCCAGCTTACCGATATGCTGTCCTCGTCAGCGTATCAACAAACAAACAGTGTCCAGAGTTGACCCCGAAGTGCAAGAATCTGATCGTATTTCGTACTTTGGTACGGATACCCCACACGAGAGATCCACAGCAGCATCGACCAACGCGAGTCTGGCACGCTAAATAACCTAACCGACAGCTACCCCGCCGGATCCAGCCCCAGAATTGCAGGATGGTGGGAGCCGGATTCCGTTAGCGTCGCTGAGGTTGGAACTGCCGAGTACAGGGTGGCTGGTATCAGTGTGGGTTTGGACTTTGGACCGTCCAAAGTTCTTCAACGTCACACTTCTGAATCGTGTTCTCCATCGATAAGTCGATCATCGTTGAAATGCAACAGCTCTACTCCGTAGAATCCCGTTAAACAAAAGAAACCTAGATTCTAGGGTCTAGACCATTCAGAGACCTCACAGTCATCTATGAGGGATCGGAAGTTCATCCTGGATGCTGTATCAAACTGGGGACAACTGAACGTTCAGTCACATAGTTTTTCATCCCTTCAGGATCATTCTGTAATAAGAAATAGTACAAGCCGAATCGTGGCCAAATTCAGATTGTGGCCTGCTGCCCAAGAAGTCAAACATCATGATCGTTGTGATCCCGTTGGATTTGGGAGGATTTCAACCTAGACAACTTTCGCCCATGGATAGAATACCGCCGCCGAGATGAGACACAATACATCGTTGCCTAGCGGTGCCTAGTTAGAGTCCAATAAGTCTTTTATGATCAGGTTGGGTACTTAAAGGTTTGAAATTGCCACTCATAGCTGAGGGTTACAAGTCGGATTCCCTTCAAACCCGTTTCTCTACACTCATACAATTCGTTCGGTTATCGTTCACTATCCCCAAGTCAAGATTCAAACCATGAAGGACATGACCCAGGGATCTGATGAATGAGGGTTCAAAGAGCTATGAAATGCGATACTCGATCGCTCACTGGAACACCTAAATACCACATCGATCGCTTGAACCGAATCACTTAACAGGAAGATATTCCAGCCGTGTCAGTGGGCAAGCTGCCAATACGAGAAGTGCAGAATACGCGTTGCTCTTGAGACGCCAATTCAATAACAGCAAGCCAGTATTGCACTCGGTTATTGTGCAGAGCCCACTCATCAAAGCTGTCCGTGCAGCCATTCTGAAGGGCTTTCCTGGTGTGGATTTGGACGAAGATACTCTTGGATTCCATAGACCCTTTTAACCTTATGGATATTCCATCGTTGGGATGCTCTCAACAAACCCTGCGATGACCTTCACTCCGGGCCGGATGCCATCCCACACCTACACTTGGTGTGGCGCTGCTTGCGACCTCATTTTACCCCATCGTGCGAAGCTCTCGAGCACTTCCCCACACAAGGATATCATTAAGAAAAAGCTCGTCGCGTGAGGGAAACGCTTCGTCACGTTTGCGAACCCTTCTTATGTGTCGTACGAAGGAGTCGCTATGGATCACACGATTACTGATAGCGCGCATCGAAGCCGCCGATCTCGATTTTATGTTCAAGGATGGGTGGCTATTGACACCGCCATTTACACGTGGTTCAATCCCAACTTAGACGGACCCCTCTATCCTCTGAACTTTTCCAGCTCGGGCCAGTATTTCCTTGAACAAGAACATGATGAGCCTGGAGGCCGTCTCCCCGGATTCGCCCTTCCAAGCTCTCCATTATACTATCCCGACTCCGAGGAGCATCTTCAGGAACACGCCATTCATGAGAGGCGCAAAGCTCAGAATTCGAAAAAGACGGTCCTAACTGATTAGCAACTTATCATTTGCAATATCACTGTATGAGGATTCTCCTTGACCATCAAACGACGTTCAATATGGACAGAATCAAAGATATCCCGTGGAATTCTTCCGCGTTCTCCTCGCTAGCGCTTGTGGAGACTACAAGAACTTTCTCCTAGCGTTCGCCAAGAACCAAGGTAGCCAAACATCAATTTCTGACGATGTGATTCAAGGCAAAGGGAAAGGGCTGGTGGTTTTGTTAGGGGGAACTCCCGGTGTTGGAAAAAATTAGACCGTGGAGTCAGTTGCAGAAAAGATCCGTGCCCCACTCTGCAGCATTGCAGCCGGTAAACTGGGAACTTATGGGCATGCCGTTCAAGCAATGCTCGAAGATGTCCTCCGCATGGCCGGGTCATGGAACGCAATTATCCTCCTCGACGAGGCAGACATCTTTCTCAAGAAGCGTGGTCCTGGGGAACTGGAACAGAATCAGCTCGTCAGTAGCTTCCTACAGTTACTCAAGTACTATGAGTGACCATTTTCCTTACGACGAATCGGGTAGAAACCATCGATCCGGCGTTCCAGTCTCGAATTCATCTAAGCTTGCCATACCCAGATCTGAACCAGTTGTCCCCGCGCAAAGTTTGGGAGACATACTTGAAGTTAACACAACTCTATACTTCCGCATTCACTGCCAAATTTCTGGAAAGACTGGCTCGTGAAGACCTCAATGATCGGGAAATCAAGAATTTGACCAAAATGAGTGCTCTGCTGGCAAGTGCCGCTATCTGCGCATTGATCCCAGCACATGTGGGTGAAGTGTTGGGTACAAAATTTGTTCTTCGTTGACACGAGGGATGCTAACACGAGGGACGCGCCTTGACTCTGACTGTCGGTAGATCAGTGCCCTGGCGTATTATTTCGGTCCATCTAGAGACATGGGCGTATCCCTTTTCTGTTGGTTCAACGTGAATCTGGTCGACCAAGGGTTTGATATTTTACTGACGAAAGACATAGAACTGCTGAAGAAAAGAACGGGCTTACGGTAGACGACACGTACTTAGTAGAATGATCCCTAGGCACAAATGGCTGTTTTGAAGTGCAAACCAAAGGCTTCAAAGACACGTCAAAGTGGTAACTGGTTGCGGTGTGGAGTTGACATCCATGAATCTTCCTCGCTTGAAAATTATTATAAAGCAATCATCTCTTGCGTGGGAGATGCATAGGCTGTATGTAGATGCCGATGAGCATGGCCGTCAATTCGTAATCGACAAATAGATGGGTATGTAGTACATTTCCAGGCGAGCCGGGGTCGTCATGGATATCTGAATGAAGCTGGATATGAAACTCGACGAAAATCATTTTCCAGTTCTTTGTCGATCGATTTCATCGCGGAACACATTCCTTCTGTCATCCTCGTTGCTCACGAGACTTCCAAAGCTTGTGTCTCTGGTATGATTTCGCGCATTGGCATGCGACCCGGTCCATTGACCTCCCACGGCGGGTTGGTCCCGAAACTCCTGTTCGGGTGGGATCACTTCTCTATCCTGGAGTCTGATGGCGCCCTTCTTTCCAAGAGCAACCCTTTGATTCCGGTTCTTCCGACTCCCATAGCCATGTCTGGTCCGTGACATAATATTCCCCAGCCCAATCTTGCGGTGCTTGCGGAAACCAAGTGTGATGCCAACGAGGACAATCAAAATAAATCCAAGAACAACAGGTAAGCCTACCCATAGAGCAAGATTCTTCGGATTTGTCTTGGTGATATTTGGTGGCAAATGCTCAACCGGTCTGGTTGTAATTCCGACATGAGGCCCATCAAAGGCTTTCGAAGACCCAGAATATTGGAGAGCGATGAAGGTCAAATTATTGGCGTTGGACCCTTGGAGCCAGCTTGAGTCTATCTTGACAGTGGTGTATCCAATGTTATTGTTGATGCCCGGAGACGACCATGCTTGTTTTCCCGTGTCATTGTAGTAGTTCAGAATGATCGTAATCGTGCTATTTTCGGCGAAGAAATCCGGGTTCCAGGTGACATAATACGTTTCTCCGATATAGAGTTCGGAAGAGTTACTCGGCTGGCAGAATGCCTGATCGGTGTCTCGGCAGACTGGGAATTGTGTCGACGGTGAAGCAGTGCTGCCGGCAGCGGTTGAGCTCGAGGTGGATGAAGCCAAACCCGGGCTGGATGCTTCCGATGCCAAACTCTGGGTGGAACTTGCTTGGGAACTGATCGAAGATGTCGCGGTCGGGAGGGAGGCCTCGATCGTGATTGCTTTACCGCTGATGGTGGTCTCAAACAAAGCACCTGACGGCAGAGAAAGCGATGAGGATGAGGCTTTGGGTCTCGTTAGTCACGGTCCCAGTGTTAGGAATTATGATGTGGATCAAGATCGACATACTATCTCGCACCTCCAGGGGTTTTCCCCAGATCCCAATGGCAAAAGATGCCCCGATCAACACGGTTGCTAAAGGATTATACCACTTCATGTTGGAAAGAACGAATAGATGTGGGACAAATATTGATACGGGCTCTTTATGCGCTATGACATGTATGCACTACAAAAACGGTAACGACAGGACTTGTCCTCGGACGCAAATGAGTGACACAAAATTGGGACAACGACCATAAGGAGTGAATGAGATTGTCAACAATCTGAAGAGCAAGACACAGAGACCAACCAAGCTCGAAACGATTCAATCGAGACCTGAAGACGCACTGGACAAGGAGATTAGGAGATCGTGTGGAATGTGATATCACGTGCCGCTAAGGGTCCGGCAAATATCAGGGGACAAGTCACAATGTCACATGACACATTGACACACGAAAAGGCGGAAAAGCACGTGCTATGACACACGTGCAGGGTCCGTTCCATAGAAGTCGTGAGAATCGGGCAGCGCGCCGTCATCGCTAGCGGCAACACGAACACCCAACTTTCAACTTCTTCCAAAACACGCGATACAACTCCAACCCTATCTTCACCATTATCTGGTTTCTTCACGTCCTGTTTCATCTTGAATAGTTTATTCGTTGTAATTGCGATTCACTTCCGTTTGGTTCACTAATACTTTCACAATGCGCTTAATCTTTCCCGCCGTGGCAGCCTTGACTACCTCCACGGTCACCGCGAACCAAGAACCACTCGTAGATTGGGTCAAAGGTTGGATCAACAAGGCGCAATCATACATTCCCTCTGCGGCTCCGTCGGTTGGGATTCCGAACCCATTAGATGCCGGCGCGGCCAAGGTTGCTGAGAAATATGTTCAACCTCTCACCCTAGAGAACTGGCAGTCGGTCCTCCAGCCTTCACCGTCAGGAACTGGGCCGGAAGAATGGGTGGTCTTCGTGACTGGCGGTAATGCCAGCTGCTTCGGTCAATGCACGAATGTCACCAAAGTTTGGAATGTCGGTTTTGTCGTCGCTCGACTGAGTGCAATCAACTAACGTCGATATAGGAGTCGGTCGCGATCCTTTCCACGCAGCCGAACACGCCAAACCTGGCGGCAATCGACTGCGAAGATCAGCGAATCCTTTGCAACAGTTGGTTAGCAGGGCCTCCCAGCTTGTGGCACTTCTCCCTTCCCAAGCCGTTGGCCGATCAGTCCCACCCGACCCCCACCGTTCGAATTATCGATCTCTTCCGCAACACGACGGCAACGGATCTGCAGAAGATCTTTGCTGAGGAGAAATGGAACGATGTGAAGCCATATGACGGCCCTTGGCATCCGTTTGAAGGTTTTATGCACAAGTTCGGCGTGGCCGTTCCGTTGGCATATGTGACCTGGGCTTTCTCATTAATGCCTACGTGGCTGCCAATGATTGCGATCAGCTTTCTGAGCCGCACATTCATGTGAGTAGCTCAAAGCATCATCCCTCTGTAGTACTTCCCGCTAACGTCAATTCTCTAGGGGACGGAGAACCAGACCCGGTCCCAGTGGAGCTAATGCCGCCCCAGGTGGTGCGGCTCCTCAGTAACTGGTGGATCGTTCCAACCCGTTCCTCAGAACGGGCGAAAGTATGCGATGGGGAGAGCTGTGGTGATGATTGCCAGTCGTCATGTGTCAAATGTATACGCAGGGTGTGAGCACGTTTCCGTTCGTTGGGTGGATGTTTTCGATACCATCTCCAGCTACTCACTGGACATTGTGTGGGTTGTCCGCAGCCCCTAATAACTTTACTCTCTTGTATTTGAAGGCGAGTGGCATTTCGCGGTATGGACAGGGCATCAGTTTGATGTGTCATTAAAAGATTGGATATAGCTAGGTTTAATTAGTCTAAAGGAGTGGATAGAGTTGAAACGGGCTGGAACTTTCTCTAGGGTAATTGAACGATGTTATCCCCCCGAGTTGTTCTCCGACAGCTTGGTTCGAAAGCATTTCTTCAAGGACAGATCATCGAATCACATCGCCTTCGTCGTTGTCCACTCCATGCAAGCTCTCCAAAATCGCGCTGCCGCCTAGCAGACCCAGGTTTGGTTGGCTGATGCTCGACTTCCTTCGTTGTTCCGACCAAACTTCATGAAACTTAATGCTAGCATCGCTTGTAGCAATGACCAAACACCCTTCACGGCTCGTCCGATTGCACCACATTTCCCCTTCCACTCGTCGATCATCCGTGTCCCTCTCCGCATCGTTTCCACGCAGCCCTTTGGGGTTTGGTCCTCCCGGGTAACCGATTGCATGCAATGCTCGAGCTTCGTCAGTCCAAGGTATCGCAACGACCTGCTCGCAAGTTGGCCAGGAAAAGACAGCGATTCGGATGGCATGCTCTGGATTTGCAAATCCAAACGTGGCCGCGATCTCCCGTCTGGTAGTACTCCAGATGAGCGAAGTGACCTGCGCAGCGCAATCGATCGTCGCGAGTGCTGCTCCCGATAGAGTGTGGTAGAAGTGAATGCAGCGATCGTTCGATCCTCCTCCAAGCGCCAACAGTCCTCGTTGAAATGGACAGAATGCGATGGCTTTGATGGCAGCGGAGAGACAGAACCGATGTCTCGCTAGTGTCGTCGCAGTCAACCCGTCCTCCAAAGGAATATCGGTTCGGGTTGAATGGCTGGCGTTCTGGTCCGGTAGATGTGGTAGGACGATTGAAGCATTGGTCGACTGTATTGCGGATTCTGCCGACTCTGCCGACTCTGCCGTGGTAGCAGCGTGAAGCACCTTTTTCGTTTCGAAGAGATAACAACTGTTGTCATTACTTCCCGACGCGAAGAAATCTCCATCCATGGACCAACCCAAACCACAAATCTGTTGCGAATGGACTTTCAGACTGCAGGCAAGGTGTAGAGCCCCAGCCCATCCAAGCACATCGTAATCCTGCTGGTTTGGCCATTCCACGGAATAGAAATAGAGCACGCCATTTTCATCCCCGACCAGGAGATCTTCGTTGTCAACCATCGTGCCGGGGAGATTTCGAGATTCTCGACGGGTCGGATTTGGGCGAAAGCAAACGCAAGAAATTGAGCTGGAGAAATCTTCGTGAAAGCGAGGCTCAGGATCCGATGGACTCCATAACACCAGACATCCACTATTCCCAAGGCAACGTCCAACGGCAAGTATGGCCTTTCCTCCCGTTCGTGATGAGAACGATAACGACATAACATGAGATTGGTTGGCTTCACCATGTTCGTCTTGATATGGAGCGTTCAGGCTCTGAGGAGTTTCCACCCCGCGAGACTCGGACCAGAGGTAGACATGGTTCCCGAGTCCAACAGCCAAGCAATTCGCGGTGTATGAATACGCTAGGAGGGAGCAGTAAAAGTCGTCTTTGAGCTGTGGTGCATCAAGGACTGTGCAGGCTATTAGCAAACCATTCCCGAATTGGCTGGAGTCGACTTATCTGAACGGAATGACCGGCACCGACCGTTTCCCGGCTTGCTTCTGCTTGTAGGCTTTTGCAAGTTAGTATGCAGCTGAGGACAATGGCGAAGGATGTGGATGTCTGGGTTTTGGATTCCTACATAATGTAGACCCTTCCCTCATCCATTCATTGTTTTGCCACACGGTCGGCCCACAACCGCGAGATAGGTGGCTCGATGATCCGGAGGAGCTGGCCGTTGGAGGGCTTGTCGGCGAGGATAACGCTGATCCAGGTGTGACGGGGGTTGGCACCAGTCGTTCGATTTGATCCACATCAAATGCAACGGCCAAGCGCCTCTCGTGGTCTTCAAGTTCACGACGTGGATCTTGCTGCTCTTGAAAGGCGCAGGTGTATAGAGGAGCATTGGTACCGCTGCTAAAGAGGCCACCACGACCATCGGTAACAGCCACGGTTCCTTCGAAAGCCGCAAAGGAACCGCCAACCCCCCAAACTGCTCCGTCGCTCACTCTGCGGGATGTTGGTGTCACCGACCGGGGACGCAGACCCGTATTGCTCGTTCTCGCCTCGTTTGGTGCATTGGGTGGTCGAGTGGCGAGGTACCGAGTCCGTAATTCGCTTCGAGATGGAGGAAGAAAGGGATCTGGGCTCACAAATCGAGAGCGGCACAGCTTCTCGGCATCTGTCAACTTGTCGACGGATTTGCTGAGTTGGAAACTAGTCCGCTGAGCTTTGCTCGGTCGACGAAATGGAATGAATCTATCAGGCGTTTGCGGGGCGTTCGTTGAGGCGCTACCGGCATCCCAGCTAGGCCTGCGGAGGGACCCAGGAAGTGATTGTCGTTTCCTTTGTCCACAAAGGGGTGACAATGGACTGCGCAACTGATCCTCAGTTGGGAACGGAAACGCTCCGACTGCGCCAGATGCAACTCCAAGGGGCGTCGGTGTGTCTGGGTTAGCATCATGAGGTCGAGGGAAAGGATCTCGAGACGGGGACGTCAGGTCGATCTTTCGTACTCGTTTCCCAAGCAATAGGATGCTGTCATCTTCACCCTCAGGCTCCGTGTCATTGGACCAAACAGCAGATCCGGTATCCTCGTGATCGTGAAGTGGCGTGCCGTCTGTATCAGACTGAATATCTGAGCACTCCTTCTTCGGCGTATTGGCAGCACTATGTTCGAATGCGCCGTCATATTGAGGAATGGGTGAGCGTCGGTTCCGCTGGAAGGTGACCGAAGGTGATGGAAAGGTGACCTTGCTTGAATCCTGTCTGGGAAAGGTTGGCGAGTAAGAAGTTCTTCGGGCTGGATTCCATGCGGCATTCTCATCGTTTCTAGTAGCGCTTGATTGCCGAGAAGTAGACCGATTCCATCGGTGAATAGGAGCAACATTCGTGATATCCCCGATGGACGGAAGACGGGCAGTCTGCTCACTCGCAGGAAAAGAGCAGCTTTGACTTCTTTGCCCAATATTCTCTGTCAGTGCCACCCATTCAGGGTTTTTCGAGGTTTTCCCGGACCAGCTTCGGTGTTTTCGTGGGCAATTCCGGGATTCGGGGACGCCGTATGCCTTTCGGTCAGAGCTGGGATGGGGTCTCATGCTGCGAAACACCAGTCACCGATCCTATTAGGTTCCAAGCCGAAAGTTTCACTCTTTGTATAGTCCAGCTCTGCCGGAATCGTGATGAAGGTGGTGAGCTGTTCTAGCATGGCTCTTGAAGGCACATGAAGCCTTGTATCTTGAGATCGCGGCTCTTGAACAAACGAAAGCGTGGACGTGGTGGACTTGGAATGAAATGTGAATAGTAGAACTAATGGGATTGACTAGCACCAGATATAGGAATATGAAAAGTCAACAGAGGTCGTCCTGATGGTTAGTACATACTGCCATCCATTACTGGTAGCATAACGTGGACGGTTGGATGAGGCGGACAACAACGAAACCAAATGAACTTCCAGGCAACACCTTCACGGCTCCCTTCACTCTTTCCAAGATTTCCACCTCCGACTTGCCATCAATACGTCTTGTGAGGAGAAGAGCGGCTTCCAATATGGCCAGTGTAAGCATTGGACCACATTTGGAGGAAGTTGCTTGCTGATGTTGTTGTAGCACGATCGTCCTCGGGTCACAGCGGAGCGAACCGACAAAGACTTACAACGCGAGAAGCGCAAGATTGACGAATACCGATCTCTAGTCGAAAGGATAGAAACCCGGGTATGTTCCTCGCCGTTTGTCAAATTGCCGAGCTGATCATGTTGATGAAGGTTGCCGAAGGCGGTAGCGAAGCCGACGTTCTTGACCTCACCTCGGACCTTCTCTCGCGCAACCCCGAATACTACACGGTATGGAACCATCGACGTCGTCTCCTTCTCAGATATCTCGAAGGTGGAGATACTTCGAACGATGCCTCGGTCGACCCGAATAACAAGCAAGCGTCACCACAAGATTATTTGCTGGACGACTTGCGCTTCCTGATCCCGCTTCTTCAGCAATTTCCCAAGTGCTATTGGGTATGGAACTATCGCCTCTGGATTCTGGAGCAAATTGAGAGGTACCTTCCTCGGCAACAAGCAGACAGCTGCTGGCAAAGGGAGCTTGATCTTGTGGCGAAGATGCTAGCAAGAGATGAAAGGAATTTCCATGGCTGGGCATATCGTCGTATCATAGTCGATCAACTCGAAAGACTTGCACAAGAAGCTGTTCATGGAGAAGAGGGTGCTGGACAAGGAAGTCGCTCTCAAGAGGAGTTCGATTACACGACGAAAATGATCCATTCCAAATTATCGAACTTCTCGGCGTGGCATTACCGAAGTAAACTCATTCCTCGGATCCTTGATGAACAAGAAGCGGACGATACAGCCAGACGGAAGGTTCTAGACGATGAGCTGGACCTAATCCAAAATGCCTTGATCGATCCCAACGACCAGTCCTTATGGTTCTACCATCAGAGTCTTATGTATACCATCGCTCCAGATTGTCCGCGAGACTCGGCCATTGTCCTCACGCTCACCAACACTGATCGAGTACACTACTACGAGCAAGAAATCTCTCGAATCCGTGAGATCCTGGAAGACTGGGACGATTGCAAATGGGTATACCAAGCACTGCTCAAGTATGCGGCAGAGTATCAGACACTCGATGCAGGATCCAAGGTGTATAGCAATACGGACATGAGAACCTGGCTTTCCAAACTACGTCAATTAGATCCCCTCCGATCGGGTAGGTGGGATGATCTAGAAAAACACCTCGATCTATCAACATAGAGACATTATGGTGTCCAACGCAGCATGGTCAATGAATGCTTCGGGAATTCAAACCGACCATTGCCATCCCACTTGGTTTCCGAGATCCCCACAGCGCTCTCTTCGGCTGTATTGACGCATGCTACGTCCGAACCCGTCACAGTATAGACGTCAACTGGTCCTTTGATTCCCTTCAGATCCACACTGAAGCTCTTGGTTTCATGGACATTCACAACAGCCATGCTCAATACACCCTGGTCATCGATTGCGGCACTGACATCCAGCCATGGCGTGTCGACTGTACCACGTATCCAAAGCGGTTCGGTTGGTCCGTCGTATTCCTCGCATCGAACATGTACAGCGACCGTGGATCCACGCATATACTTGCAAAACAAGAGAAGCGGCCACCACGTGGTCTGTTTCAGGATCCCGGTCTTGGTAGTCATCAAAGGTGAAATGACATTCACCGACTGTGCGATATTGGCCATACTAATGTACTTGGACTGACGGATGAAAACGTTCAACCAGACACTAACGGCGAGAGCATCCGAAAGCGTATATCTGTTCGCGTCAGCGGCTGTCTTCTGAATGTGCAACGAGGTTCGTACTTTTCCTCTGCACCCTCTTCACCCGGTGCTCGAGCAGGATCCCAAACATTCCATTCATCAAAGCAGATGCCTTGCCGTGGCACGGATGAGGGAACTTTGTTCTCGATTCGAGCGAGGTCTATCAGACTCGCCGTGATCTCAATTGCTCGTTCGGCAGATCGAGGAGCTGCAGCAATACAATGTCAATGTTCGAATCCATCTGTACAAGCAAGTGTCTTACCTATCGCATTCTTCACATGTTCTTTCGATGCGGTATATATGTGGATGCTATGCATATCGATCAATGATGCAGTCATGTCTCCTCCAAGGCCATGAAGGTCCCATCGGATGCATTCTTTCAAGACATATGCATCCCATGTGCTGTGCCCGGTCTCTCCGCATAAAATCAAAACGATAGAAGGGTCCATCAGCTTCAAGGCCTTGGCCCATTGGTACGCTTTCTTTGCATAGTCCTCTTTCGTCATCTGGCCAACTTGCCATGGACCCCACATTTCGTTTCCAAGTGCCCAATACTTGACCTGCGAAGAGTCAATTTCTGAACTCTGCAGCTAAGCATCTCAATTTACTTACATTGTATGGCTTCTCGCGACCATTTTTTCTCCGGAGATTTGCATAGTGCGTATCGCTGCTCAAGTTACAATACTCAACCCATGCCAATGCCTCATCGAGTGTGCCTGATGAAATCAATAAGGGGCCGGGGAACGGTTCAATATATCTTACCGGTTCCAAAATTCAGGGCAAAGAACGCTTCAGTTCCGACGACCTCACACCACCGAAGAAACTCATCTGTTCCAAATTCGTTCGATTCATACCCCTGCCATGCGAGTTCACGGCTGGATCCGAATATCAGCAGATGTCATTGCAAGAAAGAGGAGCTATTACCGGCGAGGTCTTTGATCCTTAGGACCAACACCATCGAGCCAATGGTATGTGGCAACGAAATTTCCTCCGGGATACCGAACGACTGGAACCTTAAGCTCTTGCAGAGCCTCAATTACGTCTTTCCGGAACCCATTTTCATCGGAGAGTGGGTTGCCAGGGTCATATATGCCTCCATATATGCATCTTCCCATATGCCTAGAATCGAATGTCAACAATCGGTTCCATTTAGGGACTTCCAACGTACTCTGTGAATCCACCGTAGGTGTTGTCATTGATGCGTGATATGACATGGGATGGGTCAACCGAGATCGAGGGGACGTCACCCTCGGCAATCCTCGTGAAAGCTGCCATTTTGTTGACCTTGATCCGAAGAAGATACACCTACTTCGTCCCGAGTTCGACTTTTGAACCTTTGCTATTATCAGCATCGGTTCGGCTCTGGCCAACCTCACTCCACATAATTATCCCAAGGCAAGGATGGAATTTCGCCGGGGTAGCTCGTGGCACTGGTCCCGGTATTTTGATTGTCGCCGGATAAAATATTCATGTCGTTCCAAGCCGACGGCTCTAAGTGGTGGAGAAAGCAAAGCAAAATAATTATCCCTGACAGTTGCACTGGCAATCCCTTGCAGGGGTTGCCCGGCCAATTATTTTCTGACGCTAGTCAACACCGTTCGGCCCGGCACTGATCGGGTCTGACTACAAATCCCTGGTATCTTGACGAATCCGGAAATCCCGTCGGTTGAGTGAGGTGAGCTCGAGAAGTATCCACCATCACGAACGTTCATCTGCCAATGGCAAGCTCACGGCCGGCAAACCTGGGATCGTGCATCCCCGGAATATCGAATCATGGAAGTGCCATGTGAGTCTGGGCCTCTGGAGTCTGGGGAATGGGGATAGGTACAGGTGGGTACTCTAGCAGCAAATGCATGGAGAATTGACCCGGTCCGAGAAGCTTCATCGCTCCAGGATTCAATATCGCAAGGGTGGCAGACCCCTTGAGCTATGTCGTTCCGGACCATGGAAGGGCATTTCCGGGCAATATATATCCTCCATTTCCTGACCGAAGAATGACTTCCTGCACCGGTTCTATTTTCCTTCAATTCTTATCGGCATAACGAGACATCGCTCGTAACAACCGTCAAACATGGCGCTGCCACCGAAATGGTACCAGGTGAGCATCGAATTGAGTATTGAGTCCAAGTCGGATCTAATCCCGTCAGTTTTTGGTCAGTGTCTTCGCGTCACTAGGTTCCCTCCTCTATGGTTATGACTTAGGTGTCATTGCGGGGGTGATCGCATCCAAATCATTCGTGGCCAAATTTGGTGAAGAAGCCAATGAGATGTAATTGGGTTTCCAATCGATCCTCGAACAAGACGGCTAACACAACTGTAGCGGCGCGGTGGTATCGGTCTTCACAGGAGGCGCGTTCCTTGGGGCAGGGTTCGCCGGGCCAACAGGAGACTATTTCGGTCGTAAAATCACCATCATGGTCGGCGCAATCGTCTTTTGCGTTGGAGGTGCCCTTCAGACTGCTGCACAGAATTTGGCCTATCTATACGCCGGGAGGTCCCTTGCGGGAATGGGTGTCGGGTTTCTCACCATGATCGTGCCCCTCTACCAAGCGGAACTCTGTCATCCGGACATTCGAGGCCGGGTCACCGCCTTGCAGCAATTCATGTTGGGCGTTGGAGCTTTGGCAGCGGCATGGATCTCATATGGTAAGTAACGGTTTCATCTGATCTTGCGTATGCCCTAACTAACGGCTTAGGTACTTATGTTGGATTTGGACCGACCGATGACCGACAGTGGCGAGTATCGCTAGCACTCCAAGTGATCCCCGCAGCCATTCTGGCTTTGCTCATCCTCCTTTTCCCCGAGTCCCCTAGGTGGCTCATCGACCAGGGCAAGGTGGACCAAGGCTTCAAAGTCCTCGCACAGCTTCATTCGGGCGGTGACACCAACGATGCTTGGGTTCGAGCCGAATTCGATCAGATTCAAGAGTCGATTGCTAGGGAACACGAAGCCGCAGCCAAGTCATACCTGGAACTGTTCCGTGACAAGTCTAGTTTTCGACGGCTCTTCCTCGCATGCGCGCTTCAAGCGTCCGTTCAAATGACGGGCGTGAGTGCCATCCAATATTTTTCAGGTATATAAAAATTATGGATTCAACTGTGGCCTCATGATCGTTCTAACAATTTTCAGTCAAAATCTATTCCCAAATCGGCATTGAGGGAGATGACTCGCTCAAGTATCAAGCGATTAGCTCGGTCCTCGCACTCGTGGCACAATTCGTCTGCATGATGGTCATCGACCGTACGGGTCGAAGGTGGCCTCTGATTTTCGGAAATCTTGGAAACATGGTCACATTTATCATTGCAACGATCCTTATTGCCAAGTTCCCCCCCGGTAGTAGCAACAACAGCGCCGCTTCCTGGGGATTCATCGTCATGACATGGCTGTATAACGTCTCGTTCAGTGCAACGTGCGGGCCATTGTCGTGGATCATTCCCGCCGAAATCTTTGACATGAAAACCCGGTCAAAGGGTGTATCCATTGCGACCATGACATCCTTTGCCTTCAACACCATGATTGGTCAGACCACGTCTGTTGCCATGAGGGACGACGGCGGGATCGGTTACAAATGGTATTATCTGTTCATTGTAAGTGACAACTCCGGAACCCACGATCAAAGACTGACCGATGCAAGGTGTGCAATTTCACCAATGCTCTCTTCTTCTGGGCCTTCCTCCCAGAAACTGCCAAGCGGCCGTTGGAAGAGATGAAGTATCTCTTCACTGAAGCACCGTTGTTTGTTCCTACTATGGACATGAAGCAGTATCAACAGAACGACCTGGAGCGCCGTGTGCAGGAAGTGGAGCGAAAGGGGAGTGTGGTGGCCCATTCTGAAGAGGTAGCATAGTCTGACAATGGTCGCCGAAGGCCCCTATCGCCTCATACAGACCAAATTTGTATCCTAAACATCAATCAGCTCAGAAGTGTCCAAGCATAACACACACTTTGTCCCCATATTTACCTGGTGAACTCCTGAATAGTCCTTTTAGGCAAAAGGCACATCAATTTTATGCCATATCATAGACCGGGTCACTATCCGTCGGTCTTATTTGCCGTAGCATCACCACATACACTCTCGAGTCTCTTAAGAGTTGTAAAGACAGAACTACCAAGTTCTTCCCCTGAGACTGTTGTCGGGAAGCGTCCGTATCTGAGATCACTCAGGTCACTTGTAGCAGTTTGGATATTTTGAAGGAGTTGATCTGCCTCCTTATCGAGCACATGAATTTCTTCCTCGACACTTTGGCAAGCATGCTCCAAAGAGGAGACTATCGATTCGATCGAATGGAGGTCAGGACGGTTGGGTCCATTGTCGCCATATAACTATACACCGATGAGTAAGGTCACAAGGTTCACCAAAGTGGAACGCACACTTTGTTCTAGTCGAAGTTCGGTTTCATCAATATCGTCAAGCTCGACATGCTCGGAAAGGATCCTCTCCTTGGCAACCTGTCGAGCCTGTCTCTCTCCTCGGTGTACCTCCCCCTCGATGGATCGCGCCACTTGATCAATGCCCAATGCTCGTTGGTGCTGTAGTTCCCGATATAGTGCACCCACGGCCGGATTCCCCTGCAATGTGCGTGGAAAGAGTTCCGTGAATTTCTTCTGTGTTATGACGGTAGAGAGTGGGGCAGGCGGGAGGAGAAAGTTGGTCAGGATCGATTTCTCGGTTGGCGGCATCGTCAATTGGTGAGGTCTAGGATTCGGAGTTGAGATCGATCGAGATGTGCACTTTAGACCCGAATATCGAATAGAGCGTGTTTGGAACGTGATGTTGATGAGTTGATGCTTCTTTGGCGACGTATGGATGCTCTGCCCAGAGAGTAAATACATGACTCGTGTATGTGTATCTCCCTGAACACGTGCAAGGGGCTGACGGAACGCGACCGTATAAATCTTGGCGCGTCGACTGGCGCTTCACCAAGTCGGAGTGAACACGTACAGATGGTGACGTTTGGAAATCGAACATATAGTCATTAAGCGCCGTCAAATATTGAATCCCAATACCGCCCTAATTATCATTGCTTCGGAAAAGATCACTAATCGCACGAGAAGGGAAACGAGGGTGTTGACCCAGCTTGCCCTGACTGGAACCGATTTGCTTCAAGCCTCAAGAACAACGTGTCCGAATATCCAGATCGCCATGAGGGGGATTTCCTGAACTTGACGTCCTTCACTTCACGGTTTCGGTCAGACCAATCTTGTCTTTGTGTTGGGCGGACTTCGCATCCTTCCAAATTCTCCTAACGCTGCTTCGTCACCTTACCTCTCTTTCTCCTCATCTTACTCCGTCACTCATCGTCACTTTCGGTCCTTCGAAGAAATGGCGCCATCTCAAAACCAAGCGATGTACCACAAAGATGAGAAAGCGCTTTGCTTTCATCATGAGCTTCTCTACGAGGCGAAGGTGATCGATGTGAAACAGGCCGACCCATCGGTCAAAAAGTCTGGCTGGTTGTACAGAGTACACTATAAGGGATGGAAGAATACGTAAGTCGATATTTTCTCATCTTGATGAACTCATGATCGTTACTTAAAGCACGTGTTGGTTGAAACAGCGCTTCACGGTAATTCCCGCAGAAACAATTTCGTCTACATAGCACGTGTCTCGCTGTCCGTCGATCAGAGCTTATATTCGAGATTTGCGTCGTTCAGTCAGTTGACATAATTATACAGGTGGGACGACTGGGTACCCCAGGACCGTCTACGGAAGATGACCGAGGAAAATAAAGGCCTTGCCAACAACCTCAGGAAGGATGTCGAAGCTTCCAACAAGCGGAATGCGAAAGTGGCGGCGATTCAGAAAAAACGAGGAACGGATTCATCGGCTCGGGGGAGCGAAGAACGTCACTCATCCGTCGCTGCCGGTTCCGCTAGAAATCAGAAAAGGAGGGATCTCGATCTTGAGAAGGTAATAGTCGCAAGCCAACTACTCGTATAGCTGTGATAACTGACGACCGTCAGGAGGATCAGTATCATTCAAAGCCAGCTATCCGAATCTACATGCCGGACTCTCTCAAAATCTTGCTAGTCGATGATTGGGAGAGCGTCACTAAGGACAATCACCTGGTCTCCCTCCCATCTGCAACTCCGGCAAGCATCATCATCGACAGGTACTTCCAATACGAGAGCAGGAAACGACCAAATCCATCGGCAGATTTGGATCTGCTTGAGGAAGTCATCCAAGGGCTCAAAGAATACTTCAACAAGACACTTGGTCGAATGCTTCTCTACCGTTTCGAACGTCAACAGTATCTTGATATCATCAAACGAGTCGAGAATCCCACAGATGAGCTTGCAGGAAGACCAATGGTAGACATCTATGGAGGAGAGCATCTCTTGCGACTTCTCGGTAAGTCACAACCGCCAAGGCAGTGTATGATATTGACACGTTACTAAATCAATCCAGTGTCATTGCCGGAGCTCGTTGCACACACGAACATGGATCAGCCGTCCGTCGCTCGTCTCCGTGAAGAATTGAACAAGTTAACCATGTGGCTTGGACGACCCGAAACGATCCAGAAGCACTTCTCCGTTGCCTATGAGCCTATGAGTATCGATGAGGTGGAGAAAATCCGGACCTGAAGCAATCATCGTGCTTCGCTATCCCGTCCATTCGACACCGTATAAACAGCGGGATTACCGGGTGTGAAAGACGATTCACACCAAAGCCGTTCACCGAGAGGCCATGGAAGGCGTCATTTGTAGGGCAGTGCAACAACTCCCGAAGTGCGACATCTGTGGTCGTTCTTCCATCGTGGGAAACGAAATTGCATCCCACCTATAAGGTTGACTTGCGTGGGATGTCATGGGGAACATTGCGATTGAGTTGCAGGACAAAGGATTATGGCTTTCGAGAACAATAAACTCCTGGCGTTTGGCGATTCAAGAAATCATCCCTGTTCTGTAGCGTACTGTACTTTCCATTACAATATTGTCTTATTGACATGCTACCCATCGCCTTGCAGTCCTTCTTTTCTTGAAGAATTTCAACCATTCGCCAGCAACAAAACCGCGACTTCATTTTTACCGATCATGGCAGTGCATGGACTTCTCATTGCTTTTCCCATCAGCATTATCGAGTACGGAATCCATAGGAATATTTACGTATCACAAGTTAAGATACGGTATGCTACCTCCAAATCCTCGGAATTCCAGTCGAAAAATATACTTCTCTAGTCATTCCGTAACGAGTACGCGGCTAGATTCGCAGCATGACTAGGAAATTTGTTCCCATAGCGCCGATTATGCAATATTTGGAGCTCTCCAGTAGCTTCGTCTCAATGGCGAATCAAGATGGGACTCTATAGTGCCAAATCTAAAAAATCACGAGCAGTCACCTCTGCCCCAATGGAAAATCGGTTGTTGACTGTTGTACTTGTCTCCCGACGGGACGGATTTACTGTACATCCATGATCCAAATGACCCAATCATACCCACGCACGCCACGCTTCACATTCAACATTTCGCGAGGATCTGCGTCGGGCGAGGCGACAAGCGCGGCTCCGCTAATAAGTCTACTGCAGCATTTTCATTGTGTTTGCTGTTCCGCGGATTGAGCCTGAAAACATCTCCGTACTCGAGTCGCGAATTTGAGCCTTTTCGGATTGTCTCGGATATCGTCATATAGTTTTGTTCATCGTCTATCGAACTTTCACCCCGGTTCCTTTCCGTTGTCATTGTGTCTTCCGATCGAGTCAGTACCGTTGAAAATTACCAAAAATAGCGATCGAATGAGTTCAATTTATCATGTGTGTCACTCATCCACACGACCATTGAATTCAGAGGCCGGGTAGGTTGAAGTGTTTTCACTCGGCCACTCCTGGACTGGGGGAAAATGTCCCAGCTTGGTATTGAATCATGGATTTGGTACTCGCTAGCGATATTCATCACAGGATGCCGTTATATCTCCCGATCATTATTGTTTGGGTCGGTGTGGAAGCTCAAAATCGATGACTGGATCATGCTTTTTGCCGTTGCGACCTACACGACACTCATCATCACGATGAACATTGTGGCGACCGAGAATTCGAATCTTTTGCCGCCTGGCTTCGACATTTCTGCGTTAACTCAAGACGAGGTCCGGCGAAGGCAATATGGAAGCAAAATGGTTTTGGTGGTTGAGCAAATGCAAATCCTTACCATCTGGACCCTGAAGACGACCCTCCTGGTGATGTATTATCGTTTGACGTAAGTTCACTTGGCAAATTCGGAATGGCAAATCTAACACCTGCTTGTAGTGAGAAGTTGACCGAGAACAAGGCGGTTACTTTCCTTCTTGGCTACATTGCCGTTGCATTTGTGGTCATGGAGGCCCTATACTTCGCTAAGTGGTGTCGACCATTCCACGACTACTGGGCAGTCCCAACTCCGAATGGTAGGTGCCAGGCCTCTGTCGAATACTGTCCAATTCATCTAACTTTGATGTAGCACAATGCAGCGCCGCGACTAACCACCTAATTACCAATGCGGTCTTCAATATCAGCAGTGATCTGATCATGCTGGGTATCGGGCTCTCCTTATTTATACGAAGCAGATTACCCGCCAAGCGCAAGGTGCTTCTTTGCTGTATCTTTGGACTAGGCATCTTTGTCGTAAGTATATGATCCCAACCAGCATTCTCCATTGAAATAAGTCACCAACCGTCCAGATCCTTGCCGCCATTCTGAACAAATATTACTCGTTCTCGCATCCATTTTCCGTCGATTGGACCTTTTGGTATATCCGAGAAGCGAGCACAGCAATGTTGGTTGCCAACATGCCCTTCATCTGGACCCTCCTTCGACGAATGTTCCACCTGGGTGAGTTCGACCCAGGTGAGGGGGGTCGCCAGCATGTGAAATATCATTCTCAACGAACGGCGCGGCCAAGTTCTCACCGTCATCGCCATTCCGACTCGCATCACACGACCTCAAGAGGAACGGTGCATGACGGACGAGGGGCGGGAACTTGGCGGAGTGGCACAGGCAACGGGAGCAAACCGCACAGTCACATATCCAGTATGGATGTCCAGCGTCCGGAAGAAGTAGCACATCTTGGCCACGCATACAGTCCCGCAAATAGGACCAGTCCTGGTCCAAGTGACCGTGCCAACAAAGCGATGAATCCAAGGAGTGGCCCTGACTGGCGAGGGAGCGGGGTGTATGGCAGACAAGATCAAGAATTGTTGGAGTTGGGACCATGGGATGAGGAGGAGTTCGTCACAGTTCCCGTGGAGTTTCAAGGTTCGATTATGTCAGAACTTGAAAGAGCAGCGACTCGCCCTGACGCTGGTCATTCCAGAGAGGGCAAAGGTCCCGCGGTGCAAACCGAACCAAGGGACTTGGTTTGAATGGATCTTTCGTATTGATGTTCGTCACGAATGCCATGACTGATACCATTTGTATGTCGGCGTTGGAAGGAATTGGGATTTCTTGATATGGTGGTCGATATGTATGCCGGGGACACTAAATGCTGTAATAGATGAGCCAAACCAACCGCTCAACACGATAATTCACAGCAATAGAGCGGGACAAAGTACGAATTGTCATTTTTAAATGCCGGACCGTACACCGTGAATGCCCATGTATCTTGCTCGATAAACCGCGATGCAAGTTTTCACAAAGTAACTTTCTCCGCTCGTTTACCACGTTTCAAGCCTTTCGGCATCGCCTTCAAGCAATAACCCCTCAAATACCACCTCCCACATCACCTAGCTTCAGGCTTATTTCGGAACGGTAGACGCGTGTCGCATCGACGATTGTCGGCGCTGCTTCTTGTCCTCGGCACGCTGAGCCTTCTGCTCGTTGAGACGCTTGTGGAGAAGCTTGGAGTAATCGGCCTAGACATTCCATTAGCAAAGGTTCAGAAGTCGAGGTGTTATCATCACGTACGGCAGCATCCTTCTGGGCCTCTGCCCTACGTCGCTTGAGTGCGATCCTGTGACGCTTGTGCTGGAGACGCTGAGGGGTCACAAGACGCTGGATCTTGGGAGCCTTGGTGTAGGGTTGCTTCCCTTCGCCCTTGGGCTGAACTTCGCGGCGAATGACAAACTTGCGGACCTAGGGGGAAACCATCAGCTTTGATACAATGGTGGATCAACAGTGGTTATTTCGCATACATCATCCTCCTTGGTGAGGCCGAAGAATCGTCGGATCTTGGTCGCGCGCTTGGGGCCCAATCGCTTCGGGTGGACGGTATCGGTGAGGCCGGGAAGATCGTTCTCGCCCTGCTTGACAATGGAGAGAGCGAGGACAGCCAAATCCTGAGCCACGATGCAGCCACGGACACTCTTCCTCTTACGCTCACCAGTACGACGCGGGCGGTAGCAGGAATGGCCATCGGAGAGGAGCAATCGGACACGAGTCGGGTGCATGACACCCTGCTTCATCGGGAAACCTTGCTTGTCGTTGCCGCCGGTGATCTTGAAGATGTAGCCCTTGAATTCGTCGCCCAGGCTGTCGGCTGGGACTTCGGCACCCATTCGGCGTTCCATGAAGACGCGAAGCTTGCGCTCATCGTCGACTTCGATGAGCTTTTGCGAGCCATTCGCGGGGAAGGAGATGTTCAGCTTCATCTTGACCAACTGTAGTCAAGATCTCTGGCTGTGGCTGTGGGTTAGAGAGGATGTGGTGGTCGAAGGAGAGATGTTGTGACTTGAAATTGAGGGTTTCGCTTAGTGGATGCGAAAGGTGAACTGAAGGAAAATTGATGTTCCGAGTTGGTGTGTGTGGTGGATGGAGAACGGAGGCTTGGTGGACGGGATAGACCTGAGGTGCAGTTCTTTGCCAATTTGCTATTTTGCCTCAGGCCTCGCGCCCACTGGACGTGACCAGCGTGCCAGATACCAGCCACATCCACTAGCCACAGTGATTTGCAGGGATCCAGGCTCGCATCATCAGAGGCCTCAACAACTGTCATCTCTCATCATCGGATATTTCGATACATGGATTGGGCTCTGCCACTCTTCAGTTCATTCTAAACAACAGGGACAACAAAGCTCCACCGCGTTCAAACTTCAAACACGTTGTTCAGTTGCCAATCATAATGCAACTGGCGTCACGGAAAGGATGCAAGCTCCGTTATTGATTCGGCCCATGCTGGAGTCCGTTTTCTTTTCATGACATCGGGATAATCCCAAATTCAAACCGTTCCCATCACCGTAAAATCCGAAGTCTGCAGCATGGAGACGATTTTAGCATGTGGTCAGAATTGGTTCCACCAGCTAGACGATTCACCTTCGACTTTCATTACACATTTCAAACCCCTTTCCAATCTACCGATATCAGGGAGTTCCACTGTTCGGGTGCTCCACGCTGGATGGTCTTCAAGTGTCTTCGCTGTCGATGGCCTCAATTCGAAAGTACCACTAAAGGTCTGCCGTGGAAAAGTCCCTCTTCCTGATGTATCACACAATGGCCCTATTTCATCCATCACTCCAGAATCGCACAGATTCCGACGCTCTCAATCGATGTCGTTGCAATGCATTGACTGTGGTCTGGCAGGAGACAATAGTACTTCGGCAAATTTATTTCAAGCCGCTTTACAAGGGGCCTTCGGTCAATCCGATCTTCCAGCTGATATAGACTCTGACCACGTGTTTCATATGGCATGCACTGCGGCGAATCGGGTTGCCATCCTCACGCATCAGTCTCACGGCCGTTTGATTGTTCTCGAGTATGAAGTTGGGGTATCTGTAGGCAATGGATCAAGCTGTTCCACAACTTTCCAGAAGGTCCTAGCAACAGAAGTACAAGGCGAAAAAGCATATCTCTACTCTGGAAACACCTTCTTTCTACTTGGTGTGAATAATTCCCAGGTCTACTCATGGGGAGATGCACGATTTCGAAAATGTTTGGGAAGAGACATTTCCAGTGCCGCAGCGGACAAGTTGGGGCCAGTCCCTCTGCCATTCACGCCGAAGAAATTCTCTGTAGGTGGCTACGTTGCTGCAGCTTTATCCCAAGGTGGCAGATTGATTATTTGGGGTCAACCAAGGCCTGGACACGAAACTGCGGGTCTGCCTGGAGTCGAGGGCGATGCAGAAGATTTTGCAGATGTATCTATGCCCGGAAACGCACTTGTCGAAGATTTCGATATTGGAAATGATCATCTAGCGGTCCTGACGAGAGACGGTCGCGTCTTCACTGCAGGAGCAGGGGAATGTGGTCAGCTTGGAATCGGAGCACAACTCGATTGGCAGCAGTCTCTGGTTGAGGTTTCCGAGCTCTCGACTAAACGTATACGGGAAGTGCGTTGTGGGTATGCTTCGACATTTGCAATCTCGAAACTTGAACAATGTGCGGAACAATTCTGAGCAAGAGACGGATATTTTTTGTCAATCTGTACCCCATCTGCGAAAGGTCAAGTCTTTCTGGCCCACTCTTCAATATACCCGATGATTGCAGCTATATCCCTCCCACCATATGTACCTAATCCAAGAATGCACATCGAATTACCACCGAGTCAGATTCTCTTGTGCGGATATAATGGTTAACAGTTAGGAAAGGGAGCAACTCCATTTGGATCAGTGATTCCAGTCAGGCTGACATCGTAAGGCCATAAGGCACACACCGATTTTCTCCGCATCTCCTCCGAACATGGAGTCATCAAAGTTTAGATCTCCCAAATCTTTCTCCAACTTTTGCATCTCCAAGTTTGTTTCCACCCGTACTCCCCAAGAAATTTCCAAAATACTTTCGTCCTACGATCTTAGCACAATGTCGTACTATGACGAGATCGAAATCGAAGACATGACCTTCGATCCCACTTTACAAATCTACCACTATCCATGTCCCTGTGGCGATCGATTTGAAATTTGTATCTCGGACCTACGCGACGGTGAAGATGTTGCCGTCTGTCCCAGCTGCAGTTTAATGATTCAAGTTATCTTTGACATGGTTCGTTCTGCGTTGGAATGTGCCCTTGCCTATTCTCATCCTAACTGGTGCCACCAGGAATCATTACCGCAAGAAGAACCCGAAGTCAACGAACAATCAGACCAAGTCGCTGTGATAGCGTGAAGAGGACCGACTTTCGTCGACATTGTTTCGATATGCCTGCGATTTCCATACCTCAGTCGTTGAACGACGTTCAAGCAACCATGGATTGGCGTCTCCTACAAGTTGGGCATGGACAGACTAGTCGGGTGGAAGTTGTCCTTGAGACTATGATACAAGCGCATGGGGGCGATTCACCTCCCGAACAAACACGATGTGGATTGAGGATGGGCACCCTGCCAGGTCACCGATCGTGATGGGGTTTACTCGATGGGCTTGCCCTTGAGTTACCACAAGGCGCGCACTGCTCCGTGGGCCACCCACGTCTGGGTACGGAAGCATAGCCTCTGGAAGCCACCAAGCAGCAGGGTCGCCGTCCTGTTCAAGGGCTGACACATGGTCCTTGGCTATAATCCATCGTTGTGGCTAGATTCGGCTTGTTGGCCATATGGGCTGCGCCTTTGGAAGCCGGTCGGATGGGAAGCGTCTCTTCAGTGGCTTCTAGAACGAGACACTGGAGAGATCTTGGAGGAATGCGCTTGTCCAGGGTTCATGAGTTGTCTGAAACTGCAGTTGTCGGCAAGGGGGTGGAGGAGGTTGGGAGAGTAGAGCGTGCGCTTCATTCGAAAACATAAATATCGGCGTCAAACTTCGAAGACCACGCTTGCTATTGACTAGAATGATTACACTTTAGGCCTCAAACACCAATGTCCGCCCATTACTTGACCAAAGGAACGGTGTCAAACGAACATCAAGCCTCTGCAAGACCGTCATCCATAGCCACGCCTATCTCCTTGCGGAGCAGGTCAGTCAAACTTGACCCATCCCGAAGATAGATCCACTCTCCCTGTCCAGCACCCGCTTTGTCATGCATACCCTCGCCTTTGACCACCCAGTCGTACCGCTTCGGCCCACTGATAGGGGAGCTCAGCCAAATCTGACGGTTCGGAGGCTGCTTGTTTAGTACATATGTGCCTTTTGAGGCGATCTCGATTTCCATGACACCAGCCTGATCAACTTAGCTTTGGCCCGGATGGATATAGTGACCATGCTTACCGAGAAATCGACCTCGAAGCCGCCTTGCTTCTCCTGCATCTCCTCCAACCGAACTACCAGAGTGTCAAGGTATATGTTGGCTCGCTCGTTGTAATCATCCATGGAGAGCTCGACCGGTTTTCCCTCGATGCTATTTTTTGATGTGCTCTCGTCTGGCTGCTTTGTATCCATCGGCTTTGGAAGTATTCCGTAGCATGCTCTTGTCGAGTGGATCAAGCGGCTCTGCGACCATGCAGGCACGGGGTTTGGTCTCTTGGAGATGGTCTGTGATGGTAATCGGATTGATACTCGATCTCGCATTTGAATAGGTCGAGGAATCACCGTCTCAGCACGCCCTAACCGAATGGTGAGGCCAGATCGGGAACTGATGCGGGGGAGAGACTTCATGGTAAGGAAGGTAGACGACGGGAAGAGCGAATTCAATGACGTTTTGAAAGGCTGGTTGCTCGGGCTAGGTAATCGGATCAGCGGGGAGTGACCACGGGTAATAAGAACCGGTCAATTGAGTGTCGTGGTGTCGTATTCTAGAGGACAATGGAACCAGAAGGCTTCATGGCCATACATGGATTGTTAGATGGAGAATGGAACCGAGCTGCGAGCGTACATAGAAGGAAGTATCAACTAATTAGGAACGTGCAGCAGCTTGAGAAGCACATAAGAACCCTAACGTAGTACGTACCTGCCCCACGTCAGAGCTCTTAGAGTCTCGATCCATGTCATCGTTGACCTCTAGGCAAGTGCCATCGCCTACTTCCTGACATGTCCAATACGGCAATGTTCAATAATGCACTCGGTCACTCCAGTCAAATATTAAATCATTATGCACCCCCGGGACTGATAGGCTCGGTACATCTCCAATCATGATCAATGCCGTGTTGGTCTTCAACAACTCGGGACAGCCTCGTCTTACCAAGTTCTACACGCAATTGGTTGGTGATGAATATAATGTGTAGATGGATCTGCTGGGCACCTCCACTAATACCGTAGCCATAGGACACGGCGGTTCAGCAACGGCTCATATCCGAGATTTTCAGTTTAGTGTCCAATCGACCGGCTACGGCTTGCAACTTCCTCCCGTGAGTCGGCCTTGGTTCTCCGCCATGCGATATACTCACTCCTCTTCCAGACTGCCTCCATTACTCGCTCCTCCGCCCAATGCCCAAAAGTCGAGTCAGCCACAGCCGATACATACCGATACCCCGTCTCTTGTGACGTATCGACACTATGCCACGCTATACTTCATCCTGATATCCACTTCGACCGAGAGCCCGCTAGCACTTCTTGACCTCATTCAAGTCTTCGTCGAATCATTGGATCGACTATTCGAGAATGTCTGCGAGTTGGACTTGATCTTCAATTTCGAGACCCTTCACGCAGCTCTGGGCGAGATGATCGTTGGGGGTGTCGTGGTGGAAACGAATCTGGATACCATCGTCTCCGGCGTGAGAACCCAAGGCAAGGTGGCGAGACGGCCGGTCAACGATTCTAGAGGCGGATCATCCTCTGGAGGAGTGTTTGGAGTACTCGGCAGAGGGGAGGTTTTCTCAGGGCGATGACACAAGGACATTTGATAGAATGCTGTGGGTAATGTCGGCTCCCTGGTGATGTCGAGCTCGGGGGTGGATTAGATGCGCCTAGATCATAGGATCTGTGGTATTTTGGGAAGAACATTAGCACCGCATTTACATGTGGCGACTGGCGTGCTATGAGTACGTCAAGGGATGCAAGGACATGCTCGGGACAGGTCGGACGGAATGGTTGATATCCAATAGACTTTGATTTAGGATCTCATCTGTGCCAATAGACCTAACTGTACCCCAAACGCCACAACCACTGATGTTATAATACCTGAGTCCACATTCAGGGCAAGATTTATTTCTGGCGTGACTGGGTCCGCGCAGATATAAAACCGGCCGTGACATGCCCCTTGAAATGCCTACCGTCGCTGTTCTCTAGCAGGATTAGACTGGGTCGATAGGATACATGTAGCAAACTTCAAGTACCAAAAGTAGAGAGTAATCGGGGGGGCATTTTGAAGAAATGAGTTCATCATATGGCATGATCCAGTCAAATTGAGGTCGTCATCTTTCCGTTGACCCAAGAACACTTGGATGTAGCTAATCCAAGCTGACCGCCCATCTCGATGTGCCGTCGCCGCGGGGTTGGTGGCGGTATGGACAAAGGAAGCCTGTCGTTGTACACAACGTAGATAGATCCCCAATTCCCCTCCTACTGCTACAAGATAGAAGGCTCGGAGAGAGTAATTCATTGGCATAAATGCGAATTCGGCGAGGGCGGTCCATGAGAGTGGTAATATCGTATTCGAATTTCGCCCTCCCTCATTAAGGGACCCACCAATACTGATGTATCATCCCCATCGGACATCTTCTGTGACATTGTGCATCGGCAGGGTCGTGCTAGAAGTCCAACATGGAGCACAATGCACCGTCGAGTAGGCTGGCTCCCAGTCCAGGCGATTAACTCCATAAAGGTACCTTGCATGAAGATGGGTCATCTTGTCTTCGACGCAAGCTCCATTTGTCCATCTTCCTGACTTCCAGCCTTCTCCCCACCAGAGGTCACCGTGTTTGGCAATGCTTGCGGCGACTGCACAGCGGAAGTGGATGGGGTCGCATTGGTATCTTGGCTCCTCAGTGAACGCTTGTTAAACATTGGCTCGAAGGTGTACACTCCTACAAATCTGGTCAGTATATGGTCCGCAAGGAGATTCCCAATGCCGTACCGCCAGCCACGCCTGCAACCAATGCAGCAGCAAATGAAATGAATCCTCCCGCTCGACTCATCTTGCAGTCCCCTCCGTCCAGACACTGAATGACGGTGGCACGAGTAACAATCGATTCGTAGAACGCAGTCAATGTCAAATGCGAAGAGCCATTAAAAGTCAATGCCGCGATAATGCCAGGTCCCGATGAAGTTGACGTCTTGAGTCTTGAGGATGCCCTGAAATCTGAGCAATATTAACAGAATGTCCAGCGATGGGATCCTGAATCACGTGCCTTCAGTCAATTGCCCCACTTTTAGCTCGACGCGTCTGGACGCGTCTGCCATCCATCCGATCGGATCGAGGCATCCAACTACGAACGTCGAATGAACATCACGAATTGTCGAATTCATAATACGCAACGCACGGCCATATCTTCAATCTCTTCGCAGCCTGCCGCCTCCAACATTATTTGGAACTTAGGTCCTTTTGAGTTCACCATGAAATATTCTCCACGAATACACACACTCTAATGAGACGGTGGGAGATCACGGGAATAGTTCCTGACTCGGAAGAGGAGGACGACAGTCTAGACGAAAGCAGGAATCCGATTTCTGGATTAGCCATAGATTCCCATGGCTCACAATTACTTGTTGGACTGGAGAAAGATGACCATCATGACCCCGTCCCCCATGGGCCGACACGAAGCCCAAACCCCCCTGGAACACCTTCCATCCACAGTGACAGAGGAGTTCGAGGGTCAGGAGAGGATCATTGCTCACAGAAGAGCACACTCACTACGGCTTCATCAGCATTAACCGTTCTTTCTCAAACGCCGGATACCTCTCCATTTACGAATCTACATCCTGGCCCATCAACACCTCCTCGAGCTCCCCTCAACTCCAATACTTTACACCAAACTTCAGAGAGCGGCCCAGACATACGCCTCTTCACCAGGAATCTAAGGACAAGAAAGGATAGACAACTATTCCCTTACACTTCAGAATATCTGGAGTTCAATCGTCGAATTAAGAATTCTGGGATCCCAATCGCCGAGCTTGGCCCAGCAGCGCGGAGAGCCTACGATGCTCACCGGCACAAGGAGAATGCGGCCATCGAACCCCAAAATACCGAAACGCAATCTTCTGAACGAGAATACGGTGAGAATGGTGAGGAGTGCCGGAGCTCACCTATCCGCGCCTCCCCTCTACCAGACTCCGGCCGGACCGAACCTACCACACCCAAGGTCATTGAAAGCGATGAAGAATCCGTACCTGACTTGAGCATTGTGGTCCGAAGGAACGGCAACAAGCGTCTAAAGCTTGCCACCTCCTCCACCCGCAGGAGGAATCGTTCAGAAGCGAACTCCCGACCCGGACCTAGCCCGTCAACTCCACAAGATATATTCGATATTCCCGATTCATCGCCTTCCGCCCGGAGTGCTAGTCCTGCTGAAGCCCCGCGATTTCGTATGCCGAAGGGGTTTCAGAATGGTATACCCACACCGACTGCCAAGAAGCCTGCGGGAGCTGTTCCCCATCCCACATCCACGAGGGCGAAAAGCCACCATCGGTCCGTTGCTCAGGGTGCCGACCAAATCGATGGTCGACGGGAAGCCGCGCAGACCCCTTTGTTGGCCATCTCTTCGGACGATGACTCAGACAAATCAGCCTCCGCAGAACAGTCTTTGCCCGGCAATGAATCGGAAGATCATAGTCAGTTACGGCAAGTCACACGAAGAATCAAAGGTGTCCTTCCAGCTTCCTGGGTTAGGCTGGATCGACAGGCGCAGGATAGCCGACAGAAATCAAAGCAGGATTTGCATCTAAAGTCTACGCAGAGACCTGGGCCCGGGAAGGGGATTGCGGTCCGAGTCAATCGGAGTCCTTTTCGAAGCGAGGCTCAAGACGCGCAACTCACCCTCTTCAGCGACTCCGAATCGTCCATTGCCACGTCTTCGAGAAACAATACTCCGCCGATCAGAACCAATCCTACTCCTACTGGCAGCAAAGAACAACCTCTTCCTGCCGCCGATGATACCGAGACGTTTGATGATCTCGAGAATGAACCCCATGACGACTCGTTCTTCTATGAAGAGCCCATCCGTGACGCACCTTCAGCATGGAACAACCGCATGTCTCATCAGCCCAAAATTACGGAAGCGTTCTCCAGGCCTGTTCGGTCTCCACGTGGACTTATTCGCGAGTCCAATAACTATGCGACCAATCAACCAAAGCGACGCAATGCTGATAAACACAGAATGCCTCAACCACGGCGCCCAAGTAAATCTGTGCAGCTGAGCATCCTTGACGTTGAGCCGACTGAAATGATGAACAGCACCGGTGAAATTCCACACTTTCTACGCCTGTCCCTCCGAGAAGCCAAGAAACGACCGGACCATGGAAGGCATTCACCAGGCTCAAAGCACATTCGCTTACAGAACGCCACTGATACAGCCGATGCCCAGGATACACTAACCAGGTGGCGTACCCGTTCCATATCTCATAGGCCCCTTCCAGGCCGCATGCCCTCTGGGGCTACTCCTGGTCACCTAGCAACGAGGGCTCCATTCCAGCGACAATCCAAGCTTCCTTCTCCAATACCTTTTGGGCCACAATCCCATGAAGGTTCCAAACGTCCGCGATTAAAGTCCGGGCATCGACAACTCTTACTCCCGGAGTATCCCCTTTCCAATCCTCCCTCAACCGAGCAGTTAAATGCCGATGAGCCAGAAGAAGCTAGTCCGAAACAGAAGAGGAGGAGTACCACTCTCCAAAATCGGTCGCACAAGCCAATTGCTCGCTCAAAGTATCGCAATGCCCAGCTTGAGGCCGTCGAATCAGAGTACAATTATAGTCACCAGTCGACTGCATTCCAGAAAGGGTTGCAGAGAGTCAATACTCAGTTCCTGAGATCAAAAGATGCTGAACAGAGGAACAGAATTGGCCTCCATCTTCAAACCCGAACACTTGGCTTCAATTCCTCACATCGACATGGCCCGCCGATTTCAACTATCATAGTGAGAGAGACCAATTCGGAGCCAGGTGTGACACCCCACCCTTCACCAAATATCTCTCGACCCCGACGGCGAAAGGTTACCCCAAGCCGAGTGGAAGTAGATCTACGGGAGTACCGCCAGCCAAGTGAGCCCTTGCCGGTGGATTCAATTGTCGAGGACCAATACACACGATCACAAGATGACACCAATTCCCTTTATGGTCTTCAGCCTTATGGAGCTCGATACCCGGTTACCTTTGACATGTCTTTACTTCCCTCTGACACGTACTTTCATGATTCCACGTTCATCGGCAGTGGAGATCTGCGTCTTGCTTTGGATGCCAGAAGCCGTGATTTCGACCACCGACGAGGCACGATGACAATCCGATTCGCATCGCAGGAGTTCCACTTTGGCCCTTGGAATGAAGAGACATCGTCGCAATTGACGGACATCTTCCAACGTTGTGGAACGCTGGTTCAATCTGCATCACAATGCGATGATCCAGCAACGCCAATGTCAGAGGTTATACTGGTCCTGCGTAGCCTCATCAAGCATTTCGCTTCTTTTCTAACCTTCGTCGACCCGATAGACCGGGAAAACTTCTCTTCGAAGCTCCAATATTCATTGAAGCCCTTCCTCGAAGTCATACGCGAAGCAGCGTCCACACCGAATAGCCTCTCAATCTTCGTGACGGCCCTCCTGCGAGCTATTACATACACGATTATTTTACTACATATTAGTGTCTTTGCCTGTTCGTCCGGAGAACTTGCTCGACAGCCAACACAAGATCTGAAGCTCCTGAGAGACGAGGTCACGAAAGCATCGTTCTCTCTTATTATTCGGTGTAGCATGCCGCAGATCCGCGCTTTTCTCGAGGATAGCAAGCGACGGGAATCGAGAGAAGCGGGCATCCGGAACGACCAGGCCGCCATTGAAGCCGTAGTCGTCCTTTATTGGGTCTACCATCGACCACTCTCGGAAAAAGATGCGAATCAGGACATGTTCTGGTCTCAATTCAACTTGGCAGTTGACTGCACCCCATCGTCCATTACCAACGTGGCCGAGTTTGATAGGCTCTGGTATAGCATGTTCACCCTGCTCCCGTTGGTGCAGTTTGACAGTGGTGGAATACCTCGAACTCCAGGTCAGCATTCCGGAGCGAACAACTGGGGTCTTGTCAAATTGCTCCTAGGACGATTGATTGAACTTTATCCACCAACCTCTCAAAAGGTCGGAACCACTCTCAATGAATACGTGCGAGCCGTTCTTTCACGATGCCTTGTACTCCTAACACAGTGGGGTTGGCATCGTTGCGAGTTGATCCTCGGGATGATTTTCGATTTCTTCGCTAAGAGGGGTCTTTCATTCCTTCGAAAGGAGGATGGGCACTCGTCTCCGAGGTTTCTGGACGACCGTCTTCAGACATACGAACTCAAACCTTCCTTGGACGACAAGTCTTTCCACATTTTTCTCAAAATGTTGTGGTTCAATACACACTGGCTGACAGCCAATCTGGAGCCGAAGAAAGTCCTGAACATCGTCTACAGGTTCATCCCCAACCACGGCCGAGAATACCCCAAGGAAAAGGCCATGCTGCAGAGCGATCTGGACGCTTTGAGAAACCATCATGACTTGCTATGCACATTATATCTGTGCTCGCCAACTGGGTATCGGCTGAAATTAGACTGGATTTGGCAGCTGGTGGACTTTTCGAGTTCGCATATTCAGGCATGCCAAGTCAATGTACGCACTTGGGCAAGAATTGCTCGTGGACTGCTTGAGCAGCGTAGCGAGGTCATCTGCTTGAAAGAGTTAGCAACTCGCTTCGAATCGATTGTCTCCGCAATGGTGTCTCAATATCACCTTGCTCGGACTGAGGCAGAATCGGTCTATGATGATAGCCAGGGTAGCCACGAAGGCATGGTTTCCGAAGCAGTGCTAAGAGCCACTATCATTAGCAACCAAACCACAGTTTGCTCCGTTCTCACGAATGCAATGGTTGGACTGAGAGACGCTGCAATATGCGGCAAAGAACCGGCTGATATTGCTCCTCTTCTGGACTCGTCTGTGTTCGACTTGGTATTCCCCTTGTGTCGGTCCACTACCTATGTCCCTAGGGCAACATTGATGGAGACACTACGTGTTGTATACGCATTCGTGGAACTGATTAACCGGCAGCGCACCGAATCTACGCAATCCCAAGGCACAGATGCGACTCAGAACACGATCATGAGCTCTCAAGCCGACCGTTCCGCGATTCCAAGGCAGAATCCTCCAAGTTTGTGCGAGAATGTCGAGATTGTCGTCCTTCAACGAATCGAAAACTCCCTCGCACGACTTCTCTCGGACAGTTTCGGGGCCGACTTGCCACCAGAGGATGAATTCGTTGCTTACCTTGTGGAAGTTTGGGTACTCCTTGCCTCGAGCACTGTTTCGCTCGGTATTCATGACTGGTCATACTATATCAATTCATACAACCCCGGTTCTTTCTCTTTGCTCGCAGACAAGTCTCCAAAACGAAGGTTTGGCCCGCTACTCCTCGCAAAGATCATCTTTCTATATCCCGCCGCATATACGGAACACCGAGAATTTTTCCTTACGGCATGGTTGGTGTCCTTGGCTGAGCGAGAAGCACTGGTGAAATACCAGAACATTTTCACGACGGCCATTCTGAACGTGGCACTGGATGATACACTCGTGGACAACCTTCCTGTTTGCAGGAATCCGCAGCGCGATTCATTCGAAATTTCGCCCGCAGAATTGAAGGAAAGGCGCATGGCCATCATATCGTCCGTCTTTTCCAACATGCGGAAACACTACGATCACAGCAAACGATCAGGCAGTTTCCCAGACGTGCAGAAGGAATACGTCAGCATGTTGCAGCCGCTTCTGACTGCCATGAAATCCTATTCTTTTGAGCTGCATCCCTATGGCACGACTGGTCCAACTCCTCTGCCCAACAGGGGACGATACGTGGAGTTCATCCAAACTCTTCTGCTTAACTGGCAGCAGTATGTTGATGTGATCCTGCCATTCGATCAGTTCTTCACAAACAACCCAGCCTTCCCTCAGCCTGATTCCGATCCTGCTTACGTGGCGGCAAAGATTATGTCACTGGGTCTCGCTGTCACGGATATACGCACAGCAAAGGAGCTCGTGTCTTTCGTCTTAAACCTTATAGACCCAACTGCTCCCGAGGAGACTCGATCCTTGCTCGTCATCCAGCTAGTTAAAGCAACGTTAGATGGCCACGGCGAAATCGACAAAACCACCCCAACTCTCCTGAGTCTGTTCGTCTACTCCATCTTTCCTCCATACATCGAAGTCTCCTTGGGGAGTCCAAGTCCGTCCATCCTTGCGACACCGATGCTAGAAGCAGCGTCTCTCCTATTCCAAGGCTTGTTGACTCGATTAAATGTCTGCAACTCGGAGAGCAGGAAATCCGGCGTTCAATTGATCACTAGTATCCTCACGACCATCCAAACCGCAATGATGGCTCTGATGCGAGATTGCTCGATCCTTCGAGAGGTTTCTGTGCTTCGCAGTCTCGAGCTACATGCCAGGGTTATCATTTCCACCCTAGCACCGCTAGATTACCTGCAAAGGCGACAGAATGTCATCACAGCTTCAACCCATGCAATATGGGACCTGGTGTCTGTCTTTCTTGACATTGCTAAGGTCCTTCTGGGGCAAGAGGAGGTCATCGGCTCGATGATCAATCTGAAGCGAGCGAAGGTGGACAACTACTTCCTTGCTATCAGAAGCTACTGTGGGGATCAGATTGGCCGTCACCTGAAATCCTGTTGGAGGAATGAAGGCAACAAAGCTTACACGTTGCAGGGTAGAAAATGGGTGAACGTTGAAGTAACCACGGGATCATTTGGCGAAGAGAAGGATCGACTTATGCTGGCGATAGAGGATCTTTATCATTCATTGATGTCGTATCCGTCACTTAAAAGTTATGATATTTTCTAATGTCTTGGACGGCCTCGAAAGCAACTGAGAATGTTCACAGGGGTTCAAAAGCCATCGCATTGTTCAGTTAAGATACCCATTCTCAATTTGATGATCTCATGCAATCGGGAGCGTTCCCCAATTATGAATTCAAGGCATATTTTACAATCCAAAGAATTCAAGGATTTGCACAGGATGGACAGGAACAGTGTGTCCTACCCCCTGAGCGCTGTAACCGACCAACTTGGTTCCATCGCCATATATCAGCTTGGTGTACGACCGTTGTGGTGTGTTAGGAACTTGCTCCGTAAGCTGAACCCCGTGAATGTTACTCCACTGCTTCAATGTCTCCTCTAAATTCGGATATGTCACCAGTCGATCGCTAGTCCCATGCCACACTTGCACCCGGGGATACGTCCCATTATATCCCGGGTAAAAGGATCTAACCTGATCACCCCACTGCTGCGGCGTTTTGATGATCTTCCCCGCTGCACAGTCTGGATCAGCGGACAAAGGGCCAGACCCTGGCGAACCTGCTAAGCATCCAGCAGGTACGCCGGATATGGGTGCTCCGCCGGCAAAGACATCCGGGTACACGGCGCAGAGGACGTTCGTCATCATTCCCCCTGAAGACGAACCAGATGCGAACACCCTCTCCGGATCGGCGTTGTACTTTTGAATAGCGTACTTGACCATGTTGACATAGGCCAAGCTGTCGCTTCCGCCATTGTGCGTCAAACTGGCCGTCGTGGCAACGTCATGGCATCGTTCTCGATTATTCGCTCCCGGATAGATGACGATAAACCCTCGCTGGTCAGCAGCTTGCGTATACTCTTTTGTGCTGCTGTAGTATGCCTGCGCTGTCTGCATACAGCCATGCAGCTCGAAGACGTTAGTTTGAGATGACTAGAGTGGTTGACACTTCTTACTGCGACAAGTATAGCAGGATTCGGAGCAAGTTTGTCAGGAACCCAAATGTTCATCAATGCATTGCTAGGGTTCTCCCCAAAGTTCGTCACTTGTTGTAAGGACGCCGCGTACGCCGTGGCAGCGAAGAGAAGTGAGAGCACGAAGCTCCAGGATTGATGAAACGACGCCATAAGTACGGAGTTCTTGCCACTAACGACTGAGAGAATGCTGGTAAATTCGAGCTTGAACGCTGGATTGTGACAACGTAGCAATGGAACAGGCAACAGAGGACTTAAATACTGAAGTAGGCAAAGTAGAACTGAAGCAATATCAAACTTATCGGCATGTAAATACGGGATGCGTCACATTCGAGTGCTCCATCTAGATAGACTGCATCTCGCCGGGTTCAAGCATCGTGGAAATTGGGTGAGACTCATTACAAAACACCCAAGATCCTAATACTTCCGATTAATGGGCAGCAGAAATAAAGGACCGTCTAGAATTAGCCCAAGAGTTCAGGAAGTCCTTTGAAGAGTCTGGCGGGGAAGCCACAAATTTCATGCCATGAAGTTTCGATATTAAATATATTGCTCGCCCTATCTCCACAAAACAGAGGGTTTAGCCTCCCGGGAACCGAGTATATCCAGGTTTGGAATTAGGGCACGCAGCTCGGCAGTTAGTAAATGCCATTTGAAATATCAGTAAATCGGATTCTGGCTTTGACCTTAATCAAGGGAGACTCCACATGCTTTACTGAAGAACTAGTTGGTCCAGGCAGCATCGTAGCTCACCCCCAGCAGGCTTGGTGGCTTTAGGAGTTGGTGACAAGCATTCACCAAAGAAATAAATGCCTTGTCGATTCTCAATACTAGGGCTGGACGCGAATATTCGTAGTCGAATACGAATAAAATTTAGAATTTCCGCTTACTAATATTCGTACGAATAATATTCGCATTATTCGTAATTATTCGTAATTATTCGTCTATCTCTGAAGCTATTTCCATGTATCTCGCATCGGAGAGATGGTCGACAGAGAGCTTTGCGCTGGGGTCACTTGGCTTGCTGAATCGTCAGGAGTGATCAATTCGACGCTATTGATATGCTTTGTATCTCTTAGAGCTCAAATCCTCCAGATCGTGTTCGGGTAAACAAAAGTCGCGACTGCTGGGCATTCATTCATTGGCTCGACTTTTGTCGAATAAGTCTTGGCATTATTTACGAATATTCGCGAATAATACGAATAAAACGTCTCAAAACTTAGTCGAATACGAATAGAATAATCGTTCAAGAGGAAAAGTCGAATACGAATAGCCAAAATCCTTATTCGTGTCCAGCCCTACTCAATACCGAGGAACAAGAAAGCGGGATATCCGTATCTATAGTTAGCCTAGCTCGATAATTTTTGGTTCTTTTTTGCGCTTCTAGCCAGTCCCCCTATCATGCCGCAGCAACAAATCAAATCACTGGCGCATCACTGTTGACAGAGATATGAAACGTTCCGTTGGCAAGGAAGTTAGATTTTTGTTCTTACTGAAAACGACGCTTTTGAACCCTAATAGCAAACCGCTTGATCAACCTAATATTTGCAGAAGACAGACTTCCCCCTTGTGAATCATCTAAACGCTGCTAAGAGGCTCGTCGTCGATCCGGGTCATTGCAATGAAGGGAGGGGGCATCGTGCTGGCAGTCTTCACCAATTTCTTCGGTAGAAATAAAGTAATCCCGTCATCGAACTCCTCAGCCATTTATCTAGTGTTATATACCAGCACCCTGGGAACGAGGATTATAGAGCTACTATGAGGCAGTCAGAGCCGGCCTCCTCATTCTCTAGTTGCGGAAGAGAAGCGTCTTGGTTCAGCAATCGAAGGATAATGTCTCTATATACCTAATTTAGCAGAGAAGGAAATTATCAGGGGTTTTAAAGTACCGTCTGGGGTGTGTTTCCATTCCATATAATATTATATCCCACTTCAGTAAGCTTTTTATACCCGTCAAGCAGTTGATCATCCAATATGCCTCGACTGTGCTCTTCATACTAAAGTCCCTGCTATTTGCGTTAGCTATCAACCTCAGTATCTAAGCTTTTGTGTCCTTGGTGTCCTTGGTGCCCTTGGGGTTCCTGGGTGCCTCTGGCTTTTAGGTCTTCGACTTCGGTACTGGTTGCCCCTGCTGCATGGTTTGCAACGTTTAGGCTCTCCCGTAGTGTCCAGTGTATAATACCAGACCTTTTGTGCTTGTCGCAATATACCGCGTGCTTGTCACAGAAGCCGGTTGTCTTGCACACCCGGAAGCTATGTATGGTAGGCATGGGGGTGGTGATATAGGGAATGCGGAGAATCGATATTGAAATAGCCAGTGGCTGAGAGATGGTTGAGAGATGGTTGAGAGGTAGAGGGATATGAAGTTTAGAGGAGAGCTGACCTGAAAGATCTTCCGGAGTGTAGAAATTTAAAGGAAGGAAGGGAGGCAGTGTGGGCTATGATGAAGAGTAGAAAGACTAATAGTAGAAGAGTGAATGGCAAGAAGTGGTGAATGTATGAAGAGCTAATGAGTAACCAATGAATGAACGAGTGAAGGGGTAACGAGGGAGTTGATAATGGAGGAATTGGTCCCGATGGAATTGGGAAGGTGATGACAGCGACCACAGCACCACGACTCCAACATAATTAATGGACATACCTGTACTTGGCTTCCTCAACGACACGATTTTAACCTTGGATTGAAACCACTTTTTTCGATCTTCGATATCAAATCACCCTCCGACGTCCTGAAGTCGGCCCCCAGTGTGCCAGAAACCATGGATCCTTTTACATTGGACCTGACCTTATTAGAACACAACACTGTGCTTGCCTTCTGCCTTTAACCACGCACCTCTTTCTGATTCTGTTGAGATCTTATCAATTACTGGTAATCGGAAGAGTCACCTAAGACACACGATGATCATTTGGACCTGACGTTTCGAGTGCACCGCTGGGGGTGGCTTTCAGGCAATGGTTGAAGTATCCAAAATCTGGAAATCACCAGCACCGACGAAGGCACAGCTTTACTATCTTATACGTTCCTTTCAATCAGATAGTTTGCTGCCATCTTGATCGTCGGTTTACGTAGACTGCACTGTGGCTGCTTTCGTCAAAGCAACTGGGCCATGACCGTACAGCGATACAATGAGAAAGCACCGATAGATGCCAAAAATATAGATAGATTGAAGTTGATCCTTAATGAGCGTACACACTACAGGAATACGCTCATCTTATATGTTCTGTATACAATTGATGGTCGTGGGGACCTTGGTTTCCTCAAAACGAGCGAAGAAGCAAAGAAAGAAGCGTTGGTGATATCGTGGGGTGTGGGATGCTCCTCCACGTGGGAACCAAGGGGGAACCATGGGGGAACCATGGGGGCTAGACCACCTAAATACGACTAAGAAATGGGGGCTTGGTAGAGAGACCGGCGGATCCCGAAAAATAGAGATGTCCTGAAAGCCTAATCTCTGACAGATGCACCAATGAAAACACAGATATTCTGTGACAGGAACACCTACATAGTACTACACCGGAGGTGTGGGGCGGTCATGGGGCACGGTTAAGGCGTTTAGGACTAAATATTCCTAAGGCCCTTCCAACCTTGCTGCTTACATGGCCCAGCCAAACCGCTGTCTATTTCGCTTTCCTATATTCCTAAGGCGCAATCCGTGGGCATACATCTTAAGAGAAAAGTTAGTAATGAGTTCGAACATTATTTCATGATAAAGGACTTACGATCGGTAAGAAGGGGAGGCCTAGTCCGATTGATAGAAATGCTAGCATACCAACGCCCCAACCAATGCCAAGAGTATCAAACAGTTGATCACCGAATAACGGGAAGACTAAATATTGAGGTTAGCCCTCTGGAATTATCGAGTGATATATAGGGGAGGATCTGGTTAATCATACGTACCACCCGCGAATAAGCATCGAAGCACGGAAACTATGGGAGGGTTGTCCGTGTTAGAGCGGCCTAAAAGACTAGGGTGTTGTTATTGATTCTAACTTACGTCCAGCTAAAGCAGAGGCCGGGAAGTCAAAGCTGTCGATGATGTACAGCTGAATCGCCAGCTATATAAATACAAGGTTACTGACCCGCCTAGAAGTCGCATTAAGAGCCAGTGTGAACTTACATATGTGTTCGTGACTCCAATGCTGAATATAGCCATGCCTAACAGGGGCTAATGAAGATTAGAAATAAGGATGGTAAGCATGGGTTGGATTAATAAACGGACCACGATGAAATGCGTCTTCAGAGCACTAAATCCATATATGAAAAGTCCGACCGCCACCAGCAAGGCTCCCGGGAAGGCACTCAATAATCTGGCAGCCAGCTTTATGTGAGTCGCTGTTACATGAGAGTGGCATCACCGGGGATCTAATACCTGGACTCGGGCTTGTAGTCTCCTTGGACTTGCCTCTTGTAAATGATATCCAGCACTTTGGCGGTCACTAGCATACCGATTAGGGCACCAACACCTACGGAAAGAAGGTCGACGCCGATGATGCCCTCGGAGTGGCCGTAACCGTCGCCCAGGACAATGTGGAACTGCGAATTTTTGAGCACATAGTTGGTGTCAGAGGGGTCAATAACAAATAGGGAGATGTACCGTGACAATGACGAGGTATAGTACTCCAAACACGAAGGCGTAATAGAGAGACAATAGCATGAGAGCCGGATCGAGAATGAGATACATAACTGGTAGGTCAGCAGCAGAAGCGAATGAAGGGGGCTAAGAACATGAGCAACTGACCTGGCCTAATAGCAGATCCTATCAATGAGGTGGCCGGATGCCTGTCCGGTTCTTCAGAGTTCAACGTGAGCACTGTGTAGAGCTGGTCGTCCGGCCGTTGATTTTGTTCCTTAGCCAATCTGCGACTGAGTAGGATAGGGACGTGAGACTCCTTGAGAGTAAACTGCGCACCAACTTCCAGCACTATAGAAACGATTGCCTAGTCCAATGGATCAGGTCGATTAGTCGAGGATCGCGAACGCATTGCAAGACTAGTAGCTTACCGGAACCCAGCACGTCCACCTCCAAGAAGCTCGCTCGGACATCCACCCACCGCAGACAGGCCCTAGTATGGGCCCCAGCATACTATGATAGGTCAGCGGAATAGGTCAGTCAACGTGAGGAACACTGGCTTAGAACCTACACTGCCGTGCCAATGGCTGCGGAAGCCTTTGCCCTGGTTCTCAGGTCCCAAATATCCGTGAGGACCCCACCAAGGACCGCAAGCGACGCCGACCCACCCGCTCCCGAGAAAAATCTACAGACAGCGAGCTGGGCAGTCTGATTCCCACAAATCAGCAATATGTTTCAAATCCCCGATATGGGGTAATGGCATAGCTGGACTCAGAAACGGGTGCTATACCGTCTGCGAAAAACCTGCTCCGATGCAAAAGGCGCAGAACACGACATTTCCTGTCCGAAGGACAATGGTTCGACCGAAGAATTCGCTCAGCGGGGCGAGGAAGATGGGCGCGACAGCGAAGGCAAGAAGGAAGACGGCGACTTGGAGAGCTCCCCGGATGGGGTTGGTTTCGCCAACATCGGCCATCATGGCTGGGAGGGATGGGGCAAAGATAGTGCCTTGTTGGAGGATGAAGTTAGCTAGAGGACCACACGTAGAATGGAATGGATTGGAAATTGGGGATGTACTGGGGGATTACTGGTGAATGGGGCCAAGAAGCAGTACAGCCCGACCATAACCGTGACAATCCATTTCTTCTCCGCCGTCCAACTCTGCCTTCCGGTTAGCTACCCGTGTCCCTTTTCAAGACACGGATTATGTTTCTGAACGTACTCGGGGGCTTTCTCCAGCTTCCGTGGAGAGAACGACAAGAGCTACGAGACGCACGAGTTTCAGCAAGACAGGATGCCCTTTGGCAAGATATGATCAGGGTATCTACCTGCATCAAGGTCCTTCAAATCCTCCCCCCCATACGTGATTCGATCCGGATTAGACTCTCGCTCCTTCAGGATCTCCTGGTAGCGAACTGCCACTCGAGATCGAGGTGGGCAAGTGCTGGGTTTGCTATCCGACATGTGAGAGAATGAGGGTTGGTTGAATATGATTGAAATGAAGAAGGATATTACTCTTGTTTTTTCTCAGACTCCGGTCTATAGGGACTATTTATATACTGTCTCTACAGCATCTCTACATATTTCCCTGCTGACGGCACCAGCAAGATTCGGTATCGGCCGACCGGAGCCGATCTGATAAAGTAGAATGCCGGAGAGCCCCTTGAGAGCCCTTGGTTTGGCTGCATTATCTCTCAGACCTGAGCGTTGGCGAGGTACAGGACGATCTAATACGGCATCCTTGATATATGAGACCCATTGTGGACCTGATAATCCTTGATCACAGAGGGTCGGACCGATGAATGGATCGGATTTAGGCCCCGCTTTTCTCGGCCGATGACTTCGTCTAGGACATCAAAGCCGGTCACACTTGGCTGTTTGGCTCTCGAATCACGGTGAATAAGTTCGATCTCCTAGAGCTCTGTCTCATACTTAGTTAGTAAGATCCCATCGAATGTGCCCCGACTCACATTAAATGCCAGCCTCGAACAGCCTCGCTGATATCGGGCCGCCCCAGTTAATCGGCTGGATTACGAGGTCGGATATAATGACATAAAACCACATTCCTATCGGCCGATGAATTCCCACGCCATCCTCTCCCTCTAGATTTACAGACCATGACGGAGGATGGTGCTTCATCTCGTAGTCGGCCAATCAGGTCGTGTCAGAGATGCCGCAACTTCAAAGTCCGCTGCAGTAGGGCCAGACCGCGATGTAAGAGGTGCATCGTCGCCGATGTCGACTGCGTGTACGCTTTTGGGGGCACGCCTTTTACCGGCATATCCCCCAGAAGCGAGTCCTCAGTCGAATTGGTCGTTTCGGAGGCTCAACCTGGGAACCCACGACATTCTGCGAAGAAGAGGCGGTTGGGTGACAATGACCGCGCCCAGGTTCCCTTCCAGGCCACATTTATGCTTCAACAGCGATCGCGTCCGGAGAGGAAAAGCCCTGATGGAATGCGGCCCAATTCAGTCGCCAAACGAGAACGTGCTATTCTCTCCTGTCTTCGATGCAGGAAGCTCAAGGTACGGTGTGACCGAGGCGTACCATGCACTCGCTGCGCAAACAACCACAGAAAATTGGAGTGTGTCTATTCCGATTTAAGTATCTCGGGGTTCTCCAACACCCATCCGGTCCATCTCAACAATTCGAACGCACTTGGCGGTGTCGCCACATACTTTGTTGACAACTACTGGGATCAACGGTTCCATAATGGCACACACTGGAAGAATTTACTCCACGAGGTGAGTCAGTGCGTAACATGCCAATTGTTACCGTCTTGCAGTCAAGGAATCCGGGAACTAATTCCGCCATATTAGATCGAGGAGCTTCTGCACAGAACTCCCGGGGAGCACACAGGAGATTTGTCGAACGGCGACCCGCATCCCCATAGTTCGGCAGGGGCTCCCGTTGTGCTCTCGATCAACTATCCCTTCAGCGACCATGACAACTCTCACCAATCCATCACGCTTCTTCTAAATAACCTACCACCGCGGTCTACTCTGGAAGCATTTATAGCCCATTACATGGACACGATCGAGAAGACGTACCACCTCCTAGACACTGATGCGTTCGAGACAGAGGTGCGAGATTTCTGGAGCTGGAAACGAGGATCCGCCAAGCCTCGACCCGACGACGGTTGGCTAGCCCAGTACTTCATGATCATCTCTCTAGGATGCCAGGCCCATGAATTCATTGCCCAGGCAACTAAATCGAACGGATACTCAGACTTGCCAAACCGTCTCTTAACAGGGGCAGAGATGTGTCTCCGACGCACCCCGTTCTTATTCCAACCGACACTGACAAACATCAGGACGCTCTGCTTGATGGTAATCTCTAAGCAGGTCTACACCATGTCCTGTCACCAGTCGGATACGTGCTGGCCGCTTACTGGGATGATCATTAGACTGGCCATGGGCATAGGGTTGCACACCGACCGCCTTCCTATTGTGGAATTGTGGTCCTGCCATGAGCGAAGAATGCGTCGACGGCTCTGGGCATCAGTTGTGTTTCTGGAGATGCGTCAATCGCTCATCTGTGGCATGCCTCTCCTGTTGCGTCCCTGCGACGTTGCCTGTCTATCGAAAGGCACTCCCTCGCCCTCATTCAACAACACCACCCCTTCCTCGGCAATAGAGAACCATAGCTGGACATCGTCGCCAGTATCGGCCGACTCCGAACCCACGCTTCTTGAGAGCACCTTCGGCACAGCGGTCCCGCTCCTGATCCAAGCAATTGACCTGGCCACCGGAGATACCGACGATCCCGCCACGTACACACAAGTCGTCCAAGTCGACGAAGCCCTTCGAAACCTCATCCGCTCCTCTGGCGTCGGTCTTCGACCACCAGTCTTCCGCACCGATACCGACTGGCCCTCCTCCACCTCCATCGATCTGGAAGCATGTACCCTCGACATCTTTTTCCGGCAGACTCTCCTAGCTCTACACTCGCGCTTCGTACTCGGCTCGACAACCTGCGCCGCAGCGGCGCACCCTGACTCAGGGTTGTCTTCCCTCGAGAGCGCCCTGGCAGTCTTGTCCCTGCAGCGGAGTCTCTGCGACGGCGATGGGTGTGAGCCCGCACAGAACAGCTCCACTGCCTGGTTTGCGGGACTGTTTCGGTATGAGTTCTTCACTGCAGCTATGACTGTGTGTTGTCAGCTTGTGCGAGGGCTGGTGGTTGAGGAGGGGCCGATGGCGGTTAGGCGGGAGGATGGGCCAGCGGGTATTATGCTGGAGGCCTTGAAATCGTGTAGGGATATTTGGAGCAGGGAGAGGAGCGCATCGGTGTGTAACGGAAAGGCACATGCGCTTGTTGATAAGTTGGTTGAGGTGTTGCAAGGGAGCCGGTGATAGTAAGGGAGTGGGGTCGAGGCTTTTTACGGTACGGTCCGTGACTATACTGTACGGCGCAGATTCGCGACTCAGAAGATACTGCCTGAGAATAGAACCGGGAGACTATGAGTGGGAACTAGTCTCCGGAGCTCAATTTGACTTGCTGCTGGCAATGCACAAGAACTGATGATGTGTCAGGGGGTTCGGCTGGTGTATCATGAAAGATGGATCGGATACTGCATTACGAAAAGTTTAGGCGCAAATGTTCTTTTCGTTAGACTGCTAGGAGGCAATCATCGTTATAATGTGCCTCGAGGCGTATAGATAGCCAATGACAGAAGGACAGTCTGCACCATCAACCCAGTTAGCTTCCCATTGGTAGAAACTACAGGTTTCCTTCTACTCATCCCAGTATCTTCTACTTCATACCCACGATCATGATTGCCTTCACTGACATCATGGCATTCACTGGCCCAATGTGAGCCAGTCGATTGCTATATTCCGATCGTATAGATGTGATCTCTGGTGCTTTTGCACTATAGGAAAGCTTTTCGGTGGCGTTGCGATGAGCCTTGCGTCTCCCGGATGCAAAAAATGCTACAAGTCCCACAATGGAGAGAGATCCCACGACGGTTCCAATAGCAATGTCGGCCCTTTCGCCAGTGGACCGACCGCTTGACGATTCGGCAGCAGTAGGAACACTACCGCATGAAGGTGTGGTAGCTGGAGGAGAGAACTCGGTCGACGTCACATTAAAGCAAGGCACTTGAATGTCAAAGTTGGTATTCTCCACGAAGGTCTGCAAGGTGAGGGCTGTTAGAGGCATTCACCCAACATTGTGGAGACCAGGAGCTGCAGTGACCGCCATGTTTCCGTACTACGAAGTTCGTGTGCTGGACGCGTGTGATGAAGGAGTGGCTGAACTTTGAGGAGGCCAGGGAGCAGCCGAACCTTTATACCGTGAAACGAACTCGTCTTCTTCCCTCCCAGCTCGCCTACGAAGTCAAAGGCGCGAAAAGCAGTTGGCCGCGGCTTCCGAATTCGGTCCTGTGAGAAGAGCGGGCGTAGAGGGACCAAACCTATTGGTTCAATCTAGGGGTAGGAGACGTATCAAATGGCGCCCTTAGCCTTAGAAGAGTAAACCCGCCTCCTGACCTTGGGAGAATCGGACGGGCCATTCCCAGCCGAGACTTGGCCAGCCAATTAGTCATGATATCGCCTCCATTCTTTTCTGTTGGAATGAAGTAGACTGGACTGATGTGTCCCCTTCGGTCTTTGAAGGAGACATGACCTGTGCTCTCGTCCGGTAGAGGGTCGCACGCTTCAGGCACCGCAGATGCGCCTCGTCCGGACTGCAATGTTCCGTATGGATCTACCGTTTCCTCCAAGCTTGGACCGGAACGACAGCCTCATTGGCGCGAATCCGGCGTTCTGAAGTTTTCCATCTGGCGATCACCTCTTGAAGAAGGGTGAGCGCGTGATCCAAGCCGTGTCGCACCTACGATGGAGCCATCCATACAAGGGCTGCAGGTTGCTATATTTCAGAGACAGCGACGCGTGGATTCGCTCGTATTCGCTCGTATGCATTCTCGGGGAATCTAATCCGAAGTTCCTGCGTGACAGCGTTGCGGCATCTCCGGGGCGGAGGCGTCGTGCATCCTGCATCCTGCGTCATGCATGTCCAGTGACAGCGCCATCGCTTCCTCACGACCCAGTTTGGGTTTGAGCGAACCCCTCCGCCCCTTTCACGCCCCTGCAGTCCGACCATCCCGACCTCCTCGACTGCTCTAGATGCTGCCTGGGGCGCGGGCTGAGCAGGTTTTCTTGAAGATCCTTCGGGATCGCCGGGTGTTAGATAGATTCCTAGCATACCAACCTGCTTCTAGAAAGCCGAGGCGCTAAAGGAGGCGTAACGTCTCGCCGTCCCCCCATTTTCTGGCCGTTGTGCAAAAAAGCAACCTCCTTTGCTCGCCTCGCCTTGCTTTTCCTTCCTTTCCTTTTCAATCTAGACCGACTCAGCCCATGAGACCGGCAATGCCACGTAGCAACAAAAAGGAATGAAAACAATGATACAGGGATTCAGGGATAATCAAGTGCAGTGGACCTTATGGCCGTCCCACTATGACTTAGAATTAAGGATGACGGTGGACCGAGGCCGCAGGAATCGGCGTGGCCGATCGGGATCAACGGCCTTTAATGTCAGAGGCTGCGAGGGAGCAGGGCATGAGCGAGATAATCGGCCGCCCTGAGTTTGGGCAGGACCCGTGGAGAGCAAGGAGGTTGAATTCGGGGAGACGGTCAGTTCTCACTCGAGCAAGAGAGAGAAAAGGCACAGGGAAAGAAATGGGAGGCGTGTCTAGCAAATCAAATTAACGAGGTTCTCGAGAACGAAATGCCCGGCAAACGATACTATAGCGTAGACGGACAGAGTGCAACACTTTGAACGGCGACGCGCAGGAAGTGGGGCCGAAAGGGAATACGGCAAAAGCAGAAAAAACAGGGCGGCGAGCACGGAGAAGGCGGGAAGGAGCTGAGGGTGGGAAGCTGAAAGAGAACCAGGGAGCGAGGGGTCAGAGCAGTCGTGATCCATCAGTCGCTGCAGTTGTTGAGGGGGTAAAGGAAAAGGGAACAGAAAACAATGAAATAAAACGGTAGAAGAAGGGAGTGGGATGCGAGTTTTATATGTTGAGGTCAAGGGAGGCAGACAGGCCGGAGGAGGCGGGAAATCTTCGGATAGTACCCGTCAACCAATGAGGGGCGGGGGTGGGCTCGGTCTTCCAAAAAAGGCAATCCGCCCATTCCGGCGGTCGACCTGCCGTCGCAACTTTTACTAAGTTAACTAACTAGTTAATTAGTAACTAAGTTAGTTAACTTAAGTTAGTTAGTTAGTAACTAACTAGTTAATTATGGATGTTCCGTAACTACATGAGTCTGACGTCCAAATAGCTTGCTGCGGCATTGGCTTCTGTCGTCCGTCTCATTGAAACATTCCCCACCAACCCCTGTCCCCTACCGATTCGTATCAGAGCGTATCACGATCCCAAGGAGTTTCAAGAATGCGCCATTATTCCAGTTCACAGTCGGGAGCTTCTATACCGATCCCTTTGCATCACGGAATGGGCTCTAGATAGCTCTGCCTTTTCACGAACCCCAGCTTCGATGAATTCATTGCGATCTGTTTAACAATCGTGGGAGATGGAGCAGTCGCCTTTGTCCCAACAGGCACGGCCAGACGTGTTTCAACCGAAAGTCATTAAACTCTATGAATCTCTTCTTCTGGTACTTCCATGTTCTCCAAGTCCCTCTCCAAACTTCATGACTAACAGGGTCCAAGGATGATGAAGACGAAGCGGAGAAGCCCGAAGGTTTCTGGCGGGAGTTCTTCCTCCATAAACCAGATACTGCTGGTCTCCGACAACTCCTCGCCAATCTGACACCAGACGATATGCTGCACCTCCAAGTCCGTATGACTTCCGTGGATTCCATACTTGCTGTGCTCACCATGTCGTAGTTTCGAACCCAACAGTTGGTGTCCCATGCGATCGCATATATCAAGACGGGAAGGGGGCCTTCCGATGAAGTCGCTCTGGATGTAAGTGTTCCCTCTGCCGTCATACACGGCATACGTGGGCTCACTCATCAGACTTTGACGGTGTTTCTAGTCTCCGTAATGACGAAACGATACACAAACCCAAGCGCCGATATCATTGCCATCTTAACCGGCCTTAGCGACGCCGACGCGACTTTCGCGGACTTAGTATCTGCCTTGGACTGGACGATGCGAAATGGAAGAACATGTAAGGCTGCTTAAAAGCTGGGGATTGATGGGGATCAATTGCTGACCGTCAGGATAGTGCAACTCAAGCTCCGTGCTGTAAGAGTGGCCTTGTCGGTTACATCTGGATCATACCAGACGGGACTGGTCTCATACTTCACTCATAAGGATCTATTCCCTGCTCTCATGAAGGTCCGTAGGTAGAACCAATCTACAAGGAATGGAATGTTAACGTTCTTGCAGCTCATCCAGGAGTCAGACGCAACCCAAGCCGCCGAGCCATTCGTCCTCCTAGGCCTTTTGGCGAACTACAACAAATTCGAGTTCCAGAATCCTTACCAACTACGACTCAACGACTTCGTGAACGACGCGACTATGAAGATGATTGTATCTTGTATTGGTACTGTCTGTGCCTCGATTCGGGATCGATATGTCACAGTCCAGGACGATGCTCCAGAAGGATGGTCGCTGGGGACGACTCTCACATACTTCGGACTGGGCGGGCTTGCATCTAGGCCGTCAACTCCAAGTGCCAATTCGGAGGAAACGGCCGCTGCTTTTGCCTCGCTGTATGATTGCCTCCCAGAATACGATATGACGATAGCTAACGGATCTCTCAGACCAAGTCCGGACGTTGCGATCTTGCTGCCGACTTACGATTTTGTCAACGCAAATAAGCTGTTCTGCTCGAACTTTGTCCTGAGAACGGCAGACACCAAACTCCAGCATTCCGCGTTTGGCAATTATCTTTCCCTGACTTCATATCTTTTCCAGCATGCCCATCGGTCAAACCGAGCGACTTACTATACGTACATCAGCCTTTACACCATTCAAATCCTTGTTGAAGACCCGATCCTCGTCAAGCATACTTGTAGCGAAGAGAGCAAGACTTCGGTGCGGTTATGTCGGCAGAGACAACCTTTTTTGCCTGCGATCAAAGGAGACCGGGAACTGTGCCCGATTCTGTTGGATCTCATGATCGACGGAATCAATCACAACCTAAGGCGACGACTCGATGTGCAATTCTACCTTCTGTGCATCGGCATCTTGTTGAGAATTATATCCTTCATGGCGAAGTCACGAACGAGAATCGGTAAGATCCCATATGCCGTGAATTAAGAATACTAGGCTGACACCAACCAGTTTATCATTGGGCTGAACTCTGGCGGTCACTCCTTTCTTTCATTCGCTTCCTCACATCATACGCTTCCGACATCAAACCACTTACCAATTCCCATCGCCTTGTCGAGTCCCTCACCGAACTTATCGCGCTGTCGCTCTCTGTCGGAGAATCATTTCTCCCCGATACAGCATCCTATGACGACTTGTTCTACAAGTTGGTGGAGACCGGCGATACGTTGACGAAATTCCGTGATGCTTACAATCTCCGGGTATCTCGTTCATCAAGCATGAGTCACCCTACCCGCGAATCCAGTTCCATCGAAATCTTGACTGGAGTGTCCAGTCATTACTATAGTCTGTTGGAAACGCAAGGGAAAGGAAAGCTACGAAGCAAGCACTTGAGTCCAAAGGAAGTAAGTAACGTCATCAAGCAAGGGTATGAGACTTTATCGATTCAAGGTCGAGAGGATCTGGATCAGTGGGAGGGATATCGAGAAGCGGATCATCGCGCTGTGATGAAACGAGTGGCGAGAATGGCTGTGGAAGACGCGAAGCTCCTCATACAGGAAATGTAAAATATCCACGGAATGTATTGATATTTAATGACCATTGACAGAGTCGTCGTTGGTGTTCGGTTCCGGTTCCGTAGGACTGAAAGTAACAGTATTCCGTGATAATATAGGCCGAAGGGTCCAAACTCCAAAGGGGCTATTACGTGAACTTGACATGAATTACCATGATTCAGCCCTACCGGTAGAACCTCGCTTAATCTAGGACCAGCGACATCACCTTCTCTGACCATCAACTCGAACCAGCCCTCGCTGCCACACGTCACATAACTAAGCTCTTAGCAAAGGTAGCTTTGACTGCGATATTCGTTCCTTCGTGAGTGCCATTAGACGGCTAACCTCGGCAAACTTGTGTCCTCCTGTCCTCCTGTCCTCCTTTCGAGAAATGACCGGCCTCAAGCTTGGGCTGAATGTTCAGAAGAAAGGACAACAGCTAGCCAAATCCAAGGCCGTTTTCCTTGCGGACGACGACTCGGAAGAAGAACGCCCTGCGCCCCCGAAAAAGTCCAACCTCACTGCCCCCAAACGGACCGACTTTAGGAAGAAGATTGAGAAGGAGGAAATCGACCCATCCATATACGATTACGACGCCGCCTACGATGCGATTCATGCCAAAACATCTGCAAAGAATGCCGCCGCCCGAGAGCATGCAGAACAGCGCAACCCGAAGTATGTCGAAGGTCTCTTGGCATCCGCCGAGGTTCGAAAGCGGGACCAACTACGTGCCCGAGACAAAATGCTGCAGAAGGAACGTGAGGCTGAAGGGGAAGAGTTCGCCGATAAAGAGAAGTTTGTGACCAGCGCATACAAAGAACAGCAAGAAGAGTTGCGGCGGCTGGAAGTAGAGGAGAAAATAAAGGAAGAATCGGAAGCCCAGAAACGTAGAGAATCGGGAATGCAAGGCTTCTACCGGACTATGATGGATCGGGATGAGCAAAGACACCAGGAAGCAGTTGAAGCTGCAGCAAATGCATCGAAGCCGAGCGAGATTGGAGAGCCTGTCAGAGATATTAATGACAAGACCGAGAAATCTGAGGCCGACATTGCGCGTGACCTAAACGCGAAGGGTGCTCGCATCATCCTGAACGAAGAAGGCCAGGTTGCAGACAAGCGTCAATTACTATCTGCAGGTCTGAACGTGGCACCCAAGCCGAAGTCTGCTACTACGGCAGGCTCTCAGACAGGAAGGGGACAATATTCAAGGGCACCTGCTACGTCATTCGGTCGAAATGACAATCGTAAGGGTGTTCGGGAGCGCCAGTCGCAAATGCTGGAAGAGCAACTCGAACAAGCCACCAAGCGAGCTGCGGATGAGGAGGCAGAAGAGCGTCGAAAGCAAGAACATGCTGCAAAGAGCAGGAAAACTACATCCGATGTATCGAGTGCAAAGGAGAGGTACCTTCAACGGAAGCGAGAGGCAGCAGCAGCAGCAGCAGCTAGTAATGGCACTAAAACTTAATGCTCACCCCTCGCACGATTTCCTTATCTCGCGACCTGCTTCTGGGGCAAGTTGAGTGAATAATCTTCGTTGACTACGGATATTCACATTATGGTTGTTCGTTGCCTAACCAGGGCATATTTGGTGATATGCCTGACTATAGGCTCATGCATGAGTACTGAGGTAAAGAAAAGTCATGGGGACCTCAATATTTTGCTTTCGATCAACACCTGCCGAGTACTTTTGTACAGCAACACCGATTCATGTGGTATTTCATTCATGATTTGCGAACTTTCCGGAAACACCACAATCTGTGTTGCGAGCCTTCAATAAATCAACCCAGAAAGTGACGAGACGTTGCGGGTCCCACTCTGTTTGCTTGTTTCTAAGCAATGGCTACTCCGAAACCCTCGGATCAGAGTGTGGAGGATTGGAGACGGCAAGAAACAAAATCTACAAGTCGTGTGGATAACTCCGCGGGTGTTTACTTCCGAGGACAGTATGGATCCCCAGAGAGTTGGATGTACAACCCACTTACGGACATTTAGAAAGCGGAAAGCTTCCCCCGGGCATACATCCCCGCCAACTAGGCCTTCGCGACTTGATTCATTCATGGAAGATCATAACGGTTACTCACTAGTTCTCCCTTGGGTTGACCTATCCTGACTTGTACCAGGGCGGAAGATTCTGCCAAAATACCTCGATCCACCCCTCACTTGCTACTACTGGCATACTCGTGGCCGGTGTAGCAAAAGCGATAAGAAATGCGCCTACGCACACTATAACACAGGATTCTATGCCCCAGATCCAACTGGGTGCTACAGTGATAAATATGGTAGAGTTGATCCTTTCTAAACAGGCACTTCGCGTCAGTCTATCCTTATGCGCTTGCTAACATCTTCTAGCTGCCATTACCAAGTCACTCCATAAAGCCGGCCCCAAGCCAAGTCATCCAGACGTTCCGTACCCTGCACCAGAACTGGCCGAGGTCCCTGACTGCAAGTGTTCATTCCGAGAGTATGTCCACCGAGCTCAAGAGATCGAGAATTATAACAGGGGGAGAGATATTGAGCTACGAGCCCGAGAGGCTCAAGTGAAAGAGAAGGAAGCGCAGCTCCAACAACGGGAGAAATTGGTAAATGAAAGGGAGCGTGACTTGTACAGTCTCTGCTCAATGGTGAAAAAAGAACTGCTGGGGCACCGGGTCTCCGTTTCTCCAATGCCCACGTCCACCTTCAACGGCGATACGGATGGCCAGGGATCATAAGGCTGGATATCGGCTCCGTCAAGGTTGATCTTTCTACAAGTTTCATATGGAGCCTAGGCTCAGATCTAGCCAAGTCTTACCTTGCTGTGAGATTGTGGCTTGCTTGATCTGACGGAGGGGCAGAAAGCAACCATGGTGGGAATGGCCCGAGATCTCAATACCCTACTCCCTAGACTTGCAATACGAACAATTATGCTCCCAATTTTCCGAGAAAGGATGATGGAATGTGCATTGCGATCCATACGTAATGATACAAGAAGAAGCTGAGTGATTCATGCATATTATAGGTGAAGGGATTTTCAGTTGGCAGCTGGCGACCGGCGAGGCTAGATTCTTGTCGAACTGCTAGAAGACCCAGAAATACGAGTCCAGTTGACGTCTATATATGTAGCGGATATTTGCTCACGCTGACAGCTGGTACGCTGATTTTAGGATCAATCGCGGAGGTCTTCCTTTCAAACTTCGATTTTACGCACTATCCGAGCAGGATTACCTGCAACAACATGTAATTCCGGAACATCCTGATCAAATCAGCACATCAAAATGCAGGCAGAGGATTCGGTGCCCTCGGGGTAGCTCGCCATACCTTTGTCACAACACTGCCTGCACCAACGACACAGCCACGTCCAATCCGTACACCGGGAAGAATGATAGCGTTACCACCAATCCAGCAGTCCTCGCCAATCCAGATTTCTTTCCCCAGTTCCGGTCCTTTGGTGCCGTTTCGGAGAGTCGGATCCAATGGATGTGTTCCACTATAGAAGCTGACACTTGGACCGACGAGAGTCCTCGCACCAATGGTGATGGTGCACGTATCTAGCATGGTGCAGTTGAAGTTGATAAAGACATTAGGACCGAGCTTCACATTGAATCCGTAGTCAATATTTATAGGAGTCTCTACCCAAGATTCTTCCTCAAGCAACTTCTCATCTGCTTCTGGGTTTGGGTCTCTTGGTGGTAACGGTTGCGCATCTTCCACGATTCTTTTCCCGGTCAGATGCGATCGGACATAAACCATCGGAGATCGGAAGAAGCACAAAGGCAATGCACTTACTCCCTCCACAGCTCCACCTGTTTGCGTCTATCAACTTCGCCTTTGTTGTTGTATCGTTCGCAAGCTTGAGCACAACGACGACGAGCTGCGACAAGTTCTGGCGTAAAGGCGTGGTACAGCTCCCCACGTAGCATTCTTTGCCTGTTCTCCGAAATCTCCATAGTGTCCGAATTGATAGCTCTTTTACTCTATTGCAAATCCGTGAAACCGTGTTTTGTAGAGTGTCGTACGGGTAGATTGTGACTTTGTGAGGGAGGAGATGGCCGATAAGCGGTTTGAAATGTGGCGCTCCATCGGACGATACCGACCAGTCGCGTAGCTGGTTCCTCTCGCGTCTTCCTTCTGAACTTCAGACACCAACTTAATTGATTTGAATCAGACAGGTAAATGGTAAGTCGCTTCTTCCAAGACTGACTCTACTATGAGAATAAAACTAACAGATCCAAGGAACTTGATGATGAAATCCAGTTGCACAATTCGATACAGGAGCCGACCAATTGCCTTCAAGCGATTCGGCCGGCACTGACTGATGCATGCACAAGAACGGATATCTGATATAGTTCCTACGCCTAGGATAATTCTCCTGCTCGGATCGGACTTAGCTACGAGGCACGAGACGTTGTAGCACGATATCCCGCGATGACGACACACTTTGGTTCCGACGCACGCTGTTGAGCTGGCAGTCTCATGCTGTCGCTCCCGCGTGCTCTCTGGGGAATCCACAACAGTAGTTTTCAATCGTAGCGGGATGCTCCGTACGTGGATATTTTCCCTTTCTATTCGCCGTCAGGCCGATTGGACAACCATGCTAATACGCATACTTAGGTCTTCCTTCGCAGCGGTTCGAGCGAGCAGGAGAATATCAACTCAAAGTCCAATGATGAGCTAGTGATAACCAAATGCCAAATCTGACGCAACCAGGAGCCCATTGGGAACCCGGTTGCGACTGATCACACATAAAAGAAGAGATCATTATCTGAGGATTGAGATTTGACCATTCGCATTTCACTGCTGCGCCAGGCTGTGAGAGGCAGCGCCAATGGGAGTCGCCTTAGTTTGGAGAGGAACACGTGGATGGTCACCGGCTTAGATCCATTTATTCAAGGCATTCCCCTGGAGGGTTGAGGGGAAGGACAGGAATTTTCGAGGACACAGGCAAGTCGAAGTGGTTGAGAAAGTGGTGCCCTAGGCCGAAGTCACTCTTGCAGTGAAAAAGAGATGTTATTCCTCGCTAAATGCAGATACGACGCTCAAACTCGTTGCGACATGCGGGATACTCAAAACCGGGATGACGCTCTTGATGTCCTGTACATCGTAAAACCCACGTAACAACCTGCAACAACACAGCCGAACAAAAGGAACTTGAAGAACAACCCAAACCAAGATCCCCGTTTTTCCCGGTTGGCCTTGAGCGACGGCTTGGTCGATCCCTTCGGCGCACTATGTGCATCGTCTCCTGGGCCCGGAGAATACAAGTTCTTTGTGGATATGGAGATTATGTCGTGGTTATCGGCCAATTCTCCTGTCTCGGCGGAGAAGCCTAGATACGCTACGCCAGGGATCTTGACGTCGGGGATCGTGAAGCACGAAGTCCACTCATACTCATCTTTGTACTGAAGATCAAGAACCAGGTGTTTATCTTGGAGATAGGTAAGGCGAAGTTTGGTGGGGATGTTCTGGTTTCGAATACCGCGTACCTAGGCGAGTATAAGTTTCGTGAACACATTAGGCGAAGAGGTCAACATACGCTGCACCCGGCTAACTCATTCGCCTTGCCGTCATTGTGTTTATCATAGCTGGTCTGTCCATCGCCCATCATGGCCATGACATATGGGAACACGGTCCCTGGTCGATTGTTCTTGTACGTATCAAAGAAAATGCCGAGGCCGTCGAATTTGTCCATGCTACCGAAGACGGCCCCTTGCTGAGCGCGTTGTTTCGTCAACCACATGGCCATGCCGTCGCCGTAAAGCGTGCCAGTGCCATGGATCTTAAACTCCACAACGATCTATTGTAACTCGCAGTCAGCTCGGTGAAGAGAACGTAGATTCCATAACACGGTTCATGACTGACCTGCCAGTTGGTTGCGGTCAAGGGAACTCGAGACCACAACCATCCTGAGCGTGAAGGCAATTCTCCCGTCAGTCGGACATATTGGTCTGTCCGCACCACAGTGTCCGCCCCAAAATCGAACCAGCGACTTTGCATTTCATTATCTAAATATGGCTGCTGTCATTAGCATTTGGACGACAAGGGAAGTCGAATTCGACATTGGACCAGGGCCGATGGAGCGAAGCTTACAGCATTCAGGCTATGGGTTCTAAGCTGGGAGAAGTTTATGTTAGCGTGTGATCATTTGTTCGAGGGTACCGTGCATATGTTCAGGTTCTTACCTCTATTGCCCTCACATCATCCGGTATGATATTGTTATTATCGGCAGCTCGAGTTCCAAACGTCCGAAAAGACAGGAGCAATGCTGTCGATATCAAGGTGTGGAATATCATATCGCATGAGCTTCTGGTCGCTGGATGTTCCCTGGGTTGCCGAGATTGCCGGTCTCTTGGTCTGGGACAAGGCAGGCCAAGAATTGGAGGGTATATATAGGAATTGGGAGGGATCCTTGCTTGTAGTTGGAGAGACGATAGAGCAACTCATCAACACACCGATGATGATCCAACGTGAAGTGGCATCTTTGGTGGAACTCGACCGTCCAGGTGTATGTGGATGTTACAGGGATAGTACTGGTGCCTGACAAAATTAATGTGGCGCCTTAAGGCCTCAGGCTGTCAGGTATTGAAGGGATCTTACAATTCATTCATCATCACAGCAAATGTTCCGTTCAGATGCCACTCATGCCAGGACATATAAACCTAATTCAATTCATCCTCCGCATCCCCTAATACTTCCTTCGCCAGCATCATTTAGAAAGTCCCATAGATGTAAGTTTCCCTTCCCTACGCCGAGGTAGCTGTATGTACTCCGTAAATGTCCACCCGCTTACACACTGAACCAGACTTTCCGCCGACACATTCAAGCACTTTTCAACACCATGGACTCCTTCTCCGGTACTCCATCTTCATCAGACCCGAAAGCCGCCCTCATCACACAAGTCCGCCAGGAGTCCGCTTTGTCCAATGCCAGACAACTCGTCGAGGTCCGATTCCCTTCTTCCGGTCGTTGACACCGCAGTCTAATGAGTTGCAGAAAGTGAACGAGCACTGCTTCGAGAGATGCGTTCCGAAACCATCCACATCATTGAGTAGCGGCGAGACATCCTGCTATAGCGCCTGCATGGAGAAGTATATGGCTGCCTGGAACGTCGTGAGCAAAAGCTACATCACGAAGCTCCAGCGTGAGCCCTCAATGTCATAGGGAACATCTTATGAGATTCCGCCCTTGGTTGGATATGTATAGCGACGGGGACTCGCTTGGATTTTCTTCATGGTTTGCAAACGGCAGGCTCTAGAGGGACAAGGGAAGGCTAGACTTGATCAATGCTTGTCGGCGTTTATACGCCAAGGAGTATACATGTAACATTGCTGTACAATATGACCCGATTCCTCCGGACAGGACCCGGGCTATGGGGCTCGGACGAAATGAAGAACTCCGCGCTATGCGATAAACAGTCACCCTTCGTCTGTGTGCTACTACTTCCAGAAGACCGAGATCCGGGTCTGGAATCCCCTATTTTTTCACAAACGCTTTCTGCCGGTCCGCATATTCCCGAACCATGATTTCGCACTGCATGTCACCACAGAGCCGCTTCCGTCGGTTCAAAGGCAGTTTCTCGGCAAACTCCAGGCCGCTCGCTTTCTCGACCATCTCCAAGGGCACCTCAAACTCCTTCAAACTTCGATCGTTCGCAATGCGAGCATTCGGAAGCACGAAAGCGCCAACGGCGACGTTTCCCCCTACCTTCCCATCTTCCGCAAAAATAACTTTAAAGAAATGCGTGGGCACAGCCACATTGGGCGGCGATCCCACCACTTCGTAGCTGACCCTCCATTTCCCATCAGGTTCTTTTCGAGGCAGGTAGAGGGGTCCCGTGACGATTCGTACGCTTGGATATTTGTGCGTGAGACGCCGACAGAAATCTTCGAAATGCGCCCAGTAATCGCGATTGAAGCCGTCTCCAACCTGTGGACACATATTGCTTAGCAAGAATGTCTCGTTCATCGCCTGCTGGCTCCATTTCGCATCCGCGGCGGGAACCTGGTGGCCACGATCGTATCCGCTGCGGAAGTAGTCGCTCAACTTCGCCCGAAACTTCTCAGGAATTCCGTCATCTTCGGCAAATGAGCTGTGCTTCCGGTTGCCGTCGCGCCCGGCTAGGGAAGCCGGAGTGATATGTTCAGCCACCCAGTGCGGATTGCGGGTGCGGCGGTCGAAGGAGGAGACAAGGGCGAGAGAGGGTCGCAGGTCCGCCGTAGGCCCGGGGAATCCATAGTTAAATATGCCGGAGGGATCGACGGGGGCTGCAAGGACGCCTTGGGCTGAGATCGGGACTGGATTCGGTGCGCTGGTGGTGGAGGGCGTGGTGATGGTGGTCGTCGTGAGCGATAGGGATGTCGGTTCCTCCTTTCGACGCGTGAAGGCGGCAGTGACAGCAGCTCCAGCTCCAGCGCCAATGACGAGGGCTGCTACTGTGATCTTTGCCATGATTGATAGAACTGTCACTTGAACGGCAGACTGTCTCCTTTTTTCGTGGTCAAGACATCAGGAATTGCCGTGCCGGGCAGGATGCAATGGACGGTCATCTGCAAAGACCTCATGATTTCCTAGTCCCTGCCCACGTGCGAGCCTAAGAGCCTGAGGCTTGTGTTGGAAGTTTACATAAGTTCGAACCCCTGCCTGTTGGCCAACCACCTACTTGGCCAGTATCACCATCTTAGCCACCATCATGAAAACCGTGACATCTCTACCACCACGTAATTATATTGAAAATTCAAACCATAGGACTATTGTACAGCATCTTGGGGAGCGTCTGGTATAGTTTCAGCCACGGGAATACTCTGTTCTAGTATAGTATTTGCCTCCAGAAGCCGTACAGCCTCTTGCGCTACTTTGATCTCTTTAATCTGTGCGAACTTAACATTGGGATCTATCCGAACCTTCTTCTTGCGTTTTGGGGCTGAGGCGGCATCTAGACGGGCCTGGAGACTCGCAATTTTCAGATCTGATGCAGCCTGACGCGCCTGTAGCACTCCGATTGCCTTGGCTGCCTTCCCTATGTAGGCCTTCGTCCACTTCGTCACGCGTGTGTTCTTGCTAAGAACGCGCAATGCACTTTGTATTTGTTTGGGCTTGTAGGGCGTCGTCTGGAGGACCGAGGCGACTAGTATTGGGGTGCGTGGAGGCGTGTTTGGTCGTGGAATTGAGGATGCGGTTTCGGTATGCGTGGGCGGTACCACGAACCGGTTATTGAGACCTTTTGACGGGTCCCACGGTATAAGACCTGCAGCCTTCCACCCTGATCTGATTGTACGGTCAATTAGGCGTGCCCGACGCGCCTCAGCATAGAGGACAATGAATCTTCGTCGTTTAATCGGTAGCGCCTCGTCGATATACGCGCTTTGGCGGAGGAGGGCCTTGTAGAAGCGTTTCAGAGGTGAAAAACAGGCGAGATCGAGAGGCTGAAGGATGTGGGAGGTATGCGCAGGTAGGAAGACCACAATCACGTCATTTATCCTGCATTCGTATAGGAAATCGACGGTTGCGTGGCTTCCGTGCCCGTCCATGAGTAGGATCCTGTACCGTCGCTCTGTAGCGGTTTCAGGGAGGAAAACTGTACGAAGCCACACCAACGCGTGTTGATCTGAAGTCCAGCCGTTTGGTGATACCGCATAATGGAAGTCTGGAGGTTGTTCAGGGAACCAAGCAGCTTGTAGGGACGCGCCTTTCTGGATAATGGTTGGTTTGATATAGCGACCGGTCGCAGAGACTGATTCTATGATAGAACACCATTCCCGGTTCTCAGGACTCGTGATATAAGCTGTCGACTTCTGCGAGTCTGCGATGACAGTAGAATTAGCACATATTCCCATTCCAACACCGACTTCATCCATATTCCATGTATCGGAAGGGTGGACATCGTACTGTGTCTGAACTTGGTGAAAATACGCGTAAAACCCATTGATTGTATCCTGGGTTGCAGCCTGACGTCGTACGACATCTAGACTATGCCCAACACACGTCGCAACGCGTGGATTTCGATGTAGAAATCGTGGTATCCAATTCTTCCCAAGGGGTGTAGAATCACCCTGAAGCTCTAGAACTCGCGCGGCCATTTCACGCAGACGTGCGTGGGTAGGGGGGAATCCTTGAGCGTCACTCTCAAGTATCCAGTCGACTAAAAACCTCTCTTGCACCGGTGTAAGGCGTTGGTTCGATTGTTGAGCTGTAGAGCGCGATTGCATGCCCTTGAGGCGGTTTTGAAGCGTAGCTCGATTGACCTTGAATAGGGCCGCAGCTTCATTTTGTGATTTGCATTGACCGGTCTCTACGGCATGGATAGCCTGTAGGAGTACCTCCTCTGAATTTGACATCGTAATACGATATGGTGGTTGAGATATTACGCGTTTGGTGATGGTGGTGAAGATGGTGATACTGGCCAAGTAGGTGGTTGGCCAACAGGCAGGGGTTCGAACTTATAGCCTCAACTTATTAGCCAGGTTTAGTAAGGCGTTGCCCAAGCCGCACTTTAATGATGCACGTGTCCAGCTCATGAATCGTTCCAAGTGGTTTGACTGAAATTGATTCTGGATTGTGAAATGAGGATTTCATCGATCTATATAACTGGCTTGAATGCATTCCAACTCCAAATCGCAGAGATATGGGAACAAGTTCTGCTTTTCTACATGTTCATACGAGCCATACGCTCACGTCCATCTATTTTCCTTCAACCTCCTTCAAGAGACCAGCCAAGTTGATGCTCTTGGGTCGCTCGATAGGGAGGCCAAGAGCACGATCCCAGATCAACTGTGCCAGAGGTCCAAGACCACGGCTGACACCGAAAGTTGCCGTGTAGTACAGAGTCTCGGTGAACCCGTAGTGGTGGAAGAGCACGCCGGACGAGGAGTCGACATTGGGGTATGGGTTCTTGGTCTGTCCGATACGTTAGTCATTTTCGTTGCATCCCTCCGTGAATGTTTCTCGTACCTTTCCATGCTCCGTCAACACGCCCGGGGCAATCTCCGAGTTCTTCTTGACTAGCTGGAACACCGGGTTCTCCGAGATCTCAGGTCGTGCGTTGGCAAAGTCCATGAGGGCCTCGAATCGCGGGTCCGGCTTCCGCAGCACGGCGTGTCCGTATCCAGGAACGACACGTCCAGACTTGAGCGTGCTCCACAGGTAGTCCTTCACCTCCTGGTCGGTATAGCTGGTGCCAATCTTGTCCTTCATCTGGATGATCCATCGCAGGACCTCCTGGGCAGCCAATCCGTGGAGTGGTCCAGCAAGGCCCTGAAGACCGGCGCTGTAGCTCAGGAAGGCATCGCTAAGTGCGCTACCGACGAGATGCGTGGCGTGGGCGGACACATTGCCTCCCTCATGATCGCCGTGGAGCGCCAAATAGAGACGGAGAAGATCCTGGAAGCCCTCGTTCTCCTTGCCGGACTTGCCCAGCATGGCAGCGAAGTTGTAGGACCAATCCTGGGTGAGGTCGACCTCGGCAGGGAGAGCGCCACCTCCACGGTAGGCGTTCTGGTAGATCTTCGCGGCAATGGTTGGCAGCTTGGCAAGGAGGCTGATGCAGTCATCGAAGGTCGGCTCCCAGTAGTCGGCCTTGTTCAAACCCTTCTCATACGCCTTCGCGAAAACAGAGGTGTGGTTGAGAGCGGAGACGGCGCAGGCAAACTGGGTCATCGGGTGCAAGTCCTTGGGGAAAGCATCCAGCATCTCGGTGACATACTTGGGAAGCTGGGCTTGCTCGGCCAGAGTGCGGGAGAGTTTACGGACTTGGGAAGTCGTGGGAACCTCACCAGTCAACAGCAGCCAAAACATGGCTTCGGGGAGCATCTCCGTCCCTGAGGTGCCCTTGGGAAGTTCGCGCTGGCAGTCCTTGATGGTCTTGCCATGGAAACGGATGCCCTCATTGGCATCGAGGACGGATCCTTCCCAGATCATGGCTTTAAGACCACTGTGGTATCGTTAGAATGCGATAGGGAACCCTATAGTTATTGGCGAGCATACCGCATGCCTCCCAAGGTGTTTTCGACCTTGACCTCACCGATCTTCTTATCGGAATGGGCCTTCACCTTCTTGAGCAGCTCCCGCTTCTCAGGGATAACCCTCTTCAATGTCTCCTTGAGATCCTGCTCAGCGGTAGCATAGCTGCGGCGGCCTTCGGCAAACGATGCTATTTTCCTTTATTTAGCCAATGCTCTTGGAGTGTAAACAAAGAAAAGGAAATAGAAAGCTTACCGGGAGCGGATTGCTTGACACCCAATGGCTACATATTTCCATCAGACTTTCTGTCCATCAAGATAGGAATTTCGATACGTACCCGAATGGCCCGCAGGGCTCTTGTGGCAGACCGGGCGTTCATAGCCATGTTTGCTAATGCAATGGGATGGAGGGTTGACGATGCGGGGATGAAGATGTCTCTGCTTGAAGCTCCCCTGATTCTAGGAGAAGTTCCAAGTGCAAAATCGATCAATTGGACAATTAAAAAGGATGAAGGCTAATATCGCAATGGCGGAGGAGAACAAAGGCGGGAGGCGGGAGAGAGAAAGTAGAAAAGTGCTGGTGGTGATGCACGACGACGGCTGCCCTCGGTTCAAAAGATTCCCGTGCAGCGAGAGACCGAGATGCAAGTAAGAGGTAACTCCCGCGTTTAAGCTTGATACGGAAGTAGAACCTTATTCCCGGGCATTATTCTTGCCTCTTGCCGGTCTTGGTTGCTTTGGGGAACGCAGGCGACTAGTACCTGTTCACGTCTCCATCCTCCGTCCAGATCAGCGGGACTTGTCGGCTATGCTAATTCCGCTGACCCGTCCTCCGACCTCGCTCTAACTTCTTCAATTCCTTCCTCGCATATGACTGTGATGTTGACGGATGCAATTATTGGCTGCTGACTGAGGGGGAATACTCCGTTGGGTTTCTAATCTGAAGTTCGTTGTCCGCGGTTGTAAATGTGGTGGCGACATCATCGTGGCGAAGAACTCGACTATTGAAACATCTACTTTCGCTATCTCGCACGCCCGATATATTTATTATAAGCATCCCGATCCCGGAATACAGACTCATCCACTAAATATCATATCCTTTCCAGTCCGTGGCATTCCATCCCTGCCACCGGTGGTAGTCTACAAGTACTGGTGAAGTCAACAAGGGAAGAGCTTGGGGTTGATATAGGGATTGACTGCAGAGAAAGCCGATAGCACCAAACGTCTGCTTTGTCTCATCTCATCTCATCTCATCATGATCCGAACGTCTTCGCGCGCACTTGCCCGTCGAGTATGCTCGTGCGGCCGACCATCCAGCAACCTCATTCCACGGGCATTGACCATCACCGCCGCAAGAATGTCTTCCACGCTGCCTAAAGTCGATCCTCCTGTCTCCACCGCTCACCACACCGATTCTTTCCAACTCCTCTCCGAATCCGCGAAAGCTGGTGCCGCAGAAGACGCACTTTTCGAAAGCCAGGTCCGTGACGTCGAGGCATGGTGGGCATCGCCTCGTTATGCTGGCATCAAGCGCCCTTATTCCGCTGCAGATGTGGTCGCCCGGCGCGGAGCCCTCCAGCAGTCGTATCCCAGCTCTCTCATGGCTCGCAAGCTGTTCAATCTGTTTGAGGAACGAGCCGCAGCAGGCCAGCCGGTGCATACGATGGGCGCAATTGACCCCGTGCAGATGACACAGCAAGCCCCCAACCAGGAGGTGCTGTACATCAGCGGTTGGGCATGCTCGTCCGTGTTGACATCGACCAACGAAGTGTCCGCCGACTTTGGAGACTATCCCTACAACACCGTCCCGAACCAGGTGCAGCGCTTGTTCAAAGCACAGCAGTTGCATGACCGGAAGCAGTGGGATTTGAGAAGGAAGATGAGCAAGGAGGAGCGAGAGACGGCGCAGTATACGGACTACCTACGGCCGATCATCGCAGACGGCGATACTGGCCATGGAGGTTTGTCTGCCGTCCTCAAACTTGCCAAACTCTTTGCCGAAAACGGCGCCGCTGCCGTACATTTTGAGGATCAGCTTCACGGCGGGAAGAAGTGCGGGCATCTGGCTGGAAAGGTGCTGGTCCCCATGAGCGACCACATCAATCGTCTCGTTGCGGCGAGGTATCAATGGGACCTTATGGGTTGCGAGAATCTCGTCATTGGCCGGACGGACTCGGAGAGCGGCAAGCTTCTCAGCAGCGCCATCGACGTGCGAGACCACGAGTTCATTAAGGGTGTCACGGAGGATTGTGAGCCTCTGGCGGATCTGCTGCAGCGAATGGAGATGGAGGGTGCGGCGGGTAGCGAGATCGATGCCACCGAGGCGGCGTGGGTGAAGCAGCACACATTGGTGACATTCGATGAAGGTGAGTTGCTTTTGGCTTAACTAGAATTATGTACCCTGAGGGCCATGATTTGCTAATAGCTACCTTCCAGCCGTCGAGCAACACCTCCGCTCCGAGTCCGCCCCTCAATCCACCATCGATGAATACCTTTCAGCCGTCCGCGCCGACCGGAACCTGCCCCTTAACCGCCGCCGACAACTCGCCGCTAAATATACCAAAACCCCGGTCTTCTTCTCGTGGGACATTCCCCGCACCCGGGAAGGGCACTACCATTACCAGGCCGGCATGGTCGCAGCGACCAAGCGAGCCATCGAATACGCCCCCTATGCCGATCTGCTGTGGGTGGAAACCGGAGATCCGAGTGTCGAAAAAGCGGCCGTCTTCTCGGGAGAAATTCGCAAGCAGCACCCGGAGAAGAAATTGGTGTACAACTTGAGCCCCAGCTTCAACTGGATGGCTCACGGGTTCACCGAGGAGACCCTGAAGAGCTTCGTCTGGGATTTGGCGAAACAAGGATTCGTACTTCAGCTGATCTCACTGGCCGGTATCCACTCCACTGCGACCATCACCAATGAGCTCTCGAGTGGGTTCAAGAAGGACGGCATGCTCGCATACGTCAACTTGGTGCAACGCAGGGAGAAGGAGCTTGGATGCGACGTCTTGACGCATCAGAAATGGAGTGGCGCATCGTTGGTCGATGGTATGATCGGTGCCATTCAGAGTGGAAGCAGCACCAGCAAGAGTATGGGTGAGGGCAACACTGAAACTAGTAAGTAACCGCATGTGCAAGTTGATGCCTGTGCTTGTACTGACCATCCTTCGCAGGCTTCTAAGCATCCAATATGGAGTTCGTTCAGGCATCAAGGGCATGATGTCCTAAACTAGGTTTATCCTGGTCCTTGTTGTGAATCTCCGAGCTATCCACCATGACTACCCTGATGCAAGGCAGCCTTGTTGGATAGATGGAAACATTTTTGTAGAATTTAGCGGAAATCAAATGTTAAGATTACGTCGTGCGATTCCGATCCATTCGTAGCTCACTCCCCCTAACCTTGGCTTTGTCTCCGGTCGACTCCACCGGTTCCATCTTGGCGCTCTCTCTCGCACCCTTCTTGCCCTGCCTCTTACTTCCAACTGGAAACCGCTTTACGGCTTCACACATGGCACATTGTATCACCAGCACGTCCGCCCAAGGCTTAACGCCACTACGGCTCTCATTCTCCATGTGAACCGAAGCGGATCCATCCTGGAGCAGGGTGTTGCAGCGGTTGCAGAGTGAGCGCTTGATCGGTTGTGCAAGGCGAAGCTGGGATTTGAGCGAGACGGCGCGGAGTTGGGAAGCAAGGTGGCGTGGGAGGGCTGGGCTTGATACAGAAGGTTGTGAGGACTGGGAGGGTTGGTGGGTGCTGAGGTAGGTGGCTGCTTTGTAGAGGTAGGCTAGCCGGGCTTGTAGATGAGGGTTTTGGTTCCCTTTGGGAGGCTTGGTAGAGCTTTTCGTCCGCATGGTGGCTATCCCTCCAGTTGATAGCTTAAGAGAGTGAGCGGGGGGCGCCGTGGCTGATGTGTTTAACTTTGAAGTCAAGATCCTCGAGATGAGAGTCGGAGTGGAGGGGGGAGGTTGGCCAATCAGAGCCCTTTGATTCACATCACGTGAACAACGACCAGGCATCAGGTCGGGGCATCCAGGCATCCAACCAGGCACCAAACCAGGCATCAAACCAGGCATCAAACCAGGCAGCAGTGCCAATCACGTGATAGTTATCACACGTGATGAGGCTCAGCTAGTTGCGGCGGCGATTTCTCATTCCCCCAGCAGCGAAACCATCGCAAACTGAAGCCTCATCACTTCGTATCGGTTTTACTTCAGAGCCAACATCCTTCACTCCTCACTCACCCTCTCAGCCTTGCGCTTCTCTCCAAGCTTTCTCTCAACTCTTTTCAACTTCTGACATTGCCATCAACTCTGAAATCGGACATTTACCTACGTCCTACCACCTGCTCTTCAGGTCGTGACCTTCAAGCTTTCTGCTTGCACCCCTCCCACTGACATCTTCATTCTCTCCAAACCCCATCTATTCGTCGGCACCCTTCACTCCGATCATCTCGATCATCCTAGCGTCCTTTGAGTACCGCGTTTATCGCTCTCTATCCTCGAAATGGCTCCCGAACACGAAGAAGATCTCATCGATTACTCCGACGACGAGATCGCCAACGAAGCCGCCCCCGCGCGCACTGCAGGAGCCGCCAACGGCGCCGCTGCCGAAAAGAAAGGCGATCTCACCGTCACCGGAGCTGGAGCAGACAAGAAGGGCAGTTATGTCGGAATCCACTCCACCGGTTTCCGCGACTTTTTGTTGAAGCCGGAGCTCCTTCGAGCCATCACCGACTGCGGATTCGAGCATCCATCCGAGGGTTAGTCATGAAATCAATCATTTTCCTCCCCACAACATCAAGAAGCAAGATCCGCATCGAGGATGTCACGAACACTCCAAGATTCGTGCCGCGTCCGTCCATCTCAATAGCAAGCAAGGATTAGAAGGTGCATATCAATGTCGTCCACGAGTTGGGAACTCAGCCGTCATGGGTGGCAAATGGTGGTTTTGCGAGCGGAGCCTCAGAGGCCGGTATTAGCTGCTGCTAGTTCGGTTTGGATGATGGCTGCCTGATATGAATTCTGGTCGTGTCTCAGACAGCGTGGCTGGGTTCTTCCCGCCGGCAACTGGCAAGATGACCTTGCTCTACTGAGCTGCAAGGATCCAAGGCGGGTTGCGGTCGCGATATGGCGCCGCACTTCACCTTGTGCGTTCAAGCGCACCGCACACGCTACAAGATTTTCAACGATATGGACGCTTGAGATGAATGGACGCGGCTTCGACTCACTTTGCATCGCTTTCTTCGAACGACCGTTTCTAACTTCTCGGTTGCGCATTACAGTCCAGCAAGTTTGCATTCCGCAAGCGATCCTTGGGACCGATGTCCTTTGCCAGGCGAAATCCGGTCTCGGTAAGACCGCCGTCTTCGTTCTAGCCACCCTCCAACAGATCGAACCGGTCGATGGCGAATGCTCTGTCCTCGTCATGTGCCACACTCGCGAGCTTGCATACCAAATCAAGAACGAGTATGCCCGCTTTTCCAAGTACATGCCAACTGTCAAAACCCATGTCTTCTACGGAGGCACCCCCATGCAGAAGGATGTGGAGATTCTCAAGAACAAGGAGACCCATCCTCACATCATTGTCGGAACTCCTGGCCGTCTGAACGCTTTGGTTCGGGACAAGCATCTCCAGCTCCGTAGTGTTCAACGCTTTGTCCTTGACGAGTGCGACAAGATGCTCGATCAAATCGGTATGTGTCACCGCACTTTATCCAAGACTCCGTTCTCACCAAATGTACAGACATGCGCCGCGACGTCCAGGAAATCTTCCGCGCCACGCCGACACAGAAGCAGGTGATGATGTTCTCCGCCACCTTGTCTCAAGAGACTCGCCCGATCTGCAAGAAGTTCATGCAGAACCCTCTCGAGATCTATGTGGATGACGAGACCAAGCTTACCCTACACGGTCTCCAGCAATACTACATCCAATTGTCGGAGCAGGAGAAGAACCGAAAGCTGAACGATCTCCTTGATACCCTAGAGTTCAACCAAGTCATCATCTTCGTCAAGAGCACTGGTCGTGCAACTGCACTCGACAATCTGCTCCGGGACTGCAATTTCCCCAGCATTGCGGTCCATTCCGGCGTCAGCCAAGAGGAGCGGTACGTCTTAAGCAAAATCCAACCATCGAACTGAGCTAATACAACCCTAGTATCAAGCGCTACAAGGAATTCAAAGAGTTCAACAAGCGCATTTGCGTCGCCACCGACGTCTTCGGCCGTGGCATCGACATCGAGCGCATCAACCTGGCAATCAACTACGATCTTCCTTCCGATGCCGATTCCTACCTTCACCGCGTCGGACGTGCTGGTCGTTTCGGGACCAAGGGGCTCAGTATCTCCTTTGTCAGCAGCGAACAGGATCAAGAGGTGCTTAAATCGATCGAGAAGCGGTTCGAAGTTGCCCTTCCGTAAGCATACCGATTCTGTGTCTGAGAGTTGAACTAACCTGCTCCCAGGGAGTTCCCCGCCGAGGGCATTGACGCCAGCACCTACATGGCAAACTAAGCGTCAAGTCGGGGTGATGGATACAAGTGTTATACCGTTGCAGTGGACACCTTTCTCAACGGAAGCGATGGTCAAGGATGGAGTCTTGCAGGGGATAATTTGATTTGTGTAACGGAGAATTCGCTCAAAAGAACGGGTCTACTTCAGTCATTCGGGTTCATACGGTTTCTCTAATCAACACTAGCTGAGGCGCAATCACTCAGAACGTCAGTAGATTACGAAACAATGTCAGGTCTTTGCTCTCTATCGTTGACTCCTGTGGCCCAAACTCTCCAACTCTCCACTCCTGGGCGTTTGTCCCTCCGACCTCGAGAGCGGATGGTGCACAGAACCTCAATGCTAGAAAAAGTAGAATATATCGTCCGTAAACCTTTCTAGGGTCAGTCCGGATGATATTCTGGAAGATTTTGCCTTCTTCATCTCACTGTCTATTAAGCTTTGGAATCCCTTCTCTTCAATCAATTCCTCCCTGATTTCTTTCGCTCGCTCTATACTAATCGGGAAATCTTCCACATCGTTCACAATTCGATCCATTAGCTCTCCAGGCAATTGGCCTATGCCTCCATTCTTCACCACCTCCTGCGCCCACCAGTTCTGCCACTGTGGTGGAACGTTCGCAGTGGATATCACTCTTTTGATGTACGGATCCACAAGAAAAAGGGCCAAGACCTTCTGGTGACCAGGTTTTGACCGGTCGGTGAGGCTGAAGGGCGACACTCGATGCTGGAATATGTTGGGGAAGGCAAGGAATCGAGATTGGCGAGTGAGGATTTGCCCGATCGGTTGAACGGCTGGCCCACCTTGGTCGATGCCGAAGATAGTTTCAGGCCTTCAAAATCCGCTCGGCCGTCCTCCTTCATCATCATGTCCTCGGTTTTCGTATTCTGCCGGAACCCAAGATACGAGTCGGTTATGTTCTCGCAATCATAGTAATACAATGCGGTGGCGCAGATATGCTCGTTAACAAACCCTTCGACATGCCAGGATCCGCCGTGGTAATCTAGTTTATCAGAAGTGAGGTGGATGTTGGCAAGTTTTACGATAACCAGTATACCCTTCGGGGATTGCGCTCGAAGCTCAACTGGGGCTAGTAATGGATGGTTCGCAAAGTGCTTCAGATCCTCTTCATAGTCCTCTGGATCGGGCTGGACGAGAACTCGGTTATCGCGCTTCTACCGCTGTTTAAACTCCCTATATTCATTGACATTATCTTCATCCTCCCAGCCAGATTCATCATCTTCATCGTCCGGACTAGGTTCATCATCATGGTACGAGCTATTCATCATCCTCATGGTCCGAGCTTGCTGCATCATCATCGTCGTCCGAGCTAGTTTCATTATCTTCATGGGCGAACTAGGTTCACCATCTTTACGTTCGCGGTCCTTAAACCTGCCGTTGGGCCAGCCGTATTCTGTGACGCTGGTGTGGATGCGCAGCTGCTGCTGTTCTTCGAGATCGGTTACGGAGGAGAGCGTCTCGTTCCATAACGGAATGGCCCGTGCAATGATCTCTTCGAGGAGAGGATAGATTCGAGCGTGCGTGACCGGATGGAGATTGTTAACGTAGCTTTCGATCTTTACTCAGCCATCATCTTGAACGACACATCGCTGGGCAACCATTAAAACTTCATTGAGATCAACTCCTCATATTTCCCAGAGTGCCCCTTTGGGATAGAGGCAACTAACCCTTGCCCGCACATACCTATGCAGTCTTGTGTGCCAACTTTCACGTCCACCGTTGGGAAGATACGAGAGACGCCGTAAATCGAGGAAACAACGAAGGGTGCACCAAATCCAGGACCTTGTCATTGGATCCTGGATGCCAGTCCTTTTGGTGTTTCGGAACATCCTCCAACAGTTTGACGGCTTCAATCAGCCTTTGGCGTAGCTCTTCAGACACGAGAATATCGGACTTCACCACCGCCGCGCCGATATCTAGAACTCCGACGACTCCCGTGCCTTCATGTTGCTTCGCCTTGTCCCTAAGCTCTGCAATTCAATAATTAAACATTCGGTCTGAGAAGTCCCGGACCTGAAGCGTTGGGTCCACAATCTTGCCCCGTCATTTGGCTACGATCTCTTCATCAAATACCTTGCGGCGCCATTCCGGCTTGTCGGTGAGTGACTCCATCACGCCCAACTTGGCTTGCTCCCGGACTGTTACCGCCAAGCCCCAGTATTCCGTAGGAAGGGTAACGATTGAGAAACTGGAGCGCTTTCTCTCACCATCTTTGACCGGAAAGCGTGGGAATCTATTAGTCATCCGAATGCCGAAGCCTAGATACTCACCGACCCGAGACGTCGTCCTGGTTGAGGGATCCATTTTTGAGTGGCGATGGGAATTTGAACAATCTCAGCTTAGCGATAGCCATACTTGAACGAGAACACAGAAAATTTGAGGAGACTCAGAACAAAACAGACGAAAGGTTTCTAGGACCGAACTTACTCTTCCCTCACCGTCCTACGCTTACTTTATAAATGTTTTTCTCTTGGAGTCTTGGTTGTTGTTACTATTACAGGGAACCGATGGCACTTAGTTCTAGGGCTGGACACGAATAAGGATTTTGGCTATTCGTATTCGACTTTTCCTCTTGAACGATTATTCGTATTCGACTAAGTTTTGAGACGTTTTATTCGTATTATTCGCGAATATTCGTAAATAATGCCAAGACTTATTCGGCAAAAGCCGAGCCAATGAATGAATGCCCAACAGTCGCGACTTTTGTTTACCCGAACACGATCTGGAGGATTTGAGCTCTAAGAGATACAAAGCATATCAATAGCGTCGAATTGATCACTCCTGACGATTCAGCAAGCCAAGTGACCCCAGCTTAAAGCTCTCTGTCGACCATCTCTCCGATGCGAGATACATGGAAATAGCTTCAGAGATAGACGAATAATTACGAATAATTACGAATAATGCGAATATTATTCGTACGAATATTAGTAAGCGGAAATTCTAAATTTTATTCGTATTCGACTACGAATATTCGTACGAATACGAATAGTCGAATATTCGTGTCCAGCCCTACTTAGTTCCTCCGCAAAAGTCTCCGTTACACTGATAGTATTTCTTTTCACGGAGAGTTTGGTGTAACTAGGACTGTAGATAAGTTGGCCAGACACGAGATAGCGCGACGCCACCACCACCACCACCACCACCACCACAACAACAACAGAAAGACATGTACCCCTGAATTCTCCTGCTCAGCTCGTAGGCACTGACCCTCTCGAATGCAGTTCCTTCTCAACTCTCTCTGGATGAGATGCGGTCAACAATTATATTAACCTAGAATGTAAATGATACTGGGTTATCATCTGTATCCGTACACCATTGGATCACACGAAGGCAGAATGTCTCAAAACACTATAGCCGACATCATCACGTACGTTGGTGTAAGTTGAACATCCCAATGTAATAATCAATCCTGAATGTGATTGATCAATGAATGACTAATCTGAATGGATGTGAAAAGGTTCCCCTTGCGGTACTCGGGGTTCTTCCGACCCTCTACACATGCATTAAATCCCTCCTTAGTCTGCGGAAGATCCGAAAACAATTGGATCGCAATGGCGTGTCTGCCATTACGAGGAGTAGCCTGCTCTCGGGCATCGTGGAAGTGGAGATTCAACGGCATAGTATTACCCCGTTGGAGAGGGCTGACCCTCAATACTTTGACCCCAACCAGCACCCTTCGTCTTTGGATGGAGGTTCATGGACGTTATTCAATTGGAGGTTAGGTCTGCATTATCAATAGTTCTGTCTCATCTGACAAATTCATACCCCCAGGACGATGCCAATTGGCATGAAGCAATACAGATTCCAGTATCACGATGAACTCAAGTAAGATCACTCAGGCTTCTTGCGAATAGCGGACTTACAAGACCATGCAGACAACCACAGGCAGAAGTGCAATTCGAAGCACTTATTGCCTTCCTGCTCGACCATGGAGCTGTCCCCAGCGTTGCAGGATTCAACGATTTGAGGTCATCCGGCCTGTGGACGCCAGTCGGGACATCACTGCTCTCAGCGCCTCATTCGACAGACCCCGTGCTGCAAGTAGCAAAATCAGACGACTCAGACGGGATCTTGTCACTTTCGCTCAGGTGGAATCCTCGATGGAACAGCAGAGACGCTGACTCTATCCCGCCTTATTGGATTCGTATTAAATCTCCCGCAGCACCTTCAAAAATAGCGATGAACACCAAAGACGACCAAAAGCAGGCTGATGTGACTGCTCACGAAATTGGTATAGAAGTGCTGCCAGATGATGATGTGAACTATCCCACCCTGCCAAGTTTCATAGGGAGGAATGACACAACTGCGACAGATAAAACTATCACCGAAATCGAGCCTTGTCCTCCGCCTAATATCAAGCAGTTATCGAGCTCAAGTACCACCACAACTCGTTCATCTCGCCAGAACGCCTATAGGCTTCGTGTTGGACCTGGAGGGGTTCAAGCTGCCTATCGCGAATCCGACCCCGACACCCCTCTTCGCCTTCACCGTTTTCATGAAACCCATCGCAACAGTGCCATTGCCCCGAACATTTCCGATGGTGCCAATCTCTGGTTCTGCTGCGCCATCACAGCTCTCGCGGCACCTCGCGGAGGCTTGTGGTCCTTTGTCATCCCTGCAGACATCCTCGCGCTCTCTCACCGTGAATCCGTCCCATGCGGTGTCATGGTACTACTAGACATCCTATCCGAAGACTCGGTTCCCAAATGGCGCTCCGTGACCGCTGCAGAGGAGGCGGAAGCGGAACGGGACGAGCGGCACCGCGAGTTGGTGGAACAAGGGAGACGGCAGCTGGAGATTTCCAAATTGCCATTTGCGCAGCAGCAGGCAGAGCGACTGAAGGAGATGGAGAAGCAATCCTGGAGGTTTCATGAAAAATCGAGAGATAAAAATTCCAGACAAATGAAGAGGAAAGTGAAGGAGGTGGAAGAGGCCGTGGGAAGTTGGCGGGTAGGGGTTGGCGTTGTGGTGGAAGGCTGCAGGAAATGGTTGGTGAAAAGCATGAATTTGGAAGACGAGACTTCAGTGGCCGAGGTGGTAGAAACGTGGTTACTGGACATGGTGGAGAGTGAAGGGTCGGATGATGCTGAAACCAACGACAACGGGATGAAGGTCAGGCCAGACAAAGTAGCAGAAATGTTGGAAGAATGGAAGGGGTGGGCCGAGGGGGGAGGCATGTTGATACCTCATTATGAGAAGGCGAAGGAAGAACAATGGGCTTTCTGCGTGTCTGCATGTGTGCTATTCCTGATCAAGGAGATGGCTGGTATGACAGAGGGCAACGTGGTGTCAGACCTGCAAGAATGCTTGCGCTTATGGAAAAAAGTGCGGTTAGGATAATGGCTTAGTGTTGCCATGTTTGGAGGCCAGGACTGTTTACAGTGTCCATAGCAATTTGAATCATATTGTACAGAACGGCTGGCGAAAAGTAGACTGAAAAGTACTCTCTGATCGCAGCACGTATGTTTACCGCGTACCACTGTAGTGGTGAGGAAACTGTTGATTGATCCTTGTAGCTGGACTCAAGCCCATCGAATCGCCCCCCCGAATTTGGCTTTTTGAAATGGCACGGCCGGCCATGGGTCTCTGGTGGTGCTTGTGCCGATATCGCTGCAATACTGTGAGAGCAGCTAACATGGCGCTGTATCATAAAATGGGACACATGCCCAAATATCAAAAGCCAGAGAAACCCCACCTAGCATATGCAAGGGTATCAACCTATAATAGAACCCAACCAGAAGCCCGCCATCCATAACACCCCCCATGCAGGCTGTAGAACGGTTCTCAGTGCTGCTGGTCCGGGACAAGTCCCAGTGAGACCCCAACTGATACCAAATGTCATGGCTCCCAGGACGAATTTCCAATCCGAGTCTTTGATCGACTTCGTGGGCAGTTGAAAGCGGGCCTCGAACTTCGGTTTCCCCTCCAAGCCAAAGGTCAGGTTGTACAGACTATTAGGAACAAGACCGCAGAGGACGACCACAAGTAAACTAGGATCCCAGTTTCGGATCGGATAGATCGAGAAGAACGCTTGGACCTTATCAGGGTTCCCCATCCCCGAGAGCAAAAGTCCCAGACCGAATGTGAAGCCAGAAAGCAGATATGTCACCCGATTCGGCAGCGTCGGTTGGGCAGAACGGGTGGATAGCCACCGCGGTATCCAATTCGTAGCGAGGATAGTGCCCAGGGCGAGCAGGAGGAGGCGCTGTGTCAATGCTTGCGACGGATAGACGGGCACAAAGCAAGGTTGGCCAGCGGGGCATGCCGCAGTCGGAATTCCCGAACGGTGAGAGAGGAAATATGTGATGAAAGCGGTGGGGAAGAATATCGCGGTTGCGAGGATGGAGCGGCCGGAAAACCTGGACATGCCGCAGAGCATGTGGCCAGAAGTGCAACCGTTACAGCCCTATATCGAGTGGCATTGTCAGTCTTTGTTTGAAAAGATGCGACCCAGTGGACATACCTTCGTTCCCCACCCCGTTAACAGTCCCATCAATACCGTGAAGAGGTAATATCCAGCTTTTTGCTCTACGCCGGGAAACGACGGTAGCAACTCTGGACAAACGAACGCCATGAGTCCGGCGCTACCCGACATGCCCGCGAAGAATAGCCCTGTCGTCAGAGTTGGGGCGGTCAAAAGTCGTCGAATCAACCCTGAGGCACCGAGTACAGCTCCATTATTGTAAAGGAGCGTCGTCGTACTATGGTGTAGGAGCAGCGCTCCCAGCGCAGTTTCTATAGGCGTGAACATTGGAAGATTGGCATTTGGAACAATGCGCAAAGCTTGCGCGGACGTACCAGAACCTTTGTATGCTTCGCAAATGAGGATGCCCGCCTACGAGACGGTCCAGTGGCGCAATTAGGTGCGGATTTGGGATGAAAGCGATTTCCACCCCCAAGATCCCACGGCATGCTAGGTTCTTAGGGCCCACCAGGCGAAAAGGCTCCGAGATGGGTGAATACACGGGAGCCCGTGCAATGAAGGGCATTATGCGGTGGTAATTGAACCATCGCGATGGCAAAATGTTCCGATGGCATTTCGGCGTCTTTTGGACTTGTCGATGAAGTATGTTCCTCACTTCGAAAGAGTGAAGAGTGCTATGTAGTGATGAGGTTGAAGATATCTAATATAAAGTATTGCCGTGAACACTGGTGCTACTAGCCCGTGAGTGGAGAAACTCATTGTCGGAGAGAGTGACCGGCACGTGATATCAAAGAGCCTACAGTTCGAACATTCACATGAGAGTCGCTTAGCCAGCCATTGAGACTGCAGGTCGCCCCACTCTCAGATGAGCTTTCGTCTGAGAGTGGCCGTCTGGCCAAGACCGCAGGGTGCACGGTTCATGGGCCCGAGGCAGGCGGAGCAGTGAGGCACTGAGGCATATCACATGACCCGCACGAGCCACACTTATCACTCTCAGATGAACCTTCCAAAAATGTATTCATAATGCAATAGGAATACATTTATTATAGCCCCAGTTTCTAAAGACTGGGTAATGTATTAGGGATATATTCTTAATTCATTTCTACTCAATTAGAAGAGTTCGCCCAAAGCTGTGATCGTTCAGAATGCCTTCAAATGCATTGAAAATGCATTCCGTCGGAACTTACATCTTGTCCCCATGAGTCCGTGTCCGAACTCCAAAGATCGCGATGGCATCATGGCAGAGCACAATACGATTGGCATATGGGCTGGATTAGTTAGGAATGTATTCTAAATGTTTTCTAAATGACTTATATTCTTGCCTAACGATATCTTGAATTCTTGATGAACTGCTAGTACAAGGTAGTGTGAGAAGGAAAAGTTCATCTGAGAGTAGACATTATTGTCATCTGAGTGTGGATAGTCTGTGTCTTTGGCAAAACATGTGAATTATGACCGACTTGTCGATTCTCATGCGAATTGCGAAAGTTCATCTGAGAGTGGGGCGAACTATAGTCTCTCACGTGGATGACGTTTTCCCCAGCCACCTTTCAAACAGGGGGATGGTGGAACCCACCTGCACGGCTACACCCCTGCGATACTCTATGAATCCCCTCCCTCCAGGAACATCTAAAACTGCATGAAGATTCATACTAACGTTAAAGATATTCCTCCATCATCATCATTCTTCATCCTGTGCCGAGCACTCAACTATTGCTTGAACATAGCACAGTTGCGACCTTGCTATTACATACGGAGTACGGAGTACTCCGTAGCACTTAGAAGTCATGTGAATCATGCACCTACCCATTACATCACGCTAGCTGTAGCAACTTCGGATCCCCAGCCGCCGACTAGCCACACGGATATCACTGAACATTTGGCCACCATGATTTCTCCCAGCCATCATGGATCATATACCACTTGGAACCTGCTGCTGACAGCGAGTGATTTAGATGATGGTATTGTCATGCACGGAAGTACCGGTAACCAGTATTCCGTACCCTAGCTGTATTCCTTACATTTTGCACATATTGGTTCCAGCGATTTCCTGTGCCTTTACGTTCTTCGTTGGTTCTTCCTGTGTCTATCTTGCTAGAAAGCGACTATTCCGATGTTTCTCAGCGGTCCCTCTACTGTTCTACAGTCTGATCTGCTTTGAAATTGTAATAGGATTCACCCATCGCCCAGCCAGTCGTATATTGTCCTCCACAAGACCATTTACAACTGGCATACAATCTCTCCTACATCCACTACCTTCTCAATTGCTACCTTGGGCTTCAGAGACCTTAAACCAAGCAAGCCTTTATTGCAAATACTCGGAATGCGCTCATCATCACCTTTGAGCCTGGGGTGGCTCGCCTTGATTGGAATGGCTTCTAAAGTCTTCTCTCAATCGGCCATCGTCATCCCAATTACAGTATCAGGTGAGACGTCTTGTCCCATCTCTAAACACGATTCATCTAACATCCGGAAAAGGGAGTCCAGGCATTGCCACAATCACAGTCCCAATCGCCTCCGGTACTATCCCACTCACCGCTGGCATTAGCATCATTCCCACGCCGTCACCCGGAACAGGAGAAAACATTGCACCAATTACGTCGGAGCACAACCCAGGCAATGCACCGGATGTCTCATCATCTGCTCTAGGAGGGACTCCAGTCACCGATTACCAGAGCGTCTGGCCTTCCTCCGAATACCCCTCTAGCACTACCCCGTGTACTTCATATTCCGACTTCACCGGCAGCGAAATTGGGCCAGGATCCTCCCTTACTGGAGAGTCATCCAAGTCCGATGTCTCTAGCTCTGATGCCTCTTCTACCGCAGCTGCTAGTTCATCCCTCGCAACCGCTTCTGATGCACTTTCCTCTGCTACTTCGGGTATAGTCGAGAGTACAAACGCTCCGAGTGGGCTACAAACGTCGATCATCACACCTACTGGTCCTTCCACAATACCTTCGTCCAGTCAAACAAACGTTGCCCCTCCTGCCCCGACGGCAAACGGTGCGAAATCACACCGGACAAATTGGGGATACGGTGCATTCGCCATTGCCATGGCGCCTTTATGGATATTTTGAACGTCCATCGAGGAAAAATTGCTGGACACGGCGAATACGAGGATGCAAGGTTAGAGGAGTAGAAATGGGCGCTATATTATGTACGAATTACGGTCATGGTTCGTGTCTGATGATACGGAAGGGTTACACTGGGGGCTGGCGCACTATTGGGGTCGTCCATCACGGATGGTTAATGGGTTTACGGATTCGATATGACGATTACATTTACAGCTTCGGCTTTGTAATATCTATGAGTAACCAGCATGAATTGTACTATACTAATCACTCTATTCGGACTTCTTCCATGCTCTACTGAATTGGTGTACATTATTGGTGGGAGGACCACTGCACTGCTCTGATTGGGCAGTGCTGGCAGAGAGGGGCCGGGCAAGGCTGGGCACGCCTGAAAATTCCTGCCCGTATGCCTAAGGCACTAAACCCTTCCAAAATCACGTGGCGAATTTCCAGTGGGGCGTTTATCGATAAGAACTTCTTCACTTCAACTTCGACTATTTTTCCAGTCGCAGGCGTCGGAACGAAATTTGCAGCACCACCTCGATGCGGAATTAGCAAGCAAAATGGTGTTAGCAGAGGATCTGTCAGAGAAGCTGGAGAAGATTCGATCTTCTCCCAAGCTAGAAAATCAACAAGAAGTGAGGTCTCATTCCCATTTCGCCGAATCTTGCTAACTATGATAGACTGCCGTCGTGCTGTCAGCGGTTGAAGACACGCTAAAAGAGCAGAGCACTGAATTCAATCCAACCGCTTACTTTGCGGCTCTTCTGTCGCTCCTAGCTCAGTATATTGGGCCAGAGAAAGGGATTGTCAACAAGGACGTTGCGACTTCCGTCGTCTACTTACTCGACTTGTTCACGCCTTATGTGCCTCACCCGCTTTTGCGCTCGAAGTTTCAGCAAATTCTGAGCAATCTTGCCCCAGCTTTGGTACACACGGATGCCGAAGCTCCACTACTGCGTGCCTCAATCGGCGTCTTAGAATCCTTGCTGGTCGTTCAGGATGCGCAAGGATGGTCGCAAACCCAAGAGGAGATCAGTCCGCGCCGCGCTGTCGCTGGACTCTTGCGCATTGGTATGGATCATCGACCGAAGGTTCGCAAACGAGCGCTCGAAGCATTGGGAAAGGTCCTCAACTCTCCGCCTCCGAGTCCGTCGCTGGACCATCCTGTGGCAGGCATGTGTGCAGAGACCGCTCTGCAATCCTTAAAGCAAATCGTCGATGCTGGCGAACAGAAGAAAAAAAAGAACAAGGCACCGAAGGAGAATCCTCATGAGCCAAATTTGATCCACTCTTTGCATCTCATCAAAATGTTGGCCACGGCAGGCACGGGCTGGCCAAGTCAAAAAATTGACAGTCTATGCGAGGTTTTGTTGACCATTTCGCGATCCAGCAGCCAGTATCTCACCATGTCTGCCTTTGAGATATTCGAGGTACTGTTCTCAGGAATGACGGACCAGGTATCATCCGCCAAACTTCCTCACCTTGTGGAAGTCCTGGAGGAGTTACAACCTGCTCCTACCGACGCTCAACTTCTCCCCCCTTGGGTAGCGGTCATATCACGGGCATACGAAGTGTCCTCGCATGTTTACCCTACGGAGACTTTCGAGAAGCTGCCAACAGTCTTTGAGAAGATATCCAAGTTCTTGCTTTCGCCATCCCACAACATCCGCGTCTCTGCTTCCGAATGTCTTATCTCTTTCCTAGCCAACTGCATTCCCAGCTCGGTCATACTGGAGCCCTCAATAATGGACGAAAAAGTGTTGGAAATGGTAGCAGCTATTGCAGTTGATTTGCTGAGCCTCAAGTATCAGCATGCGTGGATGGAGGTTTTCCACGTACATGCTGCCATGTTCGATTCTTTGAGGTGGCGATCTGATCCTTTGCTTCTAACAACTGTGCGAACCGTCGGAGAGCTGAGGACATCAGGTGCCTTCAACGGCAAAAAGGAGGCGGATGTTGTTCTCGCGAAAGCAATCGGAGCGATGGGCCCAGAAGCGGTTCTCAAAATCCTCCCCTTGAATCTAATCGATGCTCCGCCCAATCAACAAGGTCGAGCCTGGCTACTCCCTCTTCTCCGCGACTCAGTCCAGAATACATACCTCCGACACTTTAGGGCCCACCTCATCCCTATCAGCGAGGCGATTTTCCAGAAAGTCATGGATCACGGCGAGGCGGAGAAGACGATGCAAATCAAAATACTGGAGACAATTGTCCAGCAAATCTGGTCAATCCTTCCAGGTTATTGCGAATTCGCACTGGACATCGAAGAGGTAAAGTTTCTCACGCAAACAATGTCAACGTTACTAATTGCGGTTTAGGCATTCGACCAAACATTTGCTGAACAGCTTGCGAACCTCCTATACCAACAACTCGAACTTCGACATTATGTCTGCAAAGCTTTGCAGAACCTTGTGGACTGCAACGCCGAAATTCGTGACCTAGAAGGTGAAGAGGATCTCTTAGCTCAGTCGAGGATATCTAAAGCGCAAGCGCTTATGAACCTCGATCATATGGCAAAGTTCTCTGGGAATCTTCTAGCGGTACTCTTCAATGTCTACAGTCAAGCACTACCCAGAAGTCGAGGCGCCATTCTACAGTGCATCAATTCCTACCTAAGTATCACTCCGGAAAAGGTGTGTGCATCCAATCCCTCCATGACCTTCGTACTGATTCCCTTTAGGACCTAGTCGACACGTTCGACCGAGTGGTCACGATGCTTGAATCAGCCCTAGCGGAGGCAGCCAACGAAAAATCCAAAGGGCCACAGGAACAAGGAAGGCCAAGAGACAAGCTGCCTCCAACCTCTCACACATTGCTAGACCTTCTCATCACCATCTCGGTCTACCTCCCTGTTTCTTCTCTTACGGGCCTTTTCGCTACAGCCTCTAAACTCATTGTCAATCCGGACTCGTCGATCCAAAAGAAGGCTTATAAGCTAATTCCGCGACTATGCGAAGTAGAGAACGGGAAAGCTATGATTGAAACACGTTGCTCAGAACTATCATCCGTCATCCTTTCAGCTTCAGAAGCCACGCAAACCCCGGCTCGCCGTGACCGTCTACTAGCAATTCAGGCCCTGATTCCCTACCAGGACCGCCTCGATCTGAGCTTCATCCCGTCCGTACTTCCGGAAGTGGTACTAGCGACGAAAGAGGTGAATGAAGGGGCAAGGCAAGCAGCATTCAGCCTTCTCATCACGATGGGTCGCAGAATGATTGAGGGTGGGAAGATTGTCAGATCCCGAGTACCACACTACCTGCCCGATACCAAGGACGAAGATGCCAGCATTGACGAATACTTCACTATGATGTCAGCTGCACTAGCTAGCGACAAGCCCCATACTGTTGCGGCCGCGGTCATTGCACTTTCACGTTGCTTGTTCGAGTTCCGTGAAGATCTGTCTCTTTCAGCAACATCGGATCTTGTCCAGACTGTAGAACTATTTCTGGAACAGAATAGCAAGGAGATTGTCCGAGCCGTTCTCGGGTTTGTGAAGGTGGTAATCATTGGCTTACCTGAAGATTTTGTGAGACCGAGATTGCGCACGTTGGTCCCTGGCATCCTTCGGTGGGGCAAGGAGCATCGGGAACAATTCAAAGCGCGTGTTCGCAGCATCATCGAGAGGATGGTACGCCGATTCGGTGCTGAGGAGATTGAACGATGCACTCCCGAGGCGGATCGGAAGCTCATCGCGAACATTCGTAAGATCCGGGATCGAACCAAGCGTCAGAAAGAAGCCCAAGATGAAGGTTCGGACGGAGAGGAGCACGGAACTTCCGCACGCGAGGGTGCTGGAAGAAAATTTGCCAGCGAGTATGATGAAGCAGTATATGGCAGTTCCGATGAATCTGGTAGCGAGGAAGAAAGACAAGCCGCCCATGGCAAAAGCTCCAGGGACAAACCCACCAAGGGGACATTCATCATGGAGGAAGATGACGAGCCTCTGGATCTTCTCGACCGGCGAGCAATGGGAAAGATTTCTACAGACCGACCGCAGAACGCGCGCGAGATGCTCTCAAAGCGACATAAAGCGAAATTCGACATGGACGGCAAGCTCATTTTCCGCGAAAACGAAGACGAGGACATGCTCGACGACACCGAAGGCAAAGATCCAGGGGATGGCTCCCTTGAAGCTGGCATCAACGCCTACGTTTCGGCGATACGTGGTCAGAGCGCCGGTAGTCGAGGCCAGAGAGGCAAACTCAAGTTTTCCAGTGCGGGACGCCAGCAGAAGGGTGACGATGGTGACGATATGGAAGTGGATGAGACTGAGCTTGCAAGTAAGATCCGTGACGAGAGGCGGGGTCGAGGAGGTGCTCGAGGATCTCGTGGAGGACATCGTGGAGGATCCCGAGGAGGCGCTCGAGGATCTCGAGATGCTCGAGGTGGTGCTCCAGGTGGTGCACGAGGAGACTCTCGAGGAAACTCTCGAGGTGGTGCTAGAGGGGACTCGAGGGGAGGCCGGGGCGCCGGTATGGGAGGGAGGGGCTTCGGTGGACGCGGTGGCCGCGGTGGGCGTGGTGGAATTCAAAAAGCCAAGTTTCAGAGGAGAGGACTCGGCTTTGATCGTACGCAAGACAGCCGAGTTTCTAAGTAATGTGAACTTAGTAGACGATAAAGTATTGCTGCATTTCTAGGCGCATCGCCCTCTCCTTCTCGGACTGGCGTAGCGTAACGTGAGATGTATTCTGCCGTGGCGCGGCGGCGTTTGTCTTTTTTTTAGTCTTCATGATACCACTGCGTATAGAATGAAATCAATATTGATCCCCTTTTCTTGTTAAGGGGAGAAATGTGATATTTTAAAACGAAATTAGTCAAGACTACCTATACCAGTCACAAACCGTATTTATAGTCCCTATTTCGATGCTTGTAGACTGAGGAAAATATTCCAGAGCACGCCTGCGATGCTTCCAACCACAACACGTCTATTCACAGGCACCAGAGTGAAGCAGAGAACGGATACAATGGGCCAAAGTTTTACCCCAGCCATGTAAAAGGGAAAAGAGTCCTATCCACTCGTCAGCACGACAACGCCAATAACAATCAACTCCCAAGTTCTATATGCTTCAACCCACATTCTTCAACGAGCTCATAATTTCTTCCGAACTACGACCTTTGATCGTCCCGATCCCTCCAATGAACATCGCAATGTTGACCGCCGCGCCGACTGTCTGGTCCAGTACGAACTTGATTATTGTGTTTTTCACATTTAATCTTTTAGTGGTCTGAGAGACTACTTTCGATTTGCCCTTCCCGCTCTTCTTCTGCTCATCTGTAGCGCTCTTCAGCGCATAGACAGGTTCGCTTGTCTGACCCGGGAATACATCCTCCAGCCATTCTTGCCACAAGCAGTTCGGTGGCGTGGCGAGGATGGTGAAGAGGACGAATTGGAGCAGAGGAACGAGGGAGATGGTGAAAGGTCGCTGAAGAGTAAATTTGGTTAGCATCGTCTCATCCGTCTCAGGATATCGAATGCTCATGTTTGTCGAAGTACGTACATCGTCGTTGTAGGCAGAAATCACCTGCGCCAGGATATTGGATGTGGCGCTGAGGATTGCGGACTGTACGGTAGCGCTGATGATGTGATTCATATTGAATTATTGATACCGCTGGGTGGTTGTGTCGTATTCCTCGGAAACTATATCACTGGTGATTTCATAGGAAGCAGGACGAGATATTAAAAGTACTAATAGTATTGAGTTCAAAAGGATTGGGGATCTCTTATTCAAAGAGTAATTGGAAAAATACGTTTGGAGATGAAATGTTGCCAATCTCAAACAGATCTTCATATCTGATACGGACATGCATTGCGACTCATGAAGGGTTTGGTGAAATGGACACGTAGCTACTCTGCGGTTGATCAGCATGGTAGCGAAATGGCGGACCTCGTGTTTTCGTCTATTGTACTATCCGCCGACTGTCAATGCCACTACGTTAAGATGATCTCGGTAATTATTACTATTAAGACAATGATCGAGACAAATGGCCGGGAATGGATGGGGTGAGTCTCGTGCAATTCAAAGTGTAATAGTCACGTGATCCAAATCTTAAGTGACATTCAAGTTTCAGCCCCTTATTACAATGAAGTTGAGGATCGAGAACACTTAGCTGAATAAACAATTTGGTAAACTCGCCATCGCTTCCAAGCGCCTGTATCAACCACTGTGTTTCAATCCAACACCTACATCAGAAATGACGACGCCACCAGGTTCCCCTAATCCAGTTTCGACCCGATCATTAAAACTCCAGTCGTTTTCCACAAGGACGAATTTGTCTCCCTCTCACTGAACACCAGACCCAAAATCAGTAAACGTCTCTCTCCAGTAGGCATCGTCAAAGAAATCAAACAAACTCCCTGATCCTGCCCCCATCATCGGCACGCCCATTGGGTCCAACCCTCCGGGGGTGGCACCTACGCCAGCTTGTCCTGCCATATTCATACCATAGGTGCCCGGCGTATCGCCAGCTATTCCCGGAGTTGCACCTAGGTTAGAAGCGCTACCTGGCGCGATAACGCCAGTCATACGTTCCCTCTGAGCCCGGTAAAGCTGCTTCAGAAGTCTCATTTGGGGAATGACACGTGTAAAGACGTCCAGCTCACCATGCGGGCTCGGATGGATCGCTGCATCGCGAACGGCGGTCTGTAACCGATCGATGAGTTCGTCGATGAGAAACAGAAAATTGATCTGCTTCTCGGCCTCTATGTTGTCCCATCCGTCAATTTTGGAGAGGCAAAGTTTGGTGAGGACGATGATAGCGTGGGCAACTTGTGCCCACGACGCATATGTCATGAGGAAATAATCGGAGTGAGGGATCTCTAGAATGGTTTGAAGGAGGTCACGAGTCGCATCGAGGCAGGCGGAGAGTATACCCGGTCGCGAAAGGACAGGTGGAAAGTAGGTAATGGAAATATGTTGCTCGGAGAGTTCAGGATTGAAGCCGATTTCATACATGAAAAGGCGGACGATTCGATAGTGCAGGGTGAACAATACTGGTGAGGTTAGGGATTTGTTTGGAAATCGATCGTGGAACACATACAATGGCTCTGTATATTCGCAGGCAATGAAGCTTTGAGCTGCTCCAGTTCTGACTCGAACGCTTTTAAGCTCATCCCAATTGATGAAGTGAGAGGAGATGGAGGGTCTAAGCAGTCCAGAGGAAGGGTATTCTGCATGCATAGTGCAATCCTCTGTATTTTAACCAGTTGGACGAGGAAGTAATCTGTGGGGTACTCCTGTTTTTCAAGCAGTACGCGGCAACAGTCATCCATGTACCGCGTGAATTTCATAATGTCGGTGTGTTTTACATTGACTGACAATCTAGACAATATCGAGTCAGTATTTTCATCTTCCTCAAAGTCGATTGATGCAGATTCATACATGGATGTGACATAGAAGCAGCCCAACAACGCTCGCCGCTCTTCAAGGGAGCGTTGGTCACCCCGCTCGGCTGGGTCTGGAAAGAGGTTGAATCCACAAACCACTGCTCGGTGTCTATCATAGGCTGTGCCCGTCTTGTTGATTTCCAGATCGGTGGTTAGTGCCAGTGCCAAATGGACAAAGTTGGTCATTTGTCGGCTTCGTCCAAGATGAAAATGATACCTGCTTCGTGTAAGCCAGTCGTCTAACCGATAGATCATATACATTTAAATATCCTAACAAAGATACTTACCAGGCAATAGCAATCAACAAGCCCTGAAGATGGTCGAAACTCCGTTCTCCTCTCTGGAACATGGTTGATGCGATATATTCGCGGATTTCGGTCCCAAAAGCCTGCTGTAGCTCAACATTTCGGTAGGAAGCTGCCATCATGATGCCTTTGAACAGCAAAGGTCGCCTTTCTTTCAGTACGGCAGCCGTAGTATTTGGCGGAATAACAACAAAGGGGAAGTGCGCAGTCATGTGGGACTGGTAAAAGCGCAGCAGGGCATCAGCATCCTCCATGGAAAGACTGCTGGTGGAGATTCCCTTCTGATAGTCATGCTTCGGAGCGGTGCTGATGATTCGGGAGTGCCCCAACTCCGAAGCCTCCTGTGACCGTCCATTTGACTCCGGGGTTAACGGGACTTGACTTGGGGTCGAGTCGACATTCGAGGTATTACTTTGCGTAGTGGTGAGGAGGTTGGTAATATCATCCAACTTCTGCTCCAACCGAGCGACGCGGCTAGACCACGGTCAATACGGGATGAAGTAGTGGGGATAACCTGGGGATACCCACGTGGATTTCTTGGTTCCCTTCGCTCTCGGCTTGGGGGTTTGTAGAGTACATTCTTTATTCAGTCTCTCGCACCTACAACCATAGCAATAAGAAACATGGTTAGACAATGGAGATAGACGACGATGATCAATCGGGCATATCGGCGGATTCGTACCTAGTGCACTTCCTCGATCCTTGCTCACCGGCTTGGGGCACGCATTTGGCTTTGGCTACTGCACAGGTTCGGCAAGCCGTTGGCCCACGATTGCCAGCGGACAGCGGGCCAGTCGGCTTCCCGATGCCAGCGGATTCATCGGTCATTGGAATCAAAGTCCAGGGCCGGCTCCGGGGTGCAACATGTGCAACAGAAGTTCACGAAGACATGATGATATGATGGTGGTTTATGGCCTATGGGTGCATGTGGCTGGGTAAAGTTCGGTTGAATGAAAAAAAGGGCAAAAGGAAATGAAACCAGACGGAACGTTTAGTGGTCGTGGACTTGGGCTTTTGGGGGCAGGACATGGAGCGAGCTGCGAGGGGGCGACAGGAGGACGCGAAATAATCCAGTCTGAAATCACAAATGGGAGGGGAGCGAGGCGCGTCCCCGCAGGGGTCGAGTGCGAGAGTGAGACGGAGGCGGAGAAACTGATCTCGCCGGCTCCGAGGTTCCAGTAAGCCCTGATATTTGATAGTACGGAGTATTCCGTACATGATAGTACTAGTACAAGAACCGTCACGTGGTCCAATCCCTCTGACTAGTTGTACATTATCTCGTTATACCAGACGTGCCAAGCCCTCGATGATTACTAAGGAATAAATTCGCAGTAAGGTTTCAGGGCTTCAGCCCGTCTGGCTACTTTTTGTACAAAAGGTGCAACGATTTGTATGCAACAATAAATAAGGATTATTTGTCAAAATCCAGAGGCTCTAAAGTGACAAAAACTTCCTCATCTGTTTCCTGGGGATCATTATCATCCTCGTTATCATCTGTATCATCCCCATACTCGTTTTCGCCATCTGATGCAGTGAATATTCCCTCTGGCTGTCTCTCCGGTCGTCGTTGTATCGGTGATACAACATCACTTTGGTCAATCGTTCTGATTGTGTCAACAGTATCTGCTCGCTTCCTCCGTCTTACTTTCCTTTTCGTTTCTTCCATCTCCACTAGTTTCCATGTCGTTCCGTCTTGTTCGCGCGAATACACCAAGAGCAGACATTGACGATGAAGGCGGGCCCTTGGTTGTGGCCGTTTGGCAAGAAGAGCTCGAGTCTGGAGCAATTCCGGGTGATGATTCGGCGGCCGACGCCGCTCTAACCATTGGTCGTTTCTTCTGACTTTTCGTGGCATTCAATTTCTGTGACTCTACGGGCGGGTACTAGGCGCGGTAAATCGAATGCCCGGCGCCTTTGCCTCGAATTAGGCTCTATAAGACCTGAATTAAATGCCCAGTTGATAGGCAATCCAGTGCCCGTGGGAGAGGCTCTCGAAACTGCTTATATAATCACGCCACTTCCTTGGCGAGCAATAACTTTTGAAATGGACCTCTGTAGTAGTGGGTAATATTCCGTAACCGTGCCCACGGTAGATTTGAAGCTCCGACTCCATATCTTGATCCAGATTGACTCGGTGGGTAAGAGTTGGCAATACGATCTCCGGATCTAATGGCCAATAGGGCTGGACACGAATAAGGATTTTGGCTATTCGTATTCGACTTTTCCCTGGGAACGATTATTCGTATTCGACTAAATTTCGAGACGTTTTATTCGTATTATTCGCGAATATTCGTAAATAATGCCAAGACTTATTCGGCAAAAGCCGAGCCAATGAATGAATGCCCAGCAGTCGC